ATTGCAGCATCAACGACCTAAATTGAAAACGGAATCGTCACCAAATCTTTGGGGTGTAATGAATGGTTAAACTATTGTATAATTACAGATTTCTCAAATTGCATAAGAACATTCAAATTTGATGCAGTTTTCATACAAGAACACTTCACTAACTTTTCTGTAATACTAATAGGGTACTTTGCTGATGAAACAGCTGCGTTATTAATTGTAAGCATTATTATATCGCTCTTATATTATGTGCAATAAAGTTATTACTAACTTGAAAATGAACAGGCTATTGAATAAATTGCGTTTTATATAGTATACTCTCCAAACTTAGTTCCTTCAACACCTGCATAAAGATAATCAGAATGGCTAGATTAAATAGATAATGTTAAATTTGGACCTAAAAATGTTTAGCCCCTATCTATAATCATTACTTCTGGAAATTAAAGTACCAGTTCGTCAATATATTGATGAAATTAGATAGGAATTTAATTTTCTGTGACATCTAATTATATCAATTAGATTTAAAAAGCATATTGCATTAATTTTTAATTTACCTGAGAAACTACGGATATATTCAGTTTTACAGGCATAACAAACGAATCTATTTATTATGTTAAATTTTAGGAAATAAATATCTAAGGTTCATTAATTAAATAAGTAGAAATTACGATTTAATTATTAATTGAGTCTTATACAGCAACAATATTCCTCAATAAGTAAAATAATGCAAATGTCCCTTCATTCAGCTATTAGTAACATGTAGCTTTAATGGTGTTTTCTAACTGCAAGCCTATTATGAAGGAGTCAGTAACAATGAAAATATTATCCAGAGTTACTTACAAATTGATAATTTATGTATACTCATTTAAAAAATATTAAATTGATTAGACTTCTTGATTTATGTAATTAACATCAATGAAAAAGGATGTAAGTTTTTATTATTGTAGAAATACAATGTGAAACAAGTTATTGCTAATTTGTTAATTTGCAAAATATGAAATTGGTTAGAGATCATCTTGACTTTAAATATTTATATTTATTATTTCTTGAATGTCTGTATTATTAATTAAATCAACCAAATATACACGATCTTTGGTTATTAGAAAAAGGAAATTTGAATTACTAGATAAGACAGCATTTTAATAGTTGCCTTAAAATATTTACTCAGATATTAACTCTACATCATTTTAGTTAGAAGTAAAGTAAACTATATGAACATCTATTTCTGTTGTATATATCAAGCAAAAAGTAAAATTTGCAAAGTTTACAGATTAAATTTAAACTATAGGATTATATATTTCGGATTTTATTGAATAATTTACGACAATATCTGTGCATTCTAGGCTTGTGGAATTTAACAATGTAAAGAACAATTCTCCTTCCTAAATGCTACTAAGCATCCCAAAATCATTTGTGATTAAGTTAATTTAGAAAAAATCTATAATAATACAAAATATGTATTACCATTTTAAATCGTGATATCTAAAAAAGTGAATTGTAGTTCGCCGTTATGTTTTATATGTCCCTTGTAAAGCATTTTATCATAAGTTAAAACCCAGAAATTATTTGAATTATCTCCGAAAAGAGCAACATAATTACTCCCAATTCGGATTGATGAATCATTAATACTCGTTGAATTCATTTTATGAATTTGTGATATTGTTTAATCAATTTTCAGGTTGAACTAGCTTGAAATTAATAATGTGTAATATGGGGCTTCAACTATCTCTAAAGTATAATCTCTCAAATATATTGTATTAGAATTTCGAATTTCTAAAGGGAAGTTGAATTTTTGAGTTTAAGAAATTGTAATATCACTTAAACATTCTTTTAAGATAGCTAATAAAATCCAAAAATGTTAAAAATACATTAAATTAATTATCGAAATGATACCCAGAATTATTATGTAATATATAATAAAGATTATTTAATATGGAAGGATTACATAATAAATGTAAATGACACCTAAATTACCCAACTAACTTAAATTTTGAACAAATTATTTATCTTACAACATTTGATTCATTTTGGGATTTTGTAAATATTCAATGCTAATAAATAAACATTTACTATATAAAAAATTTTTGTTTTTATATTTAAATCGATTATTTCATAGACTACCTGGATCTCAAGACCATTAGAAATTACTTTTTAACAATTTCTTGGGATTTAACCAGAATGTTAAAAGATTAAATATGAATATTATTATTAGGTTAATTAAAAATAATATCAATATAATTTATACTTAGTTGATACTTTTTTTGGTTCTTGTAAAATTGTAATAATACTATAGAAAAATAATAAATCCTTAATTAAAATTAAAACTATTTAGTTTAGTAGGTTTTAATGTCTGAAAAGGTTGTAAAATAATAATCCTTAAGTATTGATTATTTGAAATATATTTAAGAGCTATAAATTTTTAAAATAACATTTACAAATTTAATATTAATTTTAATGGGAAACACTAATGTAAATAAAATTATGCTCAGCGCAATAGAAAAACAACGATATGATAAAATTGTTGAAATAATTGAAGTATTAAATGTCTTGATTAGAAATATCCACAAATATTGTCGGAAGATTTAAGTTAAGAAATTTAATCTACTCCTTTAGCAAGAGCAGTTTGGAGAAATGATATCTATTTAGTTGATATATTGATCAAAGTAAGAGATTTTTAAAATAATAGAATGGGGCTGACGTTGACAATGGGGGGTCTTCAAGTATAACTCCGTTAATGTGGGCTTGTAGAAGAGACAATGCTTATTTGGTTTCAAATTTAGTTGAATATGGAGCAAAAATCGCAATAAAATCAAATGAAGGATATACGGCATTAGATTATGCTATAGTTCATGGTAATTATAGACCAGCTTTGTTTTTATTTGAATTTTATTAAGAAACTTTAGAATATTTTGATTATTATTAGTTTGCAAAAGACAGGGATTATCGTTATGTTAATTATGAGGTGATGTTATCCAACTTGAGACAAAAAGTTCCTTATTAACAATTGCCAAATATTTTTAAAAAGCCTGAAAAAAAAAGATTAATCGATCCAGTTGTTGATCCAAGAGAAAGTTGGAAATAATTAATAGTTAGACAAATTGATTTCAAGGAGCCACCTTTGGTTGAAAGAAATGAATTGCCAGATAACTTATAACCATAAAATCGTTTCTGGGGAAAAGTGAGATAACAATTGAATGGATTGTCTGTTTAGCCTTCATAGAGAATGAATTAGGGGGATGAAGGATAAAATTTATAATAAAATATTCCGTAAGAAATCAAATCATCAAAAAGTTAGGACTAAGAGCATTCCAATGTTCATATTGACTAAGTATCTGTAGGTTGAAACTAGAAAACAATTGATTTAATATTTTAAATATTATTATTATTTACATGGATTCTCCATAATTATTATGCAAAGTAGTGTTGATTGGAGATTCTGGAGTAGGCAAGACATCAATATTGAACAAAAGAATTTATGAAAAGTTCTCATTTCATACTACCCATACATAGATGGGATAAATGAATACTTTGAAACTAAAAATTAATGATAAAGAAATAACTCTCAAATTATGGGATACTGTAACTAAATTGTTAATTACTTTAGGCAGGACAAGAAAAATATAGAACGATAACATTATAATTTTATAGAGAAACCAAAGGAGCATTCCTTGTTTTTGATATGACGGTACAATAAACATTTGACAATATCAAATTTTGGGCTAAGTAATTGAGGAATCATGGAGGAGATGACGTTAAGAAGGTTATTTTAGCAAATAAATGTGATTTAACTGATAAATTAGTAGTCAAAGAAGAGGAAATATTAGAATTAGCAAAGTAAATTAATGCTACTTACTTCATTGTATCTGCATATACTAATGAAAATATTATAGAATGCTTTGATTATATGGCACTTGAATTAATGAAAAATTGTTGTAATTAACCAGATAAGGGTCTCTAAAGTAAATAATTATCCGCAAATACAGAAAGTGTTTTGGATTAAAAATAAAAGAACAAGTCATCTTCAGGATGCTGCTGATAGCTGATAAATATTATATTAGAGTATTCATTAATATTATCCCTAATACTTTTAAGTCAATTTTTATTATATTTATTAATGATTCCATTAACCATCATATGTAGACTGTACTTTGCTAAACTCAATTGTGTGGAATCCCCTTTATTAAATTTAAAGATAATATGAATTCTTGATCAGAATAAACAGTTCCTAATTTTATTCTTAATATTAAATAATATGTAATTTCTTAAAAATAAAAGTCCATATAATATAATGACAGACCAATTTTATAATAATATGTGCTCTTGACTATTCTAAATTATTTTTAGTTATGTAATATATAATTCTTAATTGTAATTAAAACGAAAAACCTGAGAGCTGCATAAAAACAAGATTCCATTCAGAATTAATACAACATTTTCATAACGTTGGTATAAAATTTTTTCAATTTAAGAATTTCAACCCACTTCTAAATTCTCTTAAAAAACAAAATTTTTGACAATTATGATAAATATAAGTATTTAAGACCTTCTAATTATTGAAGTAATCTATTGGTCAAGAACCAAAGACACACCTTAATAATAGGTCATCGACTAGATTAGGATTAATAGTGGGAATTTTATCGCATTTCACAGGAAAATTAGATTATTATTGATTTAGGACACTGAATATTTAAGTGAAAAAGATAATCAAAATTTTCCAAGATTTCTTTTATTTTGATGATATTTCATTTATTCTATTTGTTATTAAAGCAATAAAATTTTATAAATATCCAAATTATATTATAATGATTCACTAATTAATCAATGAATGAATATTGAAATAACATATTCCTTGCAAAGATGAGCTTATATTAATAATTTGATTATCGTGATGTTAGTATTTGTTAATTTTGATATAAATTCAATCTTCAAATATTTAAACTTATGATTTAGCAATTCTAATACACGGATATAATGGAAAATTTGTTTGGATTTATAATTTCTAAATCTACATATCAATAAGATACAAAAGATTTTTTAGTTCGAGTATTAGTCCATCTAATAGTTTTTTCTATCATATCAACTAATATTTCGATAATATCTCCTTATTCTGATGGAAATCCTTTTAATTACTCATTTATTTCTTTATCATGATGTGAATATACTTTTCCCATTCTGCAAATCATGTAATAGCTTATCTAAAACGAATAAATTACCCATGTTCAGCTTCTGTAACAAATCCTCTATAATCTTTATTAATGCGATCCCTGAAACAGATTCCACAATAAAATTGATGTAATTTTAAAATTTTAAAGCTAAAACTAATTTATCCATTATTTGGTAATGCTTACTCACATAAAACTACTTACCAAACATCATCTTCTGCAAAGGCCACCTTTCCATCTGAAGAAACTTAAATTTATGATTGCTTGTAGATGTTTGAAAATTTTAAATCTCTTTTGTAATCCTTTGGATCCTAAGTCTAATGCGCAGGCTTTTAAATTAATAGAGAAGCCATATTATCCTTGAGGGTTTACAGTTTATCTTTTAAAATTTGATATTATGGTAAAATAGTTGGCTTATCAAATTTTGGGATCAGCAACTATTTCAATATTTCTTGATTAAAAGACTTTTAACTTTTATTAATCTCTTAGAATAATTATTTGATATTGTCTTCAATTTAATTGATAGCATCATCAGTAATACATTATTAGCTATTTAATCCTTAAAATATCCCTTTAAATAATGCATAAAATGAGACCTAAATAATAGTAATAAATGATAACCTTCTCTAAATCATTTCTTAGATTCTCTTTTTTTTAGATGACATCTATAATGATTTTCTTATATCTATCAATTAAATTGCTCAAACTAATTTAAATTTCCTATATATATGTTTCAATAGAGATAATTAGTTATTTTAATTTTGAAACATGTACATTGTCTATTTTTTCAATTAACTATCTGTTTTCTTTACTCAAATTAAACTCTCCTAAAAAATAATCAGGCTCCTTTAAAGCTTTTCTTATGGATAACTATTTAAACATATTTGTATTTTCTTATTTTTTTTAATTTTCAAAGCATTCTTCACATGCAAATTATAAAATAGTTTCATTCCAAAGCAAAAATATAGCCTAGTTATCCGGATGATATTTGCACATCATAATATTCATTTAATTAATAGTATTTGTTCTTATAAATAATAATCTAATTATTAACAAATTAACTATAAATTTGTGGTTTGATAAATTCTTATTCAATATAGACAGTAGAAAGGTGAAAAATAAAACTAGATGGGGACGACATTTGTTTATTTTGATTAACAAGTAAATATCGAAAGAGTAATATTTAAGGTGAAATGATCAATTGGATTGATATTTTGTGTTGTTTAATAAAATACGAAAATATTATTTCATCTTGATGAATAATAGAATTTTATTAATTAGAAACTAATGAATAGAATCAAACATATGAAAGAGTGTTAATTTTAATAATCTATATATTATTTTTTAATAATTAGACTATCAATTTATAATGGACATTGAATAATAAATATTAAGATTAATATAACTTTCTGTAATTCTACAATGAATTAAAATTAGACAAAATAATGTTCACTTCATCAAGGATTAGAAATTATTGCTTTGGATTAAAGTAAATAGGAATTAGAAAACAAATAGTTATGTTTAAAATGTTTGGCTGTACTTCGAAACAAAAAGTCATTTTGATCTCTGAATCTTTAGAGTAGATTGGAGAGATAACTTCTAAATTCAAACAAGAAAGACTTAACCAATAAGAAAGAAATGTTCAAATTATAAAGGATTTAAAGGATAAAGTACAAAATCTAAAGGACTCTTAAGTTTAATAATTTGAAAAAATAACATGTACATTGGAAAAATGGGTATAAATGATTTCAAATTAAGAAGAGGAATTTACTGAAAAGATAGACTCCGTATCCTTTATTGATATTGATGAATTTATTAATTTTACTTAAGACTTGGATGCTTAAAAATTATCATATAATGATGAATTTAAATTAGATTTAAAACAAAAATTGGAAGCTTTGATAGAGAACAATATAATTGGATATGACCTTTACATTTTGGTCTTTCAATATTCATAATAAAACAAAAATTGGAATTAAATCCAAAAGATATAAACTAGTGCTGGTGGATATCGTTTATGTTTCATCAGTGATAACCAGTTTACTTTTTAACCTATCAATTAGGATATCCTGGAAAGTTTATTCAAAAGAAAAAAGTGAAGAATATACTAAGAGGTAAGGTATCAAAATTAAGAAAGGATTTGATTAAAATTGCTTTTTCCCTTAATAATACATTAAATAAAAATAATTGCTCATTAATAAAAGTGGATCATGCATCAATATGATAAAAGTTCTCGAAAGTGGTTAATTGATGGTTGAATAATGTATTGAATTTGAAACCAATTATATTTTTGGTGCTACAAACAATAACGGTGATTATTTAGTAACGTGGGATTATGTCACAAAAGATTTATAATTGAGAAAGTATTAAGAATGAGGAATTAAATGTACATTTATATTTCAAAATATTCGATTATTTAATGTTATGTAAAACAATTTGAACATTGTTTTAGTTAGAATAGTTAGAGTTATTATATATTTATATATTAAATTTGCCATTTAGCAATAATTACTTTATAATTTAAATGCGTAATATATATAGAAAAATGAAAATTAAGATATTTGCTTTGTCTTTTGCTTCTAATCGAAATAAATTATAAAGGCAAAATATCCAATTATTTATAATAAATGTCAAGTTAATGTTCTTTTGAAGAACTAAACTCATCTGTAAATTTGAGTTTGGACAGTGGGTTAATAAATGTTGTTTAGAATCCAAATGATTCAGAGTTGGATTTCAATTAGTTAGAGTCAGCAATATTGAGTTCGAAACAGGAAGGTCTAACAAAACTGATAAAGGGATCTGATTAATATTATTATTAATATTTCCTCAACATCCTAAATACAAGTGGATATAGATTGGATTCTAAATAATTAGAAAACTTTGAATAGTATAAGAAGATGAATACAGAAAACTTTTAAAAAATAAGACTTAGATCTTTATTTATAGAATATGATGAACTAATGAATATGTAATAGAGTGAAAAAGTGAAACTGAAAGAACAAGAGATATTGAGAAAGATTAACAAAAGATTATTTGGATTTAGTTTCGAAGAATTATCGTAAAATAACTTAGATAGTGATTAATAAAAATTATTAATATAGAAATAGTAAGTAATTAGTGGGAATACATAAGCAAAAGTAGGACTTTCAGAATTGGATAATAGTAAATTATAAGTAGAAGAATACATAAAAAATGCATACTCTGAGAAAGGAATCTTGAAATTAAAGACTAATCTTCTTAGTAAATTAGATTTGATATAATTATCAAAATCCACTGTTAAAGTGATCGATATTTTCTTTACCAAAATTGATACATTAATAATTGAGTATTTAGATTTGTTTAAACAATAGATTAAATAATATACCAGAGTTTTACAATGAATTGATGAAGAGAGAGGATTATAAAAATAAATTTGACGCAGTTCATTTTAAAAAGCTTACTTTAAGTTAAATGAAATAGATAATGACATTAAATAATAGATTTTTGGAGAATCTACACTTTGTTGGATATCTATATTTTAAAAAGTATAATTTAGGTAAATATGATAAAAATGATGAAAAATTCTAAGATAATAAAGAATACTTTTTATCTACTTTAAAAAAGGCTTATTTATGGAGTAAAACTTTACCTGATAAATTCAAATCATTAAGTGATCAAATATTACTTGAGTTGCTATAATTAGGTAATTGAATTTGAATTAATATATTAGGCATTGAATTTAAGCATTTTGATTTTGATCTACTTTCAGAATACTTAAGAAACCCAAAAGATTATTATTCTAATTGTACTTAATAACAAAAAGATCATTAAAGCAAAATCAGAAGAGAATATCAATCGTTTTGGCATGATTTCCATGATTTTAACTTTTAGAGATGTATTTGATTTTATTATAATATAGGGATGTATCCAGATAAAATGATTGAGAAATATTTGGAGAAATATTTCTAATTGCATGACAATTACAGCATATTTGAGTTGTATTTAGAAGCCAATTATTTAAAGATGTTAAAAGCTGAATGCAAACTCTACAAAGGAGATGAAGTCACTAATTTAACTGAATTCTTTACAAATTCACAAATTAAATAGATGAATAATAATAAGATTCTCAATTTGTGTGATTATAATAAATAATACTTTTTTAAAGGAGATCCAGTCACACTTTATATCGAATTGAAAAATATATCCAATCTAACAATTAAGATATTTTAAATCAACATGAAAAACTTTTATATGGCCAAAAGTGAATAACTAACTTCAAATATATGTTTAGATGGGTTTATTCCAACCGAAGAGATAAGCTTTACATATGATTATCCACCAATTAAGAAAGTAATCAAAGAATTCTCATTTGAATCAATATAGAAAAGTGAAAGAGGAAGCTTTATTATTGAATTTATTGGTAATGGATTATCATCAAAAGCCATAATTGAAAAAGGACGGCTATGTTTACATGAAACCGTTGTGTCTGCTGGATATAAATATGAAATATTTGACGAAAACTTTGAGAAATTGGTTGATGAACAAATTGGATTATGGATTAATGAAACTTATTACAAATAATCTAATGGTGAAATAATATTACCATTTCCAGAATCTGAGACTAAATATAATGCAATTATTCAACATGGTGATTTTTACTAGAAAACCTAGCTTAATTTATAACCTGAGTAATTCTAATTGCATTGTGCTTTTATATTAACTGAAGAATAAATTTAATTAGGATAAGAACTTACAACAATAATTATACCAAAATTACTACTCAACAATTAAGATGTTGGATTTGGATTTTTTAAGGAATAATAAATTTTAGTAACATGTGTCAATGATAAAGGAGTTCCATAGACAATTACCTTTAAAGATCTCATTTTTGAAAGCAATGTCCCTCTAGAAGTTAAATTTCCAATTACCTAATAATTAAGGAATATTGATATTGAAGTCTCAGGAAGAATCAAGAGATTGCGTTTTGATTAAGATTTGATCCTAAAGAAGTTTCATCAAGTTAAATTCAATCATGGCTAATCATAACATATATTTTAGAAACAATTGCTGAAATTTGATTAAAATGATGGATACTCAATCTATTTGTTAGGAAAAAATGGAGAACCTACCAGCAACGCATAAGTTTAAATCTAATTTGAACATTCAGAAATAGATGATCTAATCTAAGAAAAGCTTATAACAAATTAATAAGGATAAATAAAATTAGGATTCTTGAAAAACATCTCTAAAATATCCTCATCTGTTCTTATTACAAACACATAAGTTGAAAAAAAGGAATGGGATCTATTCAATCCAAATAAATTTTGTTTAGAAAACTACTAAGAGACTTTTGTCGTTGGACAGAAATTGACTCTTAAGTATCCCTCAGAATATACTGAATAGGATATTTTATTTTATAAAACCAAAAGTCTAAAATCAGTATTTTTACCTGTGAAAAATTTAATTTAAAAAGTATAAAGGGATAATAATTCGGTAATTTTTGAATTTGAGAAGAAAGGAAAATATATACTTGAATTTGTAAGAGAAAAAGTAATTTATTAATTTAATGTTCTTGAAAGCAATGTCAAGCACAAAGATAATCTAATTTATACATCAACAAGAAGAATTTCTCAAAACTTAGCTGAAAAAAATTTCTCCTTGGAAAATACTAAAATCAGTTAGTAAGAGTAACACTTCGTTGTAGAAGGAGATTTTGTATCTTCAACTGAAGTTCGGTTTTTAGCCTTGGCAACAACTTTTTTCCCAAAAGAATTATCAATAATAAATAAACAAATGGGATCAATATTTTATTAAAATGTGTCTGACAATGATCTTAGAATAGAGTTGAGAGATAATATTTATCTATCTAATTTATAATAATCAGAAGAATTAAGATATATCATTGAAAGAAAAAATTAAACTAAATATGTGGGAAATACTCTTGAAAAACCATAGATCCTGTTAAATAGACTACTTGCTGATTAAACAGTAACATAGGATGAATAAATATTGAAATAGGACCATAATTTAACAGGAAATGAAAGGAAAAGATGTGCATCATCTAGATTTTTGAAAAAAGCAGCTAATTAGTTTACAGGAAATTAATTATGTGATAGTTTTACAGAATTCTTATTGTTTCCTGGTAAAGTAATAACTCAGATCAATTAAGATAAGAATCACTTTTCATTTGAAGTTCCAAATTAATATTCTACTATTTTGATCTTAGCTTACGCTAACGAATCATACATCTCTAGGGTATTGCCATTATCCAATAGTGTTATATAAGCAAAGAACCTATGTCATCAGTCATCTTTATCAAAAGATAAATTTTACTCTACTTTTCGAAGCACAAAACAAATAGCACCCAAAATTCCATATTAAATTTAAGATATATCTTCTACTGAAATTTTTATTTTGGATAACCTAAATGTATTGTTTAGAATTCAAAAGGAATTAATGAAAATTGGAAATAAGAAATTAGTAGCTGAGGATGAAAAGTTCATCAATCAACTTTTGAAATGGAATCAAGAGTCTATTCAATCTCAACATAAATTTTATAATTAACATTAATGTGATGAACTTAATTTATTCTTGTATTTTAAAGATCCGGCATATTTTGAAACCTACATCTCAAAATATATTTCAAACAAAATTGAAAAATCATTCATTGATTTCTTTTTACTAAAAGATAAGAATGCTCTTAGCAAATATGTATAGGTAACTTCATTTAAATAGTTAAACGCCTTAGAATAAGCCTTATTAGTCATTTATTTTTAAGAAATTATAGGCAATAAAGAATAAGCATAAGCTATTGCACTTTATATGAGCAATAATAATAATAACAATAAGCTGATTAAATAAGATGACGATAGATTTAAAACACTATTTGATACAATTTTAGGAATTGAGAAGGATAGTTAAGGTGAGCAGGAAGAAATTCCTGAGAAAAAATAAAATGAAATTGCTCCTCCTTACAGTCCTCCAAAAGAGCAAATGGTTTAAAATATGCAGCGTTAATTGAAAAAAAGATCATCTCTAATGAGGTTTGATAGTATTGATTATAAACAGAAAGAAGATGATGATTCTTCTATGAGCATTTAATCAATTGTCCAATCTATTAAAAGTCGATCATCAGTTAAAAAAAATGTAAATAAAATTCCCGAAATGAAATTTCATAGCAAAGACTATAAGCCTTAGGAGCAAGCTTTAAAATATGATAAAATGAGAAATCAATTGATGAAGACTTTTTCAAATGTTGAAACTACCAATGAGTATTGTGAGAAACATTATAGATATGGAGTGAATTAATAAGATTTTCATAATTTAGTTAAGCCTTAAGAGTTCTTTGTAGATCTTGTGAATCATTCTATATAGAAAGGGTTTTTAAAATAAGATTTCTGTCCTTCATCTTTCATGCTTTGTAATAATAATTTTACAGAAATTCTTAGTGTATTAGCATTGATGAGTTTACCATTTTAAACTCCTTAATTTAGCCAGACTTAATTTGGAAATAAAGGATTGGAGATCAATTATGAAAGTTCTGCGCTGATTTTTACTAGAGAAATCAAAGAGGCAGAAGTCTAACTTAATTCAAATATTATAATCAATTAAACATTTTTTGATATTACTGAAGAAAATTAAGTGGATTAGGATGGTAATGAATATGAATAAGATTTGAGTGAGTTCTTTATTAAGAAGGTATATTGTTGTAAAATAGTTGTTTCGAATTGTTCAGCAATATCATAAACCTTTTAGTTATTAGTAGAAATTCCAAATGGTTCAATCCCAGTTTTTACAACATTTTCAACTAAAACATTTACTTTGACTTGTGCTCCTTATTAGACACAAATACAAAAGTACTTTTTCTATTTCCCAAAATCAGGAATATTCACAATATATCCAGCTAATATATCAAAGCTTGGTAAGGTCATTTAGATTGCAAAGGAGAAAACACTTTAAGTTTATGATTAAAAACCAAAAGTAAATCTAGAAAATATCAATGAAGTATTATCAACGGATAATAATAAAGATATTTTAAATTACATTGAGAATAAGAACATTTTCAATACTAAACTATTTAATCCAAAATTATTGTATCATAAATTTAGTGATTAAGTGTTTTATAATTAAGTGATGGAAATATATAGAAGGAGAAAGTTTTATGATTTCCACAGTTTTGCTTATTCACTATTACACAATAACATTGAATGTTTGAAAGAGCTGTTTTTGACAGAATAAGGTCAAAATGCATTGAAATAGAAGTTTAAGCATTTTAAGTGTTCTTTGTTTGAAATCAATTCTATCAGAGTTCTTGAATATTATCCACTCATTATCAAGCGAGTTCATAAACTCAAATAAGGGGAGAATAATATACTAAATGTGTAATTTAGAAAGCAATATACAAATTATTTATCATATCTCCTGGAAAAACCATAATTTTCAACAGTTGATAAAATAGTCCTCATTTACTACTTGTTATTATAGGAGAGAGTAAACGAAGCTGTGTAAGTTTATGAATAAATAAGTGAGGAAGAGTAAAAAGAATAGCAATTATAATTTGATTATTTGTCAGCATATTTAGACTTTTATACTGGATACCCAAATTTTCAGAAGGCTAGAGAAATATGTTAGAAATACTTGAGTTATCCAGTTATACATTGGAGGAATATGTTTTATGAAATAATCAATTTATTTATTGAATATGATGGAGAGGAAGATAATCAATTTACAAAATTAGAAACCACATAATAATAGAAATAAAATGATATAATGAAGAATGAAGAAACATTAACATGTGCAATTGAAGCAGACTCAATCAATATTACATTCTCTAATTTATCTGAAGTGAAGATAGAATACTATAAATTGGATATTGAAATTCTATTTTCTAATAATCCATTTTTGAAGAATGTGATTCAAGATTTTTCAATTGTGTTACCAAATGTATGCGTTACTCAAAAACTTGTTGGTCAAGAAATCCAAAAGAAGTATATTATTAGTTAAATAAATTTAGTTTGTTTTAAGAGAAAATAAAGATTCCGAGTGAAATATCAAAGGAGAATTTGTTTGTGACAATAAAAGGTAAGTAGAAATCAGTCACTTGTAAGTATTAACCAACATCGTTGTTTGTTCGAACGATGGTAGACTCTGGATAAATTAGAGTATTTAATTAATAGGGTTAATACTTATCTAAAGTTTATGTGAAAGTGTATTCTAAGAACAAAGGTGATTCAGAGACTTTCCACAAAGACGGATATACTGATATAAGAGGAAGATTTGATTATGCTTCACTAAGTTCATCAAATGTGAAAGACATTGCTTAATTTTCAATGTTGATTTATCATGAAGATTTAGGTAATCACAAATTTTAAATATTATTAGGATCTATTATATAGTAAGTCTCTCCTCCACCAACATTAGCATAATATGAAAAAGAAATACGGTTGATAGGGAACAAATGGAGAGAATAAGAAACCTAAGAAATGTTATAATAGCAATAAATATACAATTAGAAATTTACTAAACCATGTAAAGTTGAGTAAAAAAACATAGATAATATAGATTGAGCAAATAATAGAAATTACAATATATTAATTAAATAACCTTAAGAATTTTGGTTTTAAATATTCTAATTTAATCACTAATTATTATTATTAAAACTACATCTTAAAAATATTATTATCTATGTATGATTTCTAATATATTAAATATACTTTATAATAAATAATATATTTATATTAATGTAGGTTAATTATGAAGCATTTATTGATGGTATAAATATATGAACAACCTTAGAGGCGAAAAACAAGATGATGAAATGGTAAGAAATCAACGAATAAAACATGTGGGAATTGTATTCAAATAAAGATGGATATATTGTGTATACTAAAAAGAATCCAGAAAACGGAATAAATATGAATAGGACACAAACAGAAATAGCTAGAACACCTGATCAGATACTTGATTTGATAGGAGATGTGAATAAGAGACCTATGTATGATGAGAAAGTGGAAACTGTACTAATTATAAATTGACCATCATAGGCTCACGTTGTAGAATAGATTGATGCAAATACAAGAATAGTTTATGTGAGAATCAAAGCACCCATTCCATTTATGAGCAGCAGAGATTTGATTATGGTTCAAAAAGTTTATAAATAAAATGATGGCATTATCATTGTTTGTTGTATGATCATTATGTCTAATGCTTATTCTAGCTAAATCAATTATCCATTAGAAAACTCCTCCTATTCCTAAAATTGAGAGAGCAGAGATGCATTTGAGTGGTTGGATCATTATTCCATAACCAAACCAAGTATTATTTACTTATATTTATACTTAGATGACCAAACTCATAGCAATCCAATGTTTTGATCCAAAAGGAGATGTACCTTAATCAGTGACCAATCAATATGCAAAATTGTAATCAGATATGATGAAAGCAGCAGTCAAATTTATTGCACTTAATTATAAATGAGTATTTATTAACACAAATTCAATAATGATAATCATTTGTTAAACATATATTTCATAAGGCTGTTTTCCATTCTTGTTAGAGGCATTTCGATAAACAAACAGAACAATGTTGAACATATTTGAGTGATAAACAAATTCCCAATGTAAAGTGTGAATATAGTTTCGAATGAGAAATTGGGCGTTTAATAGAATTGCCCTAGTAATCCAAAGATTATTATCTAATGTATTAAGTAACCAGAAAAGGAAATCTTGTTAATAAACCTAAAGTAATTGTTCCTCATAAACGTCATGTTGAATCTAAGATATATAAAATATCAATTACACATCTTTCATCCCAAATAGACATGGCAAACATAAGACACTCATTCCCAAAGCTATTCCTAATCGACAAAAGGCAAACCAGAAACTCTAAATGGTTTTATTCCAATAATCCTAATGTTCATAATGCAATTGAGCCGGTCTCCATCCAAACCATATTCCTCCAATAATTAATATACCCAATAAATAGCAAAACAACTTAAAATTAAGTTGTCTCTGTTAAGCAAATGCCTATAATCTACTTAATGCATTCACATTATTTTCTTTCAATTCTCTGTATAAAACTCCTAATAGGAATCCCAAATAATATGGGGGACCTCTCGTAAATGGTTTCGTGTAGTAATTCTAATGCATATTCGGTTAAGTCAAAGCGAAAGGAGGCAACAAATACTCATTCACTAATGACATCACTGTTCCAATAGTTTGAGTGATTATTAACAATGATACTATCATAGCCTTGGCGACTTTTGAATTGACTTTTGCATAAAAGAACACCGGAATCAAACAAGAGATGAACAATTGCATATCCGTTGATAAATACCAACCCCATGGAAAACAATATTAAGTATCATAGAAGAGGTTATCTATAAATATTAGGTTTCTCCATCCTGTTGCACATTCAAAACGATCCAAAGCCATAAACCATCTTGGTCCATCTCCTAAGTATGGTACTAACTATGAACTTATCAGAATGGCTATTGCATAACAAGGCCAAATTCTCAATATCCTATGTAATAAGAATCCAAATATTGAGAATCCATTTCTCTTCACTAGTTTCACTTTGCTCTTCTCCAATAACATGTAAGCACTAAAAAACCCACCAAGCCAAAAGAACATGTCTACACTATATAGCATATTAACTAAGTTTAAACATAACCACGATTTCAATTACGCTATCATTTCAAATCTAAATGAAGATTTAGCTAAATCTAGAAATTGATGACCAAAGATCACCATAAAAAATCCTATTGATCTATATCCCTCCATAATACTTAAATTTGTATCGTGATCTTTGAATGTGAATAGTGTATTGTAACTTGTCTAAATAGAATAATCTAAGAAACACAATTTATTCGTTTCCTCTTGTTTTACAACTGGAATCTAATTGTTTGTCAATCCTTAATTTTCATCATCCTGCTTTTCATTATTTTCAATATCTCTTATATTAATAGAAACTTTGACTTATCTTTTGATATTTATTAACTAACAAAATATTGGATTGAAACAACTTAGGAGCAACAACATTCCAATAAGAAAAAGTGTCAATATGAACATAACACCTGAATTCTTATTATAATTAAGAGGGTCATAAAAAATGAAATCAGCATTGTCTAATGACACCTTGAATAACTTCAATTTTACATTATATGTATCTAAGATCCCTGTTGAATTGATCAACTCCTTAAAATCAGACTAAAATTATTCATCATTGAAGTCATCCGTTGTACATTCTCTTGAATGACATAATCCATAATAACTGGGCACGGGTTCCATTTCTATTTTCAGACTTGAATAATAATATCCCTTTCTTAAACAAGTTTCAAACATACCAAATTGATTAAGACTACCTTATAATAACAAATAGTACCTTGTTCCTGATAAACTTACATATGGCCATATATCTTCAAAAAGCTTCTTGTATCCTTCAATTTCAGCTTTCACCAAAAGGGATGTCATGTAATGTTGACAAGACTCCTAGGATGCAATTACAATTGGTATTAGTATATAATTTAATAACATTAATTAATATTTCAGTATAGTGAAATTAGCAAAATGGAAGTAGAAATTCACTAAGATAAATTAAATGATAACATTCAATGAGTATATCATTTGATTTAATAATGAAATAAGATAGACATTTTTCAAGATCCCGAAGAAGCACCTCTCCATAACTCAAAAATAAAAAGGCACTAAAAAACAAACAAAAGAAAAACCATAACTTACAATCTTCATCTTCCAAAACCAAATCAATATCACAAGAAATTTAACCTGGCTTACCTGAAGAAAGGAATATCCTCAATTTGATTTAGGAACTGGAAACCTAAGATTAGAAAGGGATCGAAAATCAGAAACTTATTCACTTATGTCTTTAGGATACCTAAAATCCAAGTATTAAATATATAGATCTATTTAGTTATAAACGAAAACCAAGAACTTTCAGAGATCTAGAGATAATCACAATATAACTAAAATTATCACTAAGAATGTCAACAATCAATGAGAAATGAATACGTCTTCCTTGGGAATAGTCTTTCAAAACACATGATCTCTGAGAGACAGAGAGTCAAGATGGTTAATTGGATGGTCGAAGTCTTAAGTAATTATAATGAAACTACATCCGATATTACTTTCTTCAGATCTGTTTCCATAATGGATCACTACCTCTAAAAATCTATTTTCAAATTTTCTGATAGTAATCTTCATCTTATTGGCATCACTTCCATGTTTATTGCTACGAAACTTGAAGATATTTATCATATCCCTTTGAAAGATTTTGTAACCAGAGTTAGTCATAATTAATATTCCTTGTATATATATTATCTAATTTAGTTTCGCAATCAAAGCGATGGAACAATCAATCTTGGAAACCTTAAATTTTGAGGTCACATTCCCAACCTCATTGGACTTTTTGCAAAATATCTTTTACTAATGTTTTAGTTTGAATGACAAGTATTAATTTCTTATTATTACTTTAGTCCTAATTTACAAGATATTTTAGATTCTAGTATCTATATATTGAAAATGTGTTTATATGATTACACTATGACATCCTTCAATTTATATACTCTCGCAGCTTCCTCCCTTATATTTTCCATAAAAGACTTTGTCAACAAAAATTATCTAAATGATCGAAATATCGTCATCGATCAATTTGTAATCATTTATACTATCAATTTAGTACAATAAAATTATGTAAATCTCTTAAATCGATTAAACAGAGCTTAATTCATGTGAAGTCTATATATAGGATCTAGTTGGTTCTTTTCATATTTTATATCCTCTATTCCGCAATTTACAATAATATTCATGAATTTGATTAATTTAAGCATTAATTTTTTTATTAATTTTTAATTATGTAATCAAATTAACATAAAATCATGAGAAATTATGATTTTTATAACAATGAAAATTGGAAAGAGGTTAAACTATAAATTCAACATTATATTGAATTATTTTAAAAATAAACTCAACCTCAAATTCAAAATATAGAATAATTTTATTAAAATCTAGAGTATGATCATTCTTTTATTTAATGGATGTTCCCTAATTTTTATTAAAGCATGTTTAATTCAAACTCTTAAAAATTAACACTCAAAGAAAGAGATTGTATGATTAAATCAGACACAATCCTTAAAAGATATCACTAGTATTATATTTTGATTTTGAGATTTTATGGTATTGAAATAAAATAGGTGAAAATTAAGTAAATAGAAAAAGCTAATGTAAGCAATTAATAGTCTTAAATTCATACATAAACTTTTAATAATTTTAATAACTAGTAATCTAAAGACATTAAAAATACAATTAAATAGATAGATATCAAAGTAACCCAATAAAAGACTAATAATTAATGTGAAATATATCAATAAAAGTAAAAGTAAAATGAATTATAAAATTGCAAACCAAACAATCAATTATAATAAATACAATAATAATTTTAATTGCCTAAGGATACTAATAATTACAAAAATATTTAGACATAAAGTCACATACAGAATACAGATCCAACCAATAATTAATAATCAGAATTAGTATTGATTGATAAAAAGTAGTTTGAATTGTGTTGTTTATAAAATACTCATCATCTATTGAGATTAAAAAGAATACTAGCATCCTTGAGTGTGTTAAAACATAGAAAAGAAGCAATTCAGCTATGTTAATTTTTAAAAAAAGAGTTGACCAACATGGGAAGAGAGAATATTTATTAAGAAAATTTCAGTGGATTTGACAGATATTATGAGGAAATGTCAGAGAGGGATACGTACAGAGCTGTGAATCGAAGGTTTAATTCATTTAAGTATTGTTATGTAGATAAAGATTTACTGGAATAGGTCGATATTTCGATAATTTAATGATTTCAATTAATATAATCATTTTTTAGTTGATAAATTTGTGTTGATTTTAGAGGTGACAGATTTAAATTTCTCCATTTTAAAGGGTTCCTTCTTTTCTACTCCTTAAATCGCAGCCAATTTTTTGTGGTTGGTATCGTGAAATAATTAGGAGGCCTTGTTGCCTTTGACCATGGAAGAAGTCATTTTGGAATCCTTGGTTTTAGCATATTGTATATACTTGAGATCCTGCTCTCTATTGATATTTATCCAGAATGGTTGATTCAGCCTCAATACAATAAGAGTTGCCCATGACTAATTTCATAGGTGTTGATGGTCTTAATAGGGAGGTACAATTACCTGTTTTTACGACCATAGCGAAATTCCTCTTCTGGTAATTCAATGGCCTGAATATTTGTGCCCTTCTTAACTTTAAGTCTGGCATCATGAGTCTGTCTGAATTTGTACATGTCCTGTTGGAGTAATGAATAAATCAGTTACATGTGCTTTGAATGAGCCATTGTGTATGGATTGTTTATTGAGTTCAGCAAAGTCTCGATTTGGTAGATGATCTTGAGATTCTTGATGAAATTTCCAGGTCATAGTAACTTATGGGAATTGACATTGTCATAAATACCTTCTTTGGCTCCTTCTTTGTCTCTTGAGAGTGGTTATCCATAAATAAAGTCTTGATTAGGAAGGTTGTAGGTGGAGGGCTTTGATTTTCCAACGTCATCCTTCATCAAGAGAGGGTTGGTGTGATTATTTGAGAAGGGAGGTGCAGTTTACATATATTATTTTATTTATTAATAATGAGTTTTATTTATTATTAAAATAATAATAATAATAATGGAAGTAAACATATTATTATTTATATATTGTACAATAATAACATTATATTTGATATAGAAAATATTTACTAGCAAGACTAATAATAATAACAATTTGGTGAAGGATTTAATGTAGGAAATAGAGAATTTAAAGAATGTTAATAATAATCAGAACAAACAACAGAATAGTCAGATTACTCAAATCAAATAGCACTTTACTGAGTTGACTCAGATATAGGACGATTTCCAGAAAAGTATGCTATTATGAATAAGAATAGAATTATTGAATACTCAAATAAAATTGATGCAACATGTAAATAAAACATATTCTCAAAGAACGAATTCACAGCACAATAATTCAGTTTTATCATAAAGAGATTAGTCAATCGAGGAGAAATGAATGATTATTTTAATTAATTAAATAATAATAATATATATATTAGAAGCAATTATGAGTCAGGAGGAGATGTTGGCTAAATAAGAGGAAATAAATTTATAAGCTGAGGAAGGTGAGTAAAGAAGGAAGAATAAAAAAAGAGTAATTACAAATCCCAATTAATTAACAGGACATTGGAGTGAATAGGAACACAAAACATATTTAGAATTCTTGAATATGCATAGAACAGTCATGGAATCATAAGATTAAAAGAAAACGAGCAAGATTTTCAAATTAATGAGTGAAACAATTGGTACTCGAAGTCCTTCTTAATGCCGGTGAGATTGGTTTTTTCTCTATCTTCTAGGTCACATCACCAGAAGTTCAATCCTTTTGTGCATTCGGTCAAGAAGAGATAGAAGGGAGTGGGTCGGAAGAGAAAGGAGAATGGAAACTAGGATAGAATGGATAAGTATAATGACAATGGACTGCTCTAGTAGTTTATGGTTGGGCCACAATTATATTAATAGCAACAGGGATTTTAAGATTACTAATTTCAGTTCCCATAGATGCCATACATGTTTCCAATCCCAGATCAGACATCCAAAGATGACGATAAATTAAATATATATGATCAATAATAGTTGTACTTTCAATAATACTTGCTGGCATAATAGTAAATGCAATAATAAATGGATGATAAAAATCTATTTTGTTATTTTATGCATCCACAACAGCTCCCTTTAAATTTGAATTACTATCCACAATAGGTGTTATCAGAAGATATGAATATCAAAGATGATGAATAATGAAATAGTATTTAAATATTATAGTTCGAGATAATTCGTTTTTATTTAAATAATGAAAATACAATTAATATTAGTCCTTCTAATAGCTGTCAATACTCAATCCTTTTTGGAAGAGTCTGCACTCTACTATTAGACTCCCTTCGCTCCCATCATGATCTAAGAGGATGAATTACAACAAGATATCGAAACAGCCATTGCTCCTGAATAAGAATATGTGTATAATCCAGAGTCTGTCTTATAATCAGCCAAAGAATAATAAATTTTGATTGCCAGAAATTATGAGTAAAACTTGCCTGCAACAGGTGATTGCATAATATTGTATTCCGAATGCAACTTTAGAGGTTCATCATTCAAGTATTGCAATTAACCAGATGAAGTCTTGTCATTTCAACTCCCCATATAATCTGTATATGTTCCCATTGGGTATTGATCATACTTATTAAGATCCTCATTTTAAATGACTGATGCCTTAGAAGGAAACTAAATCAATATGTTATTGAGTAATGATTGCATTCCCTCTGGTTTACATTTACCAGAACCAGAATTACAAGAAGCATAAGACACTGGCAGCAGTTGGTTTAGTGAATTGAAGGATTCTGAGAAGGCTGTTCTAGATGAAGGTGACTTGTCAACACCAAAAATATAATACTTTGATAATGATGGAAATGTGATTAGTATGTTTTCATTTGATTAATCTATCAGGCAGAGAACAATACTAAAAGATGGTTGAAGAAGATGCCAAGAGATCTTACGAAATCTTAAGCGGATAATAAACTCTAGTATCTCCAGGAGAAGAACAGCCTTAATAAACTGCCACTGCTAATGTTGAAGAAATGCCTGTAGAAAAGGAATAATAATAATAAGAATAATAAGAATGATAGATTATTATAAATTTTAGAGAAACAATAATATTTATATCTTATGTTAATAATAGTATTTATATATCAAATCTTGTAAGCTATTCAAAACTATGAATATACATTTTACTTACATCCTCACTGTTTATATCATCTGGTAAAATCTTGTCATGTTACTGTTACTGTTGGAGCAACTATTATTGTTTCAGATATTCGTGTTTCTGCCTTTGATTGATTATAGAATAATATTTACGCAGCCTACGCTAATTAGACATCCATCATATTAATTCTTAATTTATCCTTGATATTAGATTTTCCCTTTAGTTTTTAGTTCTATTGTTATTAAAATGGCAATTGGTTTTGTTATTGTTAGAATTACCTATTAAGAATACTGATCAAATATAATTACTAAGCTTAATTGAAATAACAACTGACTTCCGTTGCCTGCTCTTTTCCTAAATATCCGAAACTACTTTCTTCTGAATCATTCACTCCTGTCTATTAGTAAATATTTCATACTTGAATCATCAGCTAAAAGTGAATCACATAGATCTAATTGCTTATAACTAATTTCATATTATTGAATTATTTTATCTGGAACTTATTGTGATTATTATTATAATTATAATTATTATTAATTGTTCTTTGAAACCTAGGTATGTTTCTGTTATGGTAACATATCAATATTCAAATTTCCTTCAGTGTCATCTTGATTAACATTCTCTGCACTCTGGATAAATTATTCAAACATTCTATCAAATTTAAATTTATTCAAACTTACTCTATTATCGAACTATCACCCACTCTTTTTAAAAACACCTTCATTAATTGTTCTCTTTATAACAACTTTTGTATGGCTTCAAATTACCCTTATACGAGATATTTCAACTCTTATGTTTCTATATCCATATTAATTATACATACCTGATTCTAATTAAATGTTCTCTTGATTGGAATGGTTCTATTATTACAATTCTGAGATTTACTATTTCAATTAGGTGATCTAATCATTCATTGACATTTTATTTTCTGACAATTAATCATTTTCCTATTGCAAGACCTCTTGCTTCTTTTTGATTTACAATAACACATTCTCCAACTTCTTCTTGTCCAATTACAACTAATAAGACTATTGTAAGATCTGAATCTGCCTTTTGAAGAAATGGTCAATTTGAATGGCTTAGAAAGTATCTTGGGTTGAGGATGGCAAATTGAATTGTTGTTGAGATGCTTGTAGATTTGGTTCTTAGAACAACACTACCACCAATTGATTCAGGATTTGATTGAATTTAGTCATAAAAGCTAATTCTTTGGCATCTTGTGGCAGATTTTGATCTCTTTCTTATAACAATAATTTGATTTTCTCTTTGACTTTTTGAATTTGAGATTGATCACTTGATACACTATTACTGTTGATTTTATTTTTAACTGAATGATGGAAGGATGCATTTTTGGTTAGAGCAGGAGATTGTTGTTCGATATGTATCATAGATTGATTCTTGCGTAACTTATGTGAAATCTTCACAGTTTCAATCAATTCGTTGTTGATGGAGTACTTTTATTTGGTGTTTTATTATTATCCACTAATGACATTCAAAATGCTGCTTAATTTCTGCTAAGAAACAGGTTGATTAATAAATGTCTTATTAACTTTCTATAGATTCTCATAAGATTTTTATCTTCCAACGACAGGACTATTGTTGTTTGAGATGTTTTGCGATTAACTTTCAATCTGATTCTTCGATCCAGTTTTAATTAACTTCTTCTCCAAGATTTTGCCTTGCAATTTTAACATCTAACTGGCATATATTTATTGAGCTATTCTCTCATTGTCACATTTCTTCATAATAATTAATAATCTAAACTAATTATATTAAACCATGAAGAATAATTTGAACAACATCAACTACAACCAAGAAAGAAGACTGCTCACTAAATATGTGATTTGAACCACCAGCTTACTTAATTAGAAAATTAACACTCATAAGAATTTAGACAATAACCTTGATTCCAAAAAGAATTTGACCGCCTTCAGTATCAATAACAAGAAGGATATCTAAATCCAATAATAATGACTCTTCTAAATTAAGAATTTTAGATCTACTATGTGCAAGTCATGATCTTTCTCTTTTGATTTAAAATAATCAAGATCTTAAGAATACAGAAAATACTCATCGGCTTCAAAGAACCCAGATGAAGTCCTGTGATATGAAGTTAGATAAAAGAGAAGATATCTAAGAAATTATGTAAAATATATTGATTTCCTATACAAAATTTTAGATGTAATTGTATAAACAATTTAAAATTATAATAGAGAATAACTCATATTTTCATTATGCCTAAAAACGTCGATTTTGATATTAGCTAACCATTGTCAATTGGTTCCAATTAGCTATACTTTTTGGACTCTCCAAATCTTATATTATTATTTCATAAATCAATTTTACCTCTCAAACATTTTGTATGATTTATAAGATAATTTATTAAGCCAATTTATTATTTCAACATTACTATTGAGTTTTTTATCAATCTTTTGTTGAAATGGATTTTTGCATAAGCTAATTTAATAATGAATAATTATTGATTATATTTTATTTTATGAATCAATACCATCAATTCTAGTTCAATTTTTACTAATTATATAATTTAATTTGCATTACTATTTAGGAAATTAAGATTGTCCACGATTGATTTATCCTATATTCTCCTAACATATTATTTTAAATTAGTTAATTATATTGATATATTTTTAGAAGTCTAATTAATTGATTGTTAAACAATTATTTTAAAAAATAGATTTTGTCTATAAAGATAAAGCTTAGGATCAATTTAGATTGAATTCTTCAATAGAGAGCTAATTTAATTAACTTATCTTAACAAACATAAAATAGATTGGTAGCATAATCATATAATAACTCCGTAAACAAAATGATAATAGATAAATTGAATGTTTAAACAAATTTAATATTATTTATTTATAATAATTACATATATTCAATTATTAAAATTCTAAATGCTAGTTTGTATATAATGATATACTTCTTTAATCTACACAAATTTTTTAGTCTGTTTGTTAATTTTATTATACACTGTAAAATTATTTTGATCATGAATAATTAAATTAAATTTAGCGTGATCATATTCTTATTCTCCTCTTCTTTCTGCCTTCTATGTGAATCCTTGAGCTCTCAGATAAGATTGAAAATCATTTGGAGCAGGTTGTTTTCGATTTCTTTGAATATTATACTAATCAAATTCCCTCAAAATCATACTAACCCATTGTTCATTCTCTCTATTATAAATGTCTTTAGAGACCAAATCCTTTAACAATTTCTTATAATCTATGCTTTGATTTTGAGTGATTTTCTAAAAAACTATCCGTATTGCTTCTCTTAAATCTTAATTTTCTTTATATTTCTAAAAGATTTCAGTGGCTAATTTACTCTGATCAATGTTGGGTCTTTGATCCCATTTTTCAAATAAAATTTTATCTTTTTCGCAATACAAATGATAGAATTGAGTGAAAATATCTAATTATGATGCTATCCCTGTAATTTCACGTACAATAATTTAGATAACATTCTTTATAAGGTTGTAAAATGTTCCTTGCATTTCTGATGAATCAAATAATTATTCAAACATTTTCTAAAAGAAATTGGATTCTGTGAAGAATTCGGTTGAAATTACAATATTTTAATCTAGTCTTTCAATCTTTTTAAGGTAAATGTCAAATAAGAATTAGTTAAACTTTTATTAATATCTAGATTCTAATGATTTTACGTATTTGCTGCATATCAACTTACTGATTATCATTCTGAATCTATTCCTGATAACTACTTATGCCATACCTTTATTCTAAAATATAATAATTTAATACAGACTAAAAATAAGCCTCATAAACTGAAAGTAAATCATCAACATATGTAATCTCAAATGATTTAGGTTCTAGTAAGACTTTCAATATGAATTCCTGGACATCCTTTATCTCTTATTGATGTATCATCGAACATATTTGAGTAATGGATGTTTTATTCACAAATCCAAACCATGTATCTCGTATCAATTGTCTGAATTCTGGTTCTTTCTATGCTTTTTGGTTAATTTGTGATATTTGACTGATAAATGAGTTCTTAAAGCTATCTCCCAATTGCAAATGCTACACCATTTGTTCATAAAACCTATTAATGAAGATGACTATTACATTTTCTATACTTGCTCAAGGTTTTAGGGGAGATAATAATGGTACTAATTCAAGTATTCAAAGACTTTGGCTGTAGGCTTCATTTAATTATAAATTGTAATATTTACAAAAATATTTTGGAAAGAAATGAATTATCTTAAATTCAATTGAAAAAGGAAGCAAATCAAAAAATACTAGATAATATGGTATGATATGTTAATCATTGTTCTTATTCTGAAAGAGCAGTTCCTTCAAGAGCTTAAGATTGTAATTCTTCCTTTGTCTCTTACTCTAATTGGTCTTCTCTAATGATGTTATCCATGTCAGTTTATAATTTGATCATGGCTGGACCCCTTTCAATTTCTTGGGTCATTTGCAAATATGCATTATAGAGTTACTTTGGTAAATGATCACCTGCATCCTATTCAAGGATATTTCCATTGACATCAGTAACAGTGTAAGAGAAGACTCCTGCATTGTTGGATAAATCAGTGACTTGACCCACAACTCCTGGAACATATTATTCATTGGTTTGGACTAAGGAAGCATGTTTCTTGGCTTATTTATCATGCTTGGTGTCTTCTGAGGTTATTTATGCCCAATGTTCTATTTAAATGAAGAGATCGTACGAGCTTCCTTTGGGTTGAGGTGATAATCAGAATCTCCCAAGTTGACAAATTCCATGAAGGCACTATTGAAGACTCTCTTCTGATGAACTGCTCCGTGAGACTTTCTAACATGTCCAGCTTGAGTGGCTATAAGTAAAGCACAAATAAGAAGGGACTTATACATTTCGATAATAATAATAATAATAATCGTTTTTGCACTTTTTACATTTGGTAAATTATTTTTAATTAATAAATAACTCAACTTTATGGATCCTTGGCTGTTAGCACAAACAAACTCATTAAACCAATCATCACGAATTTCAATGAAGGATAGTCATTCAGTAATATAGTGATGTATCCCACATATGGCAACACTCTAAAAATATGTAACCTATATGAACCCTTCTATTTTTCCCATGATGTCTGATCGTTCCAGCCACATCTGTTTTCTTGGATACAAGGCTCGGTCATCCACTTGATTATTATCACCTTTGGTCAATATCAACTAATCCATAGGATCTTCACTCCTATTCACTATATTATCTGCATTCTTACTTCTATTGAATTTGCAATACTCTATGCACAATTGGAATGTCTTAATCTTTGATCTTATACACAATCACATCTCCCACCTCAAATGGCTTGTTGAAGTAGGTCAAGAATAGTATATCACCTCTGTAATATGCAGGCTCCATTGATCCAGACAAAACAACGACCACTGGAGATTCTGAAAATGACACGACTTATAAACTCTTCCAAATTGACAATGCTGATCCTACTACTATTGCTAATGAAACTATTTGCAATATTATCTGCATGTATATCATTTCTCATTATACCTTTCTGAACTTCATGTGTCTGAATTCATCCACGTAGCCAAGAATGACATCCATTATTTTATTTTTAATTTATTTAATTACATATTTGATTTGTATTACAAATTAATAGAAATATTAAAAATGAGTCTCTAAGTCTATCAAGCACCACCATCCCAACTTATTAACTCCTATCTGATCACACTTATAGATGGAACTGGATCTATGGCTTAAGAGTATGAATAAGCAGTCAAAGCATATTAATAAGTCTTCTCCTATCTTGGAAATCAGAAGTTAGATTATCAATTCCAATCTCAACTCTATCCAATCCTTCCCTATGTTGGAGTCAATGGATGTGGAGGAAACATCACAAAAACCTTCAAAGAATTATTTTCGATACTCCTTAGTAAACAACACCCTGTCCCAAAAAACATTACAATATTATTTGTGAGTGATGGCAGAGAATCCTTTGATCTTAATTAGCTTCAAACTCAAATCTAAGAAATGAAGAAAATATATATGATCCAATTCATTAGTTTAGCTGTAGGAGACAGATTCCCTAATGAAATCAGCAATATCTTAAGAAACAAAATTCATAACCATGATCCTAACTTTTAATCACTATTTAAAGTTAAGAGACAATATACAAGTACTAAAGAAGTCATCTATTAAAATTTTCTTAATTGCTTTTTATAAATCAAACCATTAATCCAAGTTCAAGATGGAATCATTCAAATTAATTAGTAGGTCTAATAAACTCTTGTATCCCCATTGTCAAATTAAGTAATTGCAGGTAGTCACTTTTGTGCCAAATCAGATGGCAAACAAGATAACGAAATTTGTGCTGGACCTACTAAATTACAACCCAAAACTACGGACAAAGATATCAATGAATTTATCATTGGTTCCTTATCATAAGCCATCAATGATCAGATTGCTAACAAAAAAAGAGACACTCAATTATTCAAAAAGATCTCTGAAGCAGCCCCTCAACTTTTAAAGTAAATAAAATCAGTTGTATCTACTCCAGAAGAACAAAGCAAAAGTCAAGAAGTTTATTCATTACTAGATGAATTACTATCCTAAAATTTATAATTGCAGACCATGAGTGAGAATCAAATCACCTAATTATAACGAGGATTATTCGATCAATAAGTGTCTTTGAATTAAATTATTAATGTTAATTCGCTCGATATTAAAAAGAAGATTGTTACACCTGAAATGTTAAATGAAAGACTAGCAGAATAATATCAAAAATTAATTGCTCCAGACACCTTTCAAGAACCAGATAACTTAAAAAACTAATAATTAACTTTACTTGATTCTACCGAATTGATTATTATTGAAACTCTTAATAATCACATTTCATATATTCAAAGCAATCTAAATGCAGATCATACCAAACTGTTAACGGATTTTCTCACTTCAACATAAGAATCTCTAATTAAAGTATTTTCTGCTTCAGATTTTAAAGTTGAATAAGATGAATAAATTGTATCTTTCAAATAGATGAACAATTTGTTCTAATTAATAGATTAGACCATCAAGAGATTAATTAGCATTTAAAACTTCTTAGTTCTTGTGAAGAAATATCAATAGAAAACTTAAGTTATTGAAGGTGTGGATGCATCAAATGCTTTGTTTTCATCTAATGATGATTATAAATATTTACCAAAGGAACTGTAAATTTTATTAAAGGAAGGTTTAGAACTGGAAGAGGCTGAAAAATGCTTAATACTTATAGTGGATATAAATGATTCAATGAAGAATGAATCCTAAATTGCTATTGAATCATTTTAGACACAATTTAAAGATATTCCAGAAAAAAAGAAAGTAATTTTAGTGTGGTAAAATAATAAATTTTAGTAATAATAACAATAATAATAATAATAATAGTAATAATATGAAAGCTTATTAGAATAATTTAAATAACTTGATCAATAGTATGATTTATCTAATAAAAGAAATAGAATTTGTGTAGTTACTGATGGATAAACTAATTATTAGCAATTACATAAATCGTTTAAAGTTGTAAGGTTTCATTATTCTTTCTAAATCATTTATTTAACTATTGGATCCTAAATAAATTCTAAAATTGGAAATGAACTAAAATCAAAATACTAAGACAGAAACATTAGAGGATGTCCTTTATTGTTTAATGTACCAAGATCTATTGTCTAATCAACATAAAATACATCTTAAAGAACGAAAGACGCATTTAATAGATGTTTTGAAGATATTTACAAACATTTTATAAAATGAATTATGCTAATTCATATAAATAATCATAAGAAATCATAATTAAATTGACCTATTTGCTTTTCCTCTTCTATTTTATTAATTTCAGTCAATAGTTCCTAAAACTAATCTTAATTTTAATTTTCATATCCTTCCAAAAATGGTTTAATTTCTTGAGATTTTTTTTATATCTAGAAATATTATCAAGATTACATTTCCCTTTTTCAATCCAGCCAATCCCTAAATAAGATTCTTAAATTCATCAACCAACTCTCCTATTTTATCTTAAGCTGTTATATCTTGCAATTCTATTGGTTTTTATTTGCTTCTTTTTCCAGTTGATAAACGAGTAGTATTTTAATTGATATGTTATGCATATTCTGCTAACTTTTTAAGAGGACGCACGATGTAATAAGCGAATATCCATCCAAGTAGCAAGATTAATAAGAATGAGCCGCTAATCAAATAAATAGTATAGAGCAGATTAGCGTTGAATTCATCATCTGAATTTTATAAAATTTCATCAGCTTAATTGTACTCATTTATTTCGTCCATATAAAGCTTGATTACGGATGATTTGTTACTACTACGAAAGAATTCGAGGAACTTGAATAATTTCCAGCTAGATAGCAATTACTATTAACACATTTAGAAAATGTATTATTGCCATTTTACAATTGAGAAGCCTAATAATATGGAGTAAGAAGTACAAAATTAATGGTTTCAATGATGGATTCATTTGTGACTACAGGATAAGTTTAAACTAATGCAGAATCGAATGATGATTAATTTTATACTGTAATCTGACAAGTCCATGTGCAGACTGCAGTCTTCAGGCATGTAAGGGATACATACATGTGCTATCTGTGTAATTTTTGACTGCATTTTAAGCGAATAGAGTGAAAAAATGTTTGCTGACATAGAGACCAATGATAACTTGGGAGGTAACAAACAATAAAGTGATGAATGTGAGTAGGAAGAGTGAAATCATAATTTGATTGAGTATACTCCAGTTCGATTTGATTTCGAAGAAGCAAAATTTTCTGGAGATGGGTTTTTTGACAAAATTCCTGGACTCTCTGGGTTTAAATTAATACATGTTTTTTAAAATAATGAGTAGAGTAAATGATTATAGTATAAACTTCTGTTAATTCATAAAAATTGATTCGTTTTGGTAATAAATATAATATTAATTAATCTATATGAGCTTGTTTAGATCAGAGTAGATGGAATTCTATAATCTGGTTATTCCAAGAGAGTCAGCATGGGATGTAATGAACACATTAGGATATTTTGATAGCGTTCACATTATAGATTATGATCCGAATTTACCCTAAATAAATAGGCCATTTTCAAATTATGTGAAGAGGTATTTCATTTAGAGATTTAAGATGTGATGATGTGATGCAGAAGATTGAGTAGATAGATAGTGAGATGAGAAATTTCAAGATTGAAAAGAGATATTGTCCAGATGTTATAGATTTATTGAAGAAGAGAAATGGGACTCATAAACAATTTGAAGAATTGGAATAGGATATATGTAAAGTGGCAGATGATTTGGAACATCAATAACAAACAATGAATAGTTTATAAGAGAAGAAAAACACAATAAGGGAGAATTTGGAAGTGTTAAGAAATGCAGTGGCATTTTAGAATGAGGATTCGGAAGAGGCTAGTTTGTTGGGATTTCAGAAGATGGTTGGAGTTATATTGAAAGAAGATGAAATGAGATTCAAAAGGATAATCTTTAGAATAACAAAGGGCAACATTCACGTTGATATTATGGACATCCAAGAACATTTCATATAATAGGATAGAAGGATAGTATAGAAGTGTGTGTTTATGCTCATTTATCCAAATGGAGACTTGACTCAAAAGAAAATCCAGAGAGTAATTGAGTCTTTTTCATGCAATAAATTTGATATCCCAACATCAAGTGACTAACATGCTTAGAGAATTACAATGTTGGAGAATCAATTGAGTGAGGCAGATTAATTGTTGCATTTGACTATTACTCAAATTAACAAAAGGTTGCAGGATTTGGCAGAGGTTAAACACAACTGTTCTTGGATTGAAGAGATGAGAATCTTGGTAACAAAAGAGAGGTATTTGTACATGAATTTGAATATGTTGAATATGACAAACTCCGTATTTCATGGTCAGATATGGTTACCATAAGGTTAGGATTAAAAAATTTAATAGGCTCTACGAAACTTACATGGTAATGATAAATAAATACCTAGTGGTTAAATCTAGGAATGTTAAACTCAATTAACTCCTCCTACATATTATAAATTAAATTAATTTACATATCCCTTTTAGGAAATTGTCAATACTTATGGCATACCCAGATACAAGGAAATCAATCCAGGCTTGTCTACTATCATAACATTCCCATTTCTAGTTGGTGTGATGTTTGGTGATATTGGTCATGGGTATAATATATTAAATTATTAAGAGTTTGTTATTGTTTGTTTGTGGATTGTATCTCACAACTGAAGATGCAAGGAAATCAATCTTCTCTGGAATAGTCCCCATGAGATATATGATACTCCTCATTGGATTCTTTGCTTGTTACAATGGACTCATTTACAACGATTTTCTATCCATAGGCTTAAACTTATTTGGAAGTTGTTACAATTTGGTAGATGGTGAATATGAACTTCAAGAAGATTGTGTCTATAAATTTGGAATAGATCCAGCATGGGGATCTTCAGCCAATCAATTGACTTTCATGAATTCATTCAAAATGAAATTGGCAGTCATCATCGGAGTCACTCACATGACTTTCGGTATCATTTTGAAAGGATTCAACACTCTACACTTTAACAACTATTTGGATTTCTTTTGTGAATTCATTCCATAATTCCTTTTATTACTCTGTAGTTTTGGTTACATGGATTTCTTATTGTTTTTGAAATGGTCTACCAAATTTGAAGATACTAAAGATGCTCCTAGTGTAATCACAACTATGATTGACATGGTGTTAAGACCTTTTGATGTCCCTGAGAAACCATTGTTCGAATCTGGGGAGTAATAGAGATTTATCCAACTTCTGTTATTAACCATAATAACCTTCTGCATTCCAATTATGTTAATTACAAAACCACTTATTTTCAGTTTACGTAAGAAGAATCATCATCAATATTAATAAATACCCTCTTAAGTACCTGAGGAAGATCCCAATCCAGAATAATTACAACATGATATGTAAAAAGAGTAATCACAACCACATAGTAAATTGTCTATTTAATAACATAATGAACATGATGATATTGGTGAATTAATTGTCCATCAATGTATAATTTATATTGATTATTCATAGCCATTGAAACTATCGAATTTGTTCTAGGAAGTGTTAGCAATACAGCATCTTATTTAAGATTGTGGGCATTATCCTTAGCTCATTCACAATTAGCTGAAGTCTTCTTCTCCATGACTATAGCCAGTCACATTGGCGAAGGAGGATTCTTTGGAACCATAGGAGTATTCATCTGCATTTACATTTTAGTCTGTCGTACAATTCCCAGGATTTGCTTTGGCCACTTTTGGAGTCTTGATGTGTATGGATCTTATGGAGTGTTTCTTGCATGCCCTTCGATTACAATGGTATGATCTCTAATCACTATTTATTTAGGGTTGAATTCTAAAGCAAATTCTACAAAGCTGATGGGTACCTGTTTAAAGCATACTCATTCACAAATATCAAAACCAATAAAGAAGATGATTGATGTCTTAAATATCATAAAAATATAAACCAAATTAAAATTATCATCAATATTAGTAATGGGATTAAGTAAATGGAGATTGGCCATTGCCATTACTCAACCAGACTTATTCTCTCCTTCTTATAAGTCAACTTGGCTCCATATTCTAAAGCATATTTCATTGGTCCTGTAAAAGTGAACTTTACAAAATGAGCGTGTTCCCAAACTTTTTAGTGTTTCTGTATTAAAACTAAAAAGGCAATTGTCATATATAAGGTGAACCCATATAGTATTTCTTCAAAACCTATATCCAAAGCTGCAGTTTCTGCAGACTTGAAATACTTTGCTACCAACCTAGGTCCGAAATAATGTTAACTCTTTTTTATTTTGAATATGGGATCATCAAAATAAGCGAGCTTAATCCATTTTGCTAATTATATTTCATTTTCAGATAATTTCATCTTATCAGTTTTTTTCAAAGGATCATTGATTGCTATAACGAAAGCACTGCAATATAAAGACTTACTGTTTCTCAATTTCTTCATATAAGCATTTTTAGAGAGTCGACATACATAATAACATTCTAAATCATTTAAATTTATTCCCACTTCTTCATGTACTTCTCTTACTGCAGCTTATAAATCAGTTTCATCATTGTCGCATTTGCCCCCTGGGAAGGCGATTTCACCACTATATTAATCTCTATTTGAGTATTATCTCTAAATATAAAGTATTTCAATGTCTTGCTATTCTTGAAATTTGGTGCATTAAGGATTGTTGACATTCAGTTAAGAATAGCCTTATTATGGTTTGAATCGGCCTCTCAAGAGTATACAAACTGCAGATTGAGCAGCAGTCGGAGTATTGGTATAGGGTTTATATTATTATTGAGGTGGAATTAAATTTAGCATATGATTATTATTATTAATATACATTATTTAGCATAATATTATGTTTTGGTCATTAGATTAATATGACATTTTGTATGTGTTCTCCAGGTATGACGACGCTGCCAACATAGTATTTGTCTTTCATAAATTGATCATTGAATGCCTTGGCCTCATCTACCTTTTTTTATAATTCTTATTTTGTTTCTTCAGTGGCTTTATTGTAATTGTTATAGGCTTCTCTAATTGATTCGTCATTTGTAAAGTATTTGGCTGGGAATTAGGGTGTGTAGTGAAATTCTATATCTAGATCCAAGGGTGATGGGTGAGTGGCAACAGAGTGTTAGAGTATGATAGAAAAAGGTGAGGAGATACATGAAAGCACTCCATAGATGACTCTGTTGTCTGAACAAACCACTTTGACACTTTTATTCAAGTATTAAGATTGATCACTCATTTAATTAATTTAATATTTCAAATGTCACTTATCTTCATCTGAAGAGTCGTCATCTTTACTATTCTTTCTAACCTTGATCATGCCATATCTTAAAAGTCTATAAATTTATTTCTTTTATATTTTACATGTGTGCTAAAGTGCCAGTTTCGAAGGTGTCCTTACCTCCCATATCTTCGAACCCTACAATTCTGTTTTTTAAGACTCCATTCACAAATAAGCATACTGTTGGTAGAACTTGTATTTGTAGTTTGCCTACAAAAAAGGGTGCCTTTTCTGCATTCAAACAATAGAATTTGGTCTCAGGATGTCTATCAATCATATGAATAATTTACTATTATGATATTGCTTAGAGATGTTTGTCCATGATTTTGCATCTTTCAAAATCACGATGGAAGAAATGAACAACACTGAATTCAGATTTAGTAACAGATGGTAAGAATTCTTCCTCAACTATTTCTCTATATTCTCCAAATCCCTTATTCTTTTTGAGCATGGCCTCTTGCAATTCTTTGGCTCTTTGTTCTCTCATCTTCTTCAACATCTCTTTCAAATCTTCATCATCACAATCATCCTCGTCCTCTTCTTCGTATTGTCTTCTTGCTGCTCTCCTTCTCTCCTCTTCCTATTACTTGGCCTACTATTCTTTCATCTTGTCTTTCAAGGCCCTCTCCATTACAGTTTCGACCAACATATTGCCCATCAATGAATTACTCATTTTATTTAAATTTTAAACTAATGTGAATCAAACAAAAATTGTATTAATATTTACATAAAAAAATATCTCAATCATTCTTCTTCCTCATCTTTTACCTTGTGTTTTTACATATATAATCTAACCAATTGCTTGGTTTTTAGTAATCTGGTTTATGTAATCTTGATTGTAGGTTTCGATGGATTGAATTTCTAATGATGAGATCTATTGAATTATTTAAAAATCTTACCTGCACTAACTAGGAGTTCTTGTTCCTATTATCTAACTCATCCTTTTGAATAATCTTTGACCCTTGCTATGATTCGCATTCTCTTGCAAAAAACGAAGATATGATTCGTGTTCTTCCTAATTCCAATGGCCTGCTTTCTTTTAAATCTTTTTGGAACTCTCCTGGATATCGCTTTAAGATTTTGTTACTTCTGAATCGTTGGATGGCATAACTTTGATTTTTAAATAAAATATATATTCCAAGATTTTATTAGTATTCTGAATCATTCAATATCATACATCTGTTTATTCAGATTTTCAAATCTACATTTCTTATCTTCTCCCTCTATCTTCAGTATTCTTTTCCATTCTCTGCTCCTCCCCCTTAACTCTCCTTATCAATTCGAATTCCCTCATTTCCACAAGTTTAGAATTTCTTATCATACACAATAACTTTATATATAATACAATAAACGTATAATAGTATTTGTTTTCGTATTATTATCTCATCAACAGGAGATAATCGAAGCTAGAATACTATCTATTTTAATCTTAATTTAAGAGTGAACATAATTGACATTATTGCCTCAATTATTTAATTTTTACTCTCAAATTAATTTAATTTATCTTTTTATATTTAATATATTCCACTTTATATATATATAATTAACAATCAATATGAGATAATTCTACTACAAAACCACTTCAAATTAGATACAGGAGAATTCTCTTCATTATTATTAACTGAGATCATATATTTCGAAAAGAAATAAGAAATTGGTATAATCATAGTCGAAATAAAAATATAAAAAGGTACTCAGAATGAATAAAAATTATAAGAATCCTGTAAATAAAAATAACATATATATTCATCACCTCAAGAATTGATTTTTAGTACAATATCATCAGAATAACCAATTTCTACTCGACTTCTTCTAAATTTCTCAGGCTTCCTCATCGCTTTCCAATTTTCCTTCACGATCCAAACTAAAAAGAATATTGTAATAATCTCAATTATAATGAATACAATAAATAATAGTATCTTGCAAAATTCAAAATCTTTAGTATCCTTGAAACTCCCTTTATAGTAAAAGCACTCTTAACAAAATTGAAAAGTAAAAAAATATATTTGCACTCCCAAATGAATGATGCAGAGTAATAATATTGTCAATATAAAACATAGATAGATACGAAGGCTTTTGCAATTTAAAGCCCTTAATCTAATTTACATTTATTATTTTTTGTTTTTTTTTTGGTTCTAAATTTTTATTTCTTTGACGCTAATCGCAAAAACCCCTAAATACATGATGCAATCAATCATTAAAAACATCCATTTATCTCGAGTTAATAAGCATTTTCCATTTATTGTTAACTCTAATAATACAAAAACAATCATCAAAATTATAAAGGAGACAATTTTAATTTCTCTTATCCAATTCTTTCCTAAATTCCTTGATTTATAAATTAATTAGTCAACTTCAGGCATTTCATCTGCCATTTGATCTCAAATAAATTGTAGAATAAATGTTGAATAAATAAAAAATTAATTAAAGTGTATTAATCATAATCAGTATATAATTTTATGGAATATAATAATTTTAATTTTACTTGTCTAAATACTATTATTAGATATATTAAATCTAAAGACTAATTTGGGGAATATTTGAAATGAAGAAGTATGATGATTATGGTTAATTATTATAGCTAAAAATATGAGGACTTAAAATATTATGTAAATACTGGTTCATATTTGAATAATTAATTTAGACTTGTTTGGATGAAATCCAAAAGGATAAATGATGCTTTCAATTCGAACATAAATATCGTAAGATTCTTTACTTAGAACAATACACGAATAGATCATAAAGCTATTAATATTTAAAAATAAAATGATATATTTGTTACACACATTGATCTTTCTATGCAATCTATATAATTAAGTTATCTTTCTTTATTTGGATAGTAAAACCTGGAGAATCAAGTAATTGATACCTCTTACTTAGATTAGTTCTTTACCTTTAATATAAAATGAGGATAAAATGAAAAATCTAAGGAGAGATTAAATAACATAGTACTTACGTTCTCAAAGGTTCTATTCATTTATGTTTACTTTTAATGTTTGACATTTATATAATTATATAATATATCTAGTTATGAATTTTAATAGTTAATATAATTATTATGATGAAAAACTTTACTGTTTTTGAAAAATTGGGAGAAGGTACTATTAATTCTATAAATACCAATTAAATTAGGGTCTTTCTCAACAGTGTTAAGAGTAAAACGGTAATCTGATCAATAAGAATATGCCATGAAAAAAGTGAGGATGGGATAATTGAAGGAGAAGGAGAAAGAGAATTCTCTTAACGAGATTCGTATTCTGGCCAGCATTTCGCATCCGAATATAATTGCTTATAAGGAAGCATTCTATGATGAGCAATCTCAAAGTTTGTGCGTAGTAATGGAGTATGCTGATAAGGGTGATTTGTAATAGCTGATCTAGTAACATATTCATTAGAAGTAATTTATCTAGGAAGCTGAGATATGGAAAATGATTTACTAAATGGCAATTGGTATTTATGTGATTCAATTCTTAGCATTGCGAACGTTACATCAAATGAAAATTTTGCATAGAGATTTGAAATCTGCGAATGTATTTCTACACTAGGGAAATTATAAATTGGGAGACATGAATGTATCTAAGGTGGCTAAAAAGGATTTGGTTTACACTCAAACTGGAACTCCCTATTATGCAAGTCCTGAAGTATGGAGAGATTAGCCATATGATGCTAAAAGTGATATTTGGAGTTTGGGATGTGTTGCATATGAAATGGCAGCCCTTAAACCACCATTCAGAGCTTAAAACATGGAAGGATTATATAAAAAAGTATAGCGAGGTTTATACGAAAGAATACCGCCTAAATTTAGTGGTGAGTTAATGACTGTAATAGGATTATGCTTGCAGGTACAAAGCAAATAAAGACCCACTTGTGCTTAATTGCTTAACAACCCTATTTTATTGAGAAATGCCAGATAATTTATTATAGAAAGTAGAGTTTCATAACAGACGTAGTCTTCTCAAGCAGGTTCAAACATACTCTTATAAACTATAAAGTTACCAAAGAATTTAAAACATTTGAAAGAGAAATTACCAAAATCAAAATACCTAATAGAAAGTGTCAATAAATCCTATGATGAGACATAAGCCAATAGTTCATTCTTGCCAAAGATTAACAACACTAAAGAAATCAGACCTAATGGTTCGGTTCCACCCATCAAGAGTGATAGAAATCAATAATAGCAGCATCAACAGAATTCTTTACATGAAGAACGATCTAAGTCGATTGTCAATTCAGTCCAATTGTTGGAAATGGAGAGAGTTAGATAAAAGAGACTATTAGAAAAGTAGCAGAACTTAAAGATCAGCATCATTCATTAGAATGCCATTCCATATATAAACAGTTCGTCGTCTTAAATCCAAAATTTATATGCCAACAAACAACACAATACAAGAGATTCTCAAAAATAATATGTAGAAGCACCAAAACCTATATGGTGGGGATGATCATTAATGTAATTATTGTGTAGTTTCTCTTTATAATTATAATAAAATATATTTATATATTTAATGCAAGAAGTAAAGAAGGAGCTTAAATTAATCATCGTTGGTGATGGAGCCATAGGCAAAACTTGTGCTTTGTTCAGCTATGTGAATGATAAATTCCCAACTGAATATGTGCCCACCGTTTTCGATAATACAATTACTTAAGTTGAAATTAATGGAGAATAGTACTAGTTGTCTTTATGGTATTTAATCATTGAGATATTTACAGGGATACAGCTGGACAAGAGGGCTATGAACATTTGAGATAAGTATGTTATTAAGGAACAGACATCTTCTTGGTTTGCTTTTCACTAGTGAGTGATGTTAGTTTTGAAAATGCTTTAAAAAAAGTAATTGATCTCATCATTTTAAGTGGCTGCCTGAAATCTCATTATACAACAAAAATGGGTTTATTATGTTCTTAGGCTTGAAAAAGGACTTGAGAGATCCCAAAAATCTAAATCATATATAAACTTAAGTGGCAGAATAAACCATTAAGAAGATGGGTTTCCAATATAGAGAGACAAGTGCTATGACTTAGGAAGGTTTAAAGGAGGCCTTTACATTTTCAATCTAAAGCCTCATCAAATCAAGACAAGAACATTAGAAAACAAAAAAACCCAAGAAATCAAGCTGCTAGTTGATTTGATATTAATTATTAAAAAAAATGAATGAATAATTTAGAAAGTTTCTATTAAATCAAGAGAAAACTGAGATTTAATAAAAAAAGTCAGAAAATGCACCTCCAATCCGATTGAAAACATAATCCAAAAGAAAGACTAATGTGGATCTGGGTTAAGAAACATTTGTGTAAAAGAAAGTAAAACCAGATGAGAAAGATGATAAAAAAGAGCCTAATCTCATGGTGAAATTATAGATGAATCCCGTTGACTTAGTAAAGTGTACTAAATAATACTCATATGGCAATTATAAAAAATATTACCATCTAAGATTATAGTAAAAGTGGGAAGATCCAAGATTAACTATTTTAGATGGTTGTTACTTCACTGATAAATCAATTCTTGATATTGGTTGCAATGATGGGACATTGACTTTATTGATTGCACTAAAGTTTAAAATTAATATCATTTTTAAGACATTACCCTAAATTGATTAGAGGAATCGATATCGATTATACTTTGATCAATAAGGCAATTGAACAAATGGTTCATTTGGACGATTAATAGAAGAAAATACAGAAATAAGAATTCAAACCAATCATTGAGGATTTGCCTGTGAGTTTTGAGAAATACATGGAATAACCTAGTTAATATTAATTATAACATTAGTGTCTAAAGCAATAGAGGAATAATTTATTCATTAGACGATAGAGGATATGAACAAGGAGAACTAGCAAAACAGTATTTAATTTATTTAGATAGCAAAGGACAACACATTTCCACATAATGTCTATTTTCGAGTGCAAAACATTATTGGTAATAAAAAGTACGATGAAAAATACGATACGGTTTTATGTTTATCGGTTACCAAATGGATTCATCTTAATTTTGGAGATGTTGGTATCAAGAGATTATTCAAGACCATCTCTAATTCTTTGAATGAAGGGGGTCACTTTATTCTAGAACCACAAGAATGGAAGAGTTATAAAAAGAAGAAATACTATAGTACTGAATTCAAATAGAATTATAAGGAAATCCAATTAAAACCATAGGATTTCTCTAAGGTTTTGGAGAAGGAATATAATTTCAAGTTGATTTAATAGATAAATCCAGATGATGAAAGTGCAATAAAGAAGTCTAAAAGCACTTTTAGAAGACCAATTCTAATATTTGAAAAGTAGAAGGAGATTTGACATTTATATATGTAAAATTCATAACATATATATAAAATCATCCTCTATTAACAATTCATTTTCATTTTTTGGAGACTAGTCTAGTTTATCAAAAGCTATATAAAAATGTATGAATACAAATAATGGATACATTTTCTTAAAGAACTTCTTCTTGCTTCTATTCTAAAAGTGGAATTGCCTTATCATGTGGTGACTTATCATGATTGGATAGTTATTTTTAAATCAACTTATCTAAACTAATGTCATTTTTTTGTATATTATAATATTATTATTACATAAGTTCCTCAAGTTTTTATAGTTCATCTATTTCCTGTTCATCATCCTCCAAATATTATTATTACATAAGATTCTCAAAGTAGTTTGGATCTTGGATGTTATTATTATTGATAACCAGTATTTCAGACTTAATATTTTTGGTTTCTTACTAGTATTCCTATTACTCAGTTTTTTCAATTAATGAGTCTTGTTCAATTTGATTTGATTTGAGCATAGAAAATGAGAATTAATCCATCATCATTCTTTCAATGTCAATAAGATTAATATTCGGTTTGATCTCTTCTTATTTGTTGTGATTTATCTGATAGAATTGCTAAGCCATTAGTTCTTCCAATTATTGTGATTCACTCAATTACTTATTTTAAACAACAGGTGGTAATCGTTCAATACTTTGTTCATTGCTTTTCACGTACTCACTGGATCTAATAGTTTGTATTTTTTCTAGACTTCCACTATGCATGATTGATTTATATTGCTGACTTGTTTGATTAATGGGAGGTTTGTGCACTTGATTCTTAAATATTTGATCTGGGATGCCATTGACAGAGATTTTGGCAATTTATGTGGGTCCTTCTTTTGGTCTAATCAACCCATTTTCGACTAAGGCATTTTTGTCTTAGTGGATATGATGAATGCCTATTTCCTTGATTTTAGATTCGATCTGTATCTTTCTTGTTACAACATTGCATAGATCATTGTGAGAGAGTAGCTGTGTTTCTTACATATTCTCAGTTCTATTGAAGTCTTGATGAATAGACTTCAATTATTACAGAACTTATTGATATTTACTTGAATCAGGATTGTTGCTCCTTCTTATCGAAACTGATAAGCCACCATGCATACTAGAACTAGACATATTGCTATTCTACAATTTGAAGGATTTTTTGTCATCATGTTTTGTATGATAGTGTTTTCTAGTAGAGATTATTACAGATTTCAGTGGTTCAGTTTCAAGATCTCAAATTAGAAATAAGTTGATACTTCTAAAGATAGAAAGAGTGAGCAACTGATTGGGTGTAGATCGTTCTTTTGGATTCAATTTAAAAATCTGATTGAAGATCTACAAAATGTCTTCTTATTTAGTTATGCGTTTGAATTGAAATAATTCTAGTCGATTTCAATATAATAATCATACATCCTTTGTTGATAGAGTTACGTATTTGATCTAGAGTAATGTCAGAAGATAAATGATGCCAAGGGGGCATTTTAGTGAGCATTTCTACAAATATACAACCAGCACTCCATACGTCTGAATACTGAGAGTACTCCTATCCATTGAAACATTCAGGAGCACTGTACATAGATAATTTGTATTTGTTTAGAATGTAGATGTCACTCAATTTAGCATTTGCTTCTCCATCCACTAAGACATTTGATGTTTTTAGATTCCTTTTTTAAGATCAATGATACCTGTGTAGTATGCCTTAACTATGAAGATATTCTAATCCTTACAATATTTGTTTCATAAACATAATAGCAAGTTAAGGAGAAAACGAACTGAATTTCTACAACAACCAACTGATTGAACCTCCACTTTCATAAGGCATCAGTATTTTAATTTCATTTTAGATTACTTCATTTTTGAATACTGAGTAATCCCAACCTATTATTTGATGGATATTCTTGAAGTCCAACCGTTTGAGAATGTCTACAATACTTATCACATTGTCAAAATCATCTTCTGAACTTAATTTGAACTATGATTATAGAAATTAATACAATTTTTAATGCTAAAAGTTACCCATTTAAAGTATTCAATGCAGAGTATACATTACATCCCTCCTAAATCAATTCACCTTAAATGTAATCATAAACTATGTTCTAGAGTTGATTATTACAGATCTTACTTCTTCTTCTTCCTCCTCCTCTTATTCTTCACCCTATTACTCTGGAAAGTCCTCATTGTTAGACTCTCATATTTGAATATGCTATACTTTCATACTCTTATCACTCAAATGTCCCCGATGAGCTACTTTCACTTCCTCGTTTTTCCTTTTGTAACACGGTGCTGTACCCATTATAAATTATAATTATATAATAAACTAATCAAAATTTATATGTTTTAAGACGAATTAAGATTTGAATTAGATTATTATTATTTATTCTTAAGACAATTAATTATCTAAATGAATAATCTTGGAATTTCAAACAATAGGTTTTAATAAAAAGCCTAGCAAAAACGACAAAAATCCTTTGATTAGCCTCATCCTAATCAGAAGGCTCCAATCAATAACCAAGAACTTGTCAATAATCACGAGTTTGAAATTACCCCTGACATTGTTAAACCAAATGTGCAAGTTCCCATCTTTCAAGATCCTAAGTTGATTGAAAATCTATAATAAAAAAAAAAATGATAAATATTAATAATTATTATATTAATGGACGAGTCACAATTCAACTCACTGTAGAAAACCATAATAATCCCTCCAAGAAAACTATTTTAAACCATTTTACAAGAGTTCGAAACTCAGACCCCAAATTTCTAGTAATTCATCAATGAAACTCAATCAAATCCCTCCTTCATCAATGGTGAATTGATTCCAATCTTCATTATCTATGAATCTGAAGTCGACCTTGTCCATCAATTCCAACTCAAAAAGGATCAACAACTCTTACGATCCTACCCATCATATCATCAAACCAATCTCTATGTGAATAATACCTATACAGAAACGAAAAAATAAACTTTAGAAGACAACAAAGTTATACATTGTAAAATCCTGGAAATCAATGTTAATGAAGAATTCGTAGATTAAGATTTAGAGTTGCTCATAATTGGTACTTATGAGCAGAAGTACTGCTATAATGGGATCAAAACTATTTTGAGAAATGAAATTCCTAAAGAATAATACAAACAATTGTCGTATTAGCACTCAATCATGGTCTAAGTACACAATGCATTCGATTTGGAATATAAGTATTTCGGAAATACAGTTAAGATGAATATTGCATTTCAAATTAAATCGCATATCTAATTGGATAATATTGAAATGGACTTTCTTTTGAGTGAAAGCCAAATGATCTGGAAGGATGTTGGGATCAATAGAGTTGTACCTAAATGCATGTTACAGAATATATCAATTAACAAATAATACCTTAATAATGAGGAAGGATTCATAGAGGTTCTATTAGATTGGCCGGCTATGTTATAGAACGAATAATTGCAACCAGATCTTCCATCAAGAAGACTGAGCATAGTATAAGTCAACCCTGTATTGGAAATTAGAACACCTTTGTATATTAGATGGGGATAACAAAAGTACACTAAATGCAACTATTTGCTGTGGAAGATTAAACCTATTTAAACAATTGGAGGAGAAATCAAAGAAGTGGTCAGATATAAGGATGCTTAAAACCAAGAGTATTTAGCATTAAAAATAGTTCTTATTAATTATTCAGGCAAGGAACATGAGATTATATTCTGTCCTCCTTCTTAAATATTCGGAAAGAAACTTAACCAGAAAAAAGATCAGCCTTTGGTAGTTTTAGGTATCACATTGTCAACGGAGAAAAATTTGGGAGTTTTGTAGCCGAATTAATTATGTGAGACTATCTTGAGGGTTCAATTAATTAATAATGGAATTTTGAATATGCAACACATAAATCTTAAGATAGACAACTAATTAACTGAGTTGAGTTTGAATTTTTTATATTCTCATCAATGATTTGGGAAAATTTATTATTTATAGTAATGATTGAAGTTAATAACAAAAGGGAAGGTTTTTCTGTAGTTGATGGAAGAAATGGAGTGTTGAATGTTAAAAAGGAAGGAGACAATGGTGGAGTAAATTATATAATAAATTATCTAACTTAATTTCAAAATTAAATGACAGAACTTCTGTTGATTATGAATGTGAGAATAGATGAAGGGAGACAGGGTACAATCAATGTGCATTTGGGAGACGATCCTGAGGTGTTGGCTAGAGATTTCTGTATTGAATACAATGTGAACTAGAGGTTGGTTCCTTTATTGATAGAGAATATAAATAAAAATTTGGAAGTGGCTGAATAACAGAAAGTGAATGTAAGAGAAAGAGATTAATGTATAGTCTAATTAAGATACCATGCAATATTCGACAGAAACATGCAATTCAAAATTTATGGAAACTCCATTCAATGAACCATTGCAGCAATTGTCAACGAACAACTACTACTCAACTCATTCATCAGTTCATGAGAGACTATATGAAGATGCGAAGAATAAGAGATTGAAATAGAAGTTGAATATTTCGGATAGTAGATCAAAGAAAATCAAAATTTAGGAGCCTGAAATAAATTATGGGTTATTTCTGTATCAGAAGGGTTTGAAAAAGAATGAGGAGAAATAGCAGAGAGCAGAGAGTGCGAAGAAGGATTTGTAGAACTCTTAATTAGTTGAATGTACTCATCATCCGAGGATAAATCATGTTTCAAGGTAATTGGCACAACGCAAAGGAGAGTGTGTGAGTGAACATTTGAATAGGTTGGCTTAGGAGTAGAAAATAAAGAGGGAGAATGCCAGTCAAGAACACTTAAAGACCGAAGTTTAGAGTTGTTCATTCAAGCCTTAAATAAATAGAATGTATTGGAAATGACTAATCTTAATAGATCAAGGTATATAGTGGAGGAAAGAAATGACCGAGGCAACTAGCCATGGTATCAGTCTTTGTATTCAGATTACGATTCCAAGAGGTAGAAATTGGAGCAATTGGAGAAGTAGTACTTCTCATCAAATTACACATTCCATCCAAAGATAGATTTAATATCTGAGAAGATCGTATAGGGTAGCAGTTTTGAGTAGAGATAGAAGAATAGGTCGACATCAAGATAAAATTTGTCTGTGTGTGATGATGAGAACTAGTTGTTCAAACCTAAAACAGGTAGACCTCCTGAGAAGAGACCGAGAGATTTGTTTTAGAATTTGTATAATCATGCAAAGATTTACGAATAGAAAAGACAGAATTAGATTGTCTAATTACATCAATAATAAATAAGTGCATCTTAGATAAGGGCGAGTGAAAGATCGAATTAGATGATTCAATCACAAATGCAGATTTAATTGATAAAGATCTTTGAATCTTTGGATAGCGATAAGGATGGCTGCATCAATTCTGAGAACTGCGATGTGGGGGATTTGGAGGATAATGTTATCAAGATTTTGTCACCTTTACTTTTGGAAATGGAATCTGGAAATCATACTCTCAATAAGAAGGAATTCGTAGAATCTGCCGAAAGATTAGTGGCCATTCTCTCTCCAGGTGACAAACATGAACTATTGAAAAGACCTGGCAGGAAAACTGATGTTCCTCAATTTAGTTTTAATGTGTGTAATTATTCTTTATATAATAGCCATCTGTCAATAAGAGATCTTAAAAAATTGTGGCAGCTAAAAGGAATTGAAGATTTTAATTAATTTTTATATTAAAAATATAACTTATGTCGGACGAGGAACCAAAAGAAGATGATCAAGACATTGGAGACAATCCTGATAAGGAAAATCCAGATAAACAACAAGACGACCAAGGTGACCAGGATAATTTTGAAGACGTAGATGATTACTAGGATGAGGACGATCCCAGGGATGATGAAGAGTAAAATATTTAAATTTATATTCACCTTTAGTTTAAAGAATAATGAGACATCAAATAATTTAAAACTTACTATTGACGACTTAGACTTGGATGAGAATCAGAAATTACGAAAATGGAAGGACCTGCTGACTGATCATGTTCTATAGGTCTAAAAATTAAGAGGAAGAAATAATAGGTTAAGAGGCGAGCTCAAAAAACTAGGAGACAAAGCAGAGAAATTGGTCTAATCTAATGTCAGAAAATAAAAACTATTGGAATAGAAATTGGATCCCAAACACTATAATCTTGCTGAGAAGAAGATTTTATATGAAATCAAGAATGGCAAATCCAAATAGGACTTTGCTAATAAGATTGATCCCAGAATTTGTAACTCATTATAATATTTTAAGTGGATTTGCTGATAGCCATCGACAAAATGGAACAATCCAATAATCAGATGAGAGAATCAATCAAGGCATTGAAGGATAGAAATAAAAATCTAGAATAAACAGAAGATGTTAATAAACTAAGTAATGAAATTGTACTTGTTGAAAAATAAATTGCAGATGAAGATAGATTGAGGAGGAAGATGTAAGTAATAATGAAAGAATAAGAATCAGAACTTAAATAACAATAATTTGATTGTGATTATGAGGGTAGATTAAATAGTCTCAAAGAATAAATTAAAACATTAAGAGACAGTATCAAGGAGGGTTAAAAGGAAGAGTTGCATGAAACTAGAAAGGAATTCGAATTAAACAACCACTTTGCTGAACTTTAAAAAATGTAACCCCCTATTTATATTCTCATAGATATCGTCAAATGTGCAACTAATTAAATAAGCCTTGCGAAGAGAAGCAGCATTTTAAGTAAGACAAATAGAGGGATCAAGATAATATGAATGAAAAATTGAAAAAAGTATAAGAATTTGCACAGAAAAGTCAAGAGGAGAATTAGAAAAGATTCCTATAAATCAAGGAAAATAAAAAAGAACCAGAAGAAAAAGATGAACTTAAGAAGGCTTTGGAAGAATTTAAAAAAGATGAAAACAAATTTAAATAAATTTAAGAGGAGGTCAAGTAATTGCAAGAAGATCTTGAAAAAAAGGAACGAGAAGCGTAGAAAGAGAAGAACAGATAAGTTGAAGAGTATGCTAAATTAAGTGAGGATGTTGGATAGTTAGCCAAATAATTAAAAGAAAAAGAAATCTAAACCAAATCATAAGTTCTAATATTAAATGATCTCCAAAGATAAGCACAATTATTGGAGAAAAAATAAATCGCTGAGCCAATATAAAGTACACAACAAAAGTCAGAATCCCTCATGCGTGGAATTACTGAATAAACATAGACTTGCTTACCTTTTGATGATTCCAAGAACTTAGATTGGACATCATATATGCCTGTCAATTAGATAGTTGTGTGCAAGAACAGTATCAATAATCTAATTGTTGGTTTGGAACTGACTTATGGATCTGCAGAAAACGAAGAGGAGTAAAAGACTACAAAGAATATTGGATTATAAGAGGGAAACATTGAAAAAGTGGAGATCAAAATTACTCCTGAAGAAAAATTAAGCTACATTTCTGGGTTCCATAATAAAGAGCAAATTATCTTTTTGAAGTTTGAAACAACTAAGAAAAGAGTCATTCAGGTTGGAAACATGAAATATAAAGATAACTTCACTAAGGATTTCAGAATTGAAATTAAAGATAAGGAAATTCAAGGATTTAGTGGAATATTGGACTTCACTAATGGTAATATATAGAGTATTAATTGATTAGAATCATCGAATCCATCTGAAAGATACTTAGTTGCACTTGGAGTTAATCTCAAATAGAAAGAGGATATCTCAGCTAAAAAGAAATAGAAGAAATAGTAAATGGAAGAAGAAAAAGAAAAATAGAGAGTTCCGATTGATTATAGAAAAATAACCTATCCCTTTAGAAAGAATCAACCTAAACATCTTGAACTAGTCAAATCTTAACCCAAGTTAGAGGTTTCTATTTATGAAGAAGAGAAATGTATTTCGATTGTATATTCATTATAGCTAAATTATTCTAAAAGGAGAAGGAAAGATTCTTATAGGCACAAAGAGCATAATTGGGTTTTTTATCAGCAAAACAATTCAGTCCTGCTACTTATAAATAATAGGAGTATTTAACTGAAGATAAGCTGGTAATATTAATATCATTATTAATAATAGAGAAAAGAGAAGAACAAGGAGAGAAAAAATTGGGTTGAGCAAAAGAGAGAGGAAAATAAAAATTCATTAACCCTGCCTCTGATTGATCTGAAATCACCAGTAGAACAGGATAAAAAAGGAGCCAAAGGATAAAAAACAGCTAGTCCGTAGAAGCAATAGAAATAACCTTAGAAGGAGGCTCCAAAAAAAGATGATTCTAAAGCTAAAAAAAAATGAATAATTTACAAATTTCAACACCTATAGCTTAACATCGTTCTTCTATTCTCACCCTCGAGCCTGAATCCATATATCAATCTCTAATAGAAGTTCATGTTATAGTATAGGATAGCATAAAACATATCATGAATTCTCTGAACAATGGTCTCAATGTAAGTGATGTATTGAGAAATATGCCATCTTTTACATTTACAAAAACTATGGAATTGATTGAATCTATAGTGAAGGAAATTGAGTATGACAAAATCAAATCTGACTTGGGTGAGGAGGGTGAACCGGAAAGACCTACAAATGATTAATGGAGGAGATAAAATGCTCATTTAATGAAGGAATTCATAAGAAAACCTGATAACAAGATTGAGGAATTAGAAGAGGAATAGTTTGAAGAGAAGCCTCCTTCTTGGGAAGAGTTTTAGCCTGAAATTGTATAAACATAATAGGAGCCTGAGAGCGATTTATATGATGATCATTTGAGAAGTCAGTTATCGTATAGAGAGAAGATGAGAAAGGAATTCGAAGAAAATCAAGCTCAAATAGAGAAGGAAAAATAGGAAGAACGAAGAAAAATCAGAGTTTTAGTAGATGGTCAACCAGAAAAAGTAACTTATGATATTGATGGTAAAATAATACTTAAGGCTAAAAGAGTGCAATTGGCTCCTGTAAAAAAGATTGAAGGATAATAAGTTAAGGAATCGGCTCCCTCTCAAACAGAAGAATTGGCAGTTATCAAACCGAGAAGACCAGCATTACCTAAACCTAAATTAAAATTATTTAAGGTATAACCATCAAACGAAAATGCAGAAGCCCTAAAGATTATAGCCTAATAAGAGAGAAATCATTTACAGGAATTTATGGATGTGTTAGAATTAAAACCAGGGGTTTTTCTTGAAATTGACCATCATGAAAAAGGATAACGCAATAAACATACTCAAGCTTAAGATTTGCCTTATCGAGTCTAAAATAAAATGGATCAATATTTAGCATCCGAATAATCATAGTCTATTCGTTTATCCAAAGAAGAATATTCAAGTATTACAATCAACAATAGCATTCTAAGAGGATCATATGAATAATCTTATTTAAAGAAGAAGTCAGGCATTCGATAAAACACTACTCAGAAAACCAAGCAAAGTGATTACGAAGATACTATGCCAAAAAATGGGATTGTGAAAGTCAATGATATAGGCAAGTTCTATGATTTGTTGATCAAAGACTCAGAAATTATAGAGGAAAACACTCATACTGAATTTCCACCTATTTTAATGGATAAATATGACAGTCTTAGCATATAGGAATTCAAGACTCCAATAAAATCAGAACTTCCATCTATCCCTGCTACCCAATTCTATAAATATCTATCAAAATAATAACCCCCTAGTCTATCAAGGATTGACAACAATAGTGTTACTGGATCTGTGACTTCTAAATTAACTAGAGATAGATCCATGCCAGAAGTAATTAGCAATATGAAATTGCATCAATGTTTAGCTGCTCCTAAAATTGGTAAGTATTTAGGATTTGGAATCAATCAAAAATATAAATTCTGAATATAAAATCTTTCAATTTATAATTATAATTGATTATTATAGAATAGTCACCATTCCTCCTCAGGCTAATCCATTTTCTAAAAAAACATAGCTTATTGACGTATCTTTTGATTAAAATGTAAATCCCTTTATATTTTCACATAGTTTTGGAAATGCTCCTGCTTTGACAAATATTTCACTTCCTTTTAATCTTCTACAGTAATTTTATATAAAATATATACTTTTTTAATAACTACTCTTCTTTATCTAATCGACCCTCTGCCTTACTTTCTTCTAATCCTCTTCCTTCAATCCGTGGATATTAACTACATCCAAATCTTGATTTCGATCTCCCTTTATTGAAGTCAAACAAGGTAAGTGATACCATACTTTTCTGTCAAACCCTAAACCAGGAGGTCTAGTTAATACATGGCCTATCCTGATGTCGTCTTTGATAATGTTCTGAAGACAATTCTAACATTTCACTCTATTAGAAAGAGCATACCCTACTTCAATGTACTATTTCATTATAAAAATCAAATGCGCAATTTCTAATTGAATCTTTTTAATTTGATAAAATCATTTGAATATTTACCCAATATATTCATTTTTGCTCATAGACTTTATAACTTCACTTCATAATAATGATTCTAAAAAAGTGCAAATAAAATCCGTTTCATTTTATTTTACGTCATTAGTTTTGGTTGTTAGTGTTATATAAAATTGACCAGAAAAGTTCTATAATTTAAACAACTTCTTGTAATAGCAAAAGAGTACTGAGAAGACTTATACTCCAACAAAAGCACTCAAAAATATATATAATAACTCAAAATTAAGCAGGTCAGGTCTTCATTTTTTACAAGACTCCGCAAGGATCCTATAGAAGCCTTGAGTCTCAAGAGTGGTCTCTATTTAATTTATGAGGAATGTCTACAAGAATATTGTCATCAAATCACAGATATCGGTTTATTGCAGTTGTTTAAAGAAGAAATCTGACTTGTTTATGTAAATATTTGAGTATAAAATTTAAATTGCTATGTTGGTTAAATTATTACTTTATTATAAAATAAAGTAGAGGTTAATGATTCTGAATTATTAAATTAAACTTATATTGCTTATTTTTTTAATTTCAAGACAATATAAAATAAACCCAAGTTTTTCAGTTTAAATTTATAAAATTAATTGATTTTAGGAATGTAGAAGAAAGCTTATCGGGGAGCAAGATCAGCCTTTATTAATTCTGAAATAAAATTAGGTTCAAATTCTTTTAATATATTTTATAATATTAAATTAGTAAATTTTGAGTTGATTCATGGCTTGGCTTAATGTTCGTCATTAATCTATAAGCTATAACTAAATGAGGCAACCCAATTCCAGTAGATTTTGAATTTTAGGTGCATTATAAAAAATTTTATCAGTAAAAATATTGAGTGCATCTTAATCATGACGCACTAAGGGCTGATTTGCTCGAATTTGGATATTTATAAAGATTTTTAAATATTAATATTGAATTAGATGAATATCATTGACGAGGCCGAATAAAAACTTCAAAAGAGTGTTCAATAAAATAAATAAGCCCAAAAAAAAGAACTTAGGCCTCGTTCGAATATAGTCCCTGGGATATTCTAAGAATATAAAAGAACATACATAAAAGTGCCACCTGTTTCGAAGGATTAATTGTCTCGACTTGTACTCAAGGAAGGGTTTAAAATTAAAGAAGTATGATACTGCATAATCAATTAAATAGGCCGCAAAGAAGCTCTAAATCAAGTATGCCACAGCTAAAACTATTATATTCCATCTACGGGAGGAAAAGAAACAAATTATCTAGGTAGGATCGAAGATGTGCTCATACACTGAACTACAATCAGGTATGATTTCGAAGTTGAGAATTATTTCAACAGCCTCTAATGATATAATTTCAAATGTGGAGTATCAATTAGTCCCTGTAAATCAATTACTAATTCAATGAAAAATCTATTTTCATTAGGAATCCTATGTTGAATAAATAATTTGATAATACAATTTAAAATTCAATTATAATTATAAAACATTAAACTAACTTCATTATGTTTCATTAGCTTCCACTTTATCTTGTGTTGAACCCACAAATACTTCAAATATAACTAATCTCCATTAATTCTTATTCAATTTTTTTCGAATCATTTTAATGTATTGAATTCAAAGAATATCAAACACTTTAATAATTATTGTAAAACTTAGGAAATATTCTAACTTCCCTATCTTTAATTGGGCTAGCCTCTTGACAAAATTAGTAACAGCACTATTAGTTTATCTTAACACTTTAATACTTTATACTGTAATTGACAAATAAGCAAAATCTTGGATGTTAAAAAAGATTATAAAAAAAAATCTTTTTTTTGTAATTCAGTATTTTTTATCATAGCTTTAGATTCATCAAAATACTACCAATTATTGTATTCTTATTAAGACAATTATCCAATAAAATACAAAAGACCATTTCTATTTCTAAATAATATTATGTGATCGTTAAATTATATCTAGAAAAGCCAAAAAATTATTTGTCTTGTTAAAATTTATTATGCTTTTCTTGCCCCTAAAAATATTACAAATTCGCTCCTTTTTAAATTTTCTATAATATTTTAAATATAATTTTGTTGTTCTTCTTGTAGTTGTTGACTGACAGGATATATCCTAAATTTAGATTCAATCTCATAAACTTAATTCTTCTTTTTTCAATATATTTACTTATATAACCACATAGAGATTATCAACACTATAAATTTCAATTTCAACGAGTCTGCTTTTTGTCATAAGCAGGTGTTGAGATGAATTAAAATAATTAAGATATATGTCTCATTATTTTTGCTTAAACCCACTTTCTCAAATATTAAGGAGATGCATAGAAACTATTCTGACATATAGCGTCTTCCTGATTTATAAAAATTTCAAATTTAATATAGATATTTATTACAATTAAAAATAATCTAATTAACAAACCAAAGGCTGTTGATTATTTATAATAAACTATTCATTAATTTTTGGCATCCTCTCTTTGATTCAGCAATATTGTAACAAAATAAGTGAAGAAAATAATTGTTGAGATAAGAAAAGCCCAAAAATGAAATAGATTCTCACCTCCGATGCATTTCCCTGTCCAAGGACAATGATGGTCATAATTTGTAATACAAACTCTACAAAATGGGCAATGATCAGATCGAGCAGGTTAGATTTTTTAACATTTTTCACAATACCATACATTTCTTTATTAGGGCCTATTCGACAAAGAGTACAACTATCCAAGATATTTCTAATTCAACTGTGAGTCATTTGCAATTCCTGGATTAGCCAATCCAACACCTAAGTAAAGTATTGATTATGCTAATGTTATAATTATCCCAAAAGTTATATCGTGACCCAAAGCTTTTTATTGTCTCATCATTATATAGGCAAAGACATTGAATCCAATCAAAGTAGCAGCAAATAAAGGCCCTTTTATATAAAATCCAACATATTTTTACAATGAGGCCCTAAAAATATCGTTTTCGCTATGATCACATATTCCCCATATGAATTTCTATCACTTAATGGTCTTGGTCTGCACTCAGGGGACATATCCATTGACCCATAGTTTTCAGTACCTTCAGCCTTTATTATTATATGTTCCATCTTATTTATGAGAATATTCAATAAATAATAATTCAAGTGATAATAAAATTAAATATAATTATTTTATAATTTTACAATGCAAAAAATAATTTAGAATCCGATTTCTAAGTTTGAAAAACTTTAACCTGAAATTATCTATCTAATTAGTGAATTTTTAACATTTGATCAATATCTAGAATTGAGATTAATAAATCATTTTATGAATCGGAGAATCTAATATATTTCAATTCTAAAGGTTTAGTAAATCAAATCAAAAATAGATTATTTTGAATTATAATTGGAAGAGTAGGTAATAAGCAACGAAAATTATACATATTAAGAAGGGTTATGGTTTAGATTTTTATTTGAATTAGATAAACTAATTTACTAATTGGATCGAAATCAAATATTTGCAATCAAACCAACTTTCAAGCCACTGCCTTTGATCGTATAATAGATATTTGAGTATGCAATCATATTAGGAAATTGTAAAAGTAAGGATCCACTTTAAGAATTTACTTCATTTTTATAAACCTTGAATGCAATAAATATATCTAATCTCACATAGTCTCAATTATAAAGACTTACACCCATTTTATAAATATCAGTTGAATCTGCTCAAAACTATGGCCGTGTTTATGGAATCATTTGTGAGATCATTTAATTAATTATCAAAGCTCATAATAGTTGTTAGCTCAAAGTTTAATTCCATAAAATAGGATAAGAAATAAAGAAAAATTAAAACAATCAAGTTCATTTAGATAAATTATTTGGTTTAAATAATAAATGAATTAACATTATTTTAAACTTCTAAACTTAAATTAATATCTATTTTATTTAAAATATCTTAAAAAAGATAAAATTATTTATTACTGTTATTAATATCTTAAAATATTGTTTTTAAATTAAAAGTATTAAGACAGAAGATCTATTATACATATTCATTTAATTATAATTATTTGAATTATATATTTTAATAGAAACATAAAAGTATTTCTTTATGTATTATAAAGGAATAGGATTTAAAAAGAAATTTTTTCTCTAATATCCACTTATTGTTATTCATAAAGTTATCTATGTGAAAGAGAAATAAAAATATCTTTCTTTATTAAAAAAACTAATGATTAATTTCTCTGATACATTATATTTATTATTTTAGAAATTTAATCTAAATAGCTGAAGTTTGATGTTAAACAGATTTTTCTCGATTGAAAACATTGGCTTAAGCATTAAACAAGAAGTATTGCTACCGTATAAATGTATGAATTTAGAAATCTTTAATTAAATTAATACAACTTAATTTATATAATTCTATATTTCAACTTCTTAATCTTTTTAAGGTATATATAATTTTAGAATTAATTCTTAATGAAATCAATACTTTTGTTTTCATTTCTAGTTGCTGTTAGAAGCTATTGCTGTAAGATTATTAATAACTTTTAGACATTATATAATATGGAACAGAGTATTATTGTGAAGAGTGTTGCTTTTGGTATGAAGGTGATTGGCATTGCGAGTCTTATTCATATTGTTATACTTTCTTGGGGATTATTATAGCTATTTGGTGTTTTATAATAGGAATTTATGCAGCTCTTTATTTTTATGCAAAAAATAAAACAGCTAAAAGATTAAGAGCTATCTTTCAATTATCTCAAAATAGTTTGAGAGATAATTCATAAAATTAGATTCCATAGAATCAAGAATAACCCACATAAATTAGTTTGGTTGAGTTAAAGGAGTAAACTTTATGAGTTTATAATCATGTTATTTTATTTCTATAAATTATGTTTTACTTAAAGAATTAGTAATTCTAATTCAAAAGTTCACATCCTATAATATAAAAGTATAAAAAGAATTAATTTTACTAATATTAAGAATAAGAGAATTTTGGATTTATGTTCTCATTATTTTCAGAGTTAAGATTATATTATTTTAGTGGGATATTCATAATAATACTAATAATCAACAGAATAAAATGATTACAATAATCAATTAAAATAAATCTTAATCAGAATACTGTTACATTTCGGACATATTTATTTTGTTTAATCCTTTTTTAGATTCAATCAGATTGTAAAATAGTCTGATCAAAGCTATTTATTCTAATTATAGATTTGGTATTATCGACGATTTAAAATTTATTCTTACAAATAACGCACTCTTCGAAGACCATTGTTCAATGAATTTATTTCTTAAATAACAGCATTTTTTTTAAGACCATCTTACTTTTATTAAGTTTCCTTAAACAAATCATACAATTTATTCTTTCACCTTAAACTCCTATGAAATATTAATTGTTTTTTCTATAAATTTTATTGTTTTAATATTTGCGAATTATTTTTTAGATATTTTTGTTTAGGAATAGGATAAGTTGCGGCAGAGTATTGATACTTATAATATCCGGTTCGTAATGATATCCATATTATACCTTTTTTGATATTAATTTAAAATTGTTTCTAAAAAACCAATTTCGCCTCAAGTGTATCCTGTATTAATACTGTAAATTCCATTGTCCCTAAAATATATATATAAATTAAATAAAATAATTTTCAATAGAGAAACGTTAAGTAGTTACATCAAAAATAAATAAATAAATAAGAAATTAATAATATATAAATATATGGAAATATGATATAATAAAATATCATTAATGCTACAAAGTTTGCAATAAATAATCTTCAAATCTGTCTCCTTCAACATTTAGAATGTCAATGTATTATTTTGTAGCTAACATATCATTTTCATCTTTATGGACAAAGAATAATAACTCCTTAATGTAAATTACACGATCAAAGTAATTAGTATCTAAAGATAATCGATAATTATTATATACTTTCTTCTTCTGGAATCCTCTCGTATTCATCAAACCAAGCTGCAGTATTAACAAATGTATCCTTGTTTACCAAAGGCTAACCCAATTTGCTGAAATATTACTAGAGTTCATCTTCTTTTGGAGTAGGAGATGAAAGAAGAATTAAGTATGTACAAATTTATCTGACATTGACATAGCTATATATTGGATTTAAAAGAATACCCATTTTAATCAAGGATTTGTAATGCTTGCATCCATTGAGAGGGCGAATATTTCAAGACTCCATAGGAGGATCTAGCCAAAAGCAAGGCTAATTATTTGATATCGATTAGTAAGTGAGTGCTTGTGATGGCTCTTAAATCTTCAATGAGATAATAGAGCTGAGAGATGGAATATCTTTCTCTGGATAATGGTTCTCTTGCAGTCAAGGGGGGAGGAATGGGAGTTAAAAAGTTTAAGACTTCATGACTAACAATTACATCAACGAATTAGAGTTGAAGTTCCTTTTAGATCCTTTCAACTCTTTCGATGTACCCTCTAAATAAACCAGAAATAGCATCTAAGGCTTTAATTTCTGTTTAATGAGTATAGTAAATCCACTCATCTATTTTAAGGTACAATTGATCACATGCTTATCTATATGTTCTAACTTATTGTGAGGCATATCTCTTGATAGCATCCACTCTATCTTTGAATATTTATTTCTCTAGAGTAATAGCACTGATAGCCTCTGGATTTTGAAGTTCCTTTTTAACAATTTCTTCTTCCTTTCCTTTCTTTCCTTTTTTTTCATCCTTTTTAGCAGGTTGTTTGCCTCCCTTTTTGGTTTTATCTTCAATGATTTCTTCTTCTCCAGCAAAAATTCTTAAAGAATCAGCAATCAGTTTATCTAATCTAACATTAGGATCATCTCCATCTTGCAATTATAATTCTCCAACACTAGGTTAAATATCTTATAATTCTATTGCCTCTAATGTTCCATAGTAGTCATTGAGTAATTAAATAGAATTTTACGCTCTATCTAATTCAATTGCTAATAATTGTCTCACTTATAATAAAAAGAGATCAATTTCGTTTTCTATGAATTAAGAGTTCTATATTTGCTATTTTTCTACTAGTAAGTCATCTCTCTTTTAATCAATTATATCTATCAATTGGTCATACAAATCATCTACTCTTTAGTGCAACTCCTCTTTACATACATCCTCTTCACACAAATCTGGGTTCTCCTATACAAATTGATTGTATTATTCTTAGAAATTTCTGACATGATAAAACTTCTCATCTGGAGTATTGATTAGATCTATAAACTTTCTTTAGATATCCATTAAATAATTTGTAAGAAATTCTCTTTGCTCTCTAAATCCTTTAAAAATATTTTGTAGAGAAACGTATTTGGTTTCTATTTGATTCCAAAATGAATGCAAATATTAGAGAAATTGTTAACTTGGTTGCTTTAATGGCAATGAGTCTAATTGAACCTATTTGTATGAACATATTTTATCTAATTCAGCTTGCTCCTATTATTACTTGACCAATTCCTCTTTGTGCAATAGTTCATTCTATTGATTGTCATATTTCTGTTGTATTTTGTTAATTTGAATTTACAGAAAGTTTTAAAATATTCTATCCACATCATAAAATACCCTTTCATAATTATTCGAAGCATCTACACCTATGAATGCACTTTAAGCATTTGAATTGTCAGCAGACTCAAAATTATTATACCAATTTTAAATTCCTTGCATCTATGTCATAAAATAGGCATTTTTATCTGAGATTAGTTATTATAAATTGTCTACTTCATATAATGGTTTAATTCTTTCAACCAAGGGAGCATTATCAACAGGAGGAGTGTTGGATTCCAGATGATATAATGAGTGATTATGATTATCATATCTTCTGCCAATGGCTCTTCTCAAACATAATTCATTTGACGGCATTTCTAAATATACACAAACTCCTACTCCACTTTCCTATTTCTTTCTCGGGATAACTGAGTAATCAACTGGTTTGACTACTCTCGCAGCCTCTTACAGTCTTGCTTATAATGGAGTGAGTTCATCCTGAGGTTCAATGCCAGTTAAATGTTTCTCCAAGAGTTTTGCTTGTTCATAATTGTGTGGGAATCCAACTAACAGCCATCCTTTACAATATGGTTTATTATTGATCATATTATTCCTATGGAAATCTTCCCAGTTGATACCATCATCATTAAATTCGTCTATAGTTCTACTTTGTCTGGGATTGAATGATGAATATTTGGCTTTGTATTCTTCATAAATCTATTCAAATTCCTATTTGTCAAACAGTCTTTTGATTTTCTACACAATTGCCTTGATATAGAGTTCTTCTGGTATTTCCTCCCCTTAACAAAGATACCCTGATATTTATTATCCCAACTCAATTTGTTATTAGTCCCATACTTATGAGTGTTCTTCACCTTATTCATACTTCTTTATATATTCTAGTAGTTCATTGATTATCACATCAATTGACAACAATTGGATTCCATACTTTTTGGCTAATAATTCGCTTATAGTTTTTTTGCCACTAAATGAGAATCCTATTAAACTTCCTCTGAAAGGGACATATGGAATATCAGTTTATTCCATTTCTTGTATAGAATTTTTGAACTGACTTTCTATCAGATATCTAACTAGATTTCCTAAGTTATAGTTATTTTGGGCTTAATAGATATCCCAAGCACCTGTTCCCTCTAGATAATCTTACATTTCCATTTTAGCAAGGAACATCTTTTATTTGTAGTTTAGACTTTCCTATTTTTTCATTTCTTTGATAGGATCATAAGTTCTAAATCGTTTGTATGGAATGAGTTCCATGCCTTATTTAAATAGGTGATGATTTTCCCTTGTAAATTACTTGTTAAATTCATTCGAATCATTGTTCTACAAATGTTCATAGAGTTGTTCCTCTATTTCAAAGAGGATTTCCACTAATTTTTTGCATTTTTCATAATTGGATTATCTAATTTGCAATTTATATTCAACATTAATTTCTAATTATCTTTTCTATTGTAATTCGATTTCTTCATTAAATTCCGATTATAATGCTCTTAACATTTCTTCTTCCTTGAATTTCTAATTTATAACATTTAGTTCTTATTTATTTCTATAATTTTCATCCCTTAATTATCTGTTTTCACAAATGACCTCTTTACATTGATAAGCTCTCCAGATTTCATACATAATTTCCTTTTCTTATTTACTTTATTATTTAAGTTTTTCTAAAACAGTGTATTCTCTTCTTTGTAATTCATCAGTTTGCTTTTCCTGATCTACAATCATCTTTCTTCTTCTTTTATCTCTCTCCTTCCTCAAGAATTCACTCATCATTTTATTTCTTAATCCCAAAGAGACTGGCTCTTGAGTACCTCTATTTTCAAATTAATCAATCTGATCTTCCATCTCACTTCTCATCATCTACTAAGTTTAAACCAATCTGTCTTCTGTCACTTTTTGCATTGTAGACTTGAACTTTTCATCAGCCACTTTGTTTTTATGTCTAACCTGTTAATTTTTCTTCCAATTCTCAATTCCTTTTTAATTCCAATCCTCCATAAATGCCATATTTCTTTGTAACTTATTCAACTAAATCTTACGCATTTCTTCCTTTAGATTCCTCTCCTCTGTTTCTTCCTTTATTTTCAACCTGCGTTCTTTTTCTGCCTGTTAAATAGCAAAAGACGAAAACTTCCCAAGATGCTTATCCAAATTAACATCCTTCTATGCCTTATTTTTCTCGTTAAGCTTAGACACAAAAAACTCTTATTCCATTTTATCAAATTAATCCTTTGGTTATCTGATAACCATCAATGGTTATATTACATTATATTTACCAGTCTTCGCATGCATCATAACATCATGAGGGTCATTTACTTTTTGCAATTACTATTATTATGAATACACGACATACCATTTGTAATTGATAAAGCAATTACATAGCAACTCCCTTTTTGCCTTTGATTACTTGATCAGCAGTTTGAAAATTGAATGGAATATGCAAAGTTTTAAATGTTGGTTCCAACAAAGTAAAATTCCTCATCTTGGCTTCGCGCACATCTCTAAATATAGAAAACAATAATCACTTATTAGAGAACTCTTCAAAATTGAGTTGTTAATTGAACTTGCTCAATAACTCGCCAAAGAGATACCCATTATTAAAATCTTTTTCGAATGATGTCACCTTCCTACTCAACTGCACCTCATCATTTAACCACACCATAAGAAGTTACGACATTTTATATACAAATATATTATTATAATTACTATATTATATTCACATCTTAACTCTCCTTTCTATATCAAAACCAAATCCAAACAATCAATTCCTCATCCTAATCTTCTAATTCAACTAAATGCAAACATCCAAAAGTGCATATCTTGATATATCTGCATTCCTATAAAATTTATGGGAAATCTGATAGATCAATTGAAAAATTTATAGTAATCATTTCGATGCACAATCTTAAGATGATGTACTAATCCTCTTGGTGAGATGATCTATTAATATATTTTATTTTTCTTAACTAAGATCTTTTATCAGATGTAATAAATTACCCTTAGATTAAATATATTATACAGAAAAATCTTACGAGTATTAATGATATTGTTTTAAATTCTTCTATTTATTTTTTAACAATTTCAATTTCAAATTTTCTATATTAATTTTTCTATAATTGTCTTTGAATCTCTTCTACCTACTGTTACTGTTATATTATGCTACGCTAAATTATAGGTAATTAGTATACTATCTAATTTCATTAATAAAATCATTATCTATTAGGCGAGATCTAAATATATAATATCTATCATTGTTCAATATAAAAGTCTATTTGTCATTGACAATTTATTAATTATAATTGAATAATTTATTAATTTGGCTTACGATTATTCATTCCTTTAAATATTCCTTCTTCAATGTAAGTATGGATAAAATCAGTAAATATATAATTAGTTATTTTCTATTATTCTCTTTTTCAATTATTTAAATTTATAATTAATTATACTCCTTTTCTCGTATCATTAATTTTATTAATGCAGTCAAATTCTTAAAAATATAAATGAAATTGGTTAAGGGATTTAAAACAATTTATATTAATTGCGACAAGATTATCTATGTAATATTTTTATTATAAATAAAAATAAGGTTAATTTAGATTTTGTAAATTAAATTAAAGGTAATCCATTTAAATAAATCGAATGAATATTTATTCATTGTTAATTTTGGATTGATGATGATCCACTTTCTTATTGGAGTTATATTACAAATCATTAATATTAATTTGATGTTAGATAGATAGTTAGATTAGTATCTGATTTGTAATTGATGAATACAATTTTTATTGGAATGAATAGTGTTATTAAATTAAAAATTATAAAATGGATCAATGTGATTCTTCTAAATTGAAAATAGATTACTTAAGTTAGGAAATCGAAAATCTAAGTCAAAGGTTAGAAGAATAAATTAACATCAACGCTTAGTATCAAAGTCTAATTAATGGACGAACTGATATGAGAATACTATTGAGTGTAATGCAATCAGAGTAGGAACTTTTGAAATAATAAATATCGAAAATACTTAACGAGAGGAATAGAGCTGTATCAAAAGTACTATGATATTTAATTCAGGTTCTCATTCTAGAATAAATACTCCTAGCGACACAATAAGAAAACGATTTCATTCTCAAAGAGGCAGAACAAAGAATTAAATATCTGCAAGAACAAATAAAATACTATGAGTAATCAAACTAGAACTTAAACCTCTATGAAACTGATCCTCAAAACGAAGGTTATTTGATAAAGTACAAATAAGTATCAATGTCATATATTCCTCAGATAGTGAATTTGAATGAAGCCACTTTGAGATTATAATAGGAGATCGAGATATATAAGGTTCAATTAGCTTTGGCTCACATGAAAATGAGCAAGTTACAAGAGTCTAAAAATGATTTAATATAGTTAAACTTTGTAAAACAGAAGTATTTAATTTTAGACTCTCTCAAATGAAATATGTCGATTGAAGTTGTAATCAAGTCAAGGAGTAAAAAATGTAGATAAATACATCTCTCAATTGGTTGAAGTCTAAACGAAATTGGTTTAAATTGATGACGAAGATTCAGATAAGGAATGCACATCTCCAATGGAAGATAAATTCAATGCTACTCGAATAAATGTATAAATGAATCAATATTGAGAGACAATTTTCAATTAGCACAATATGCCAAAATTAGATTTGAAGAGAGCCTAGCAAATCTAAGCATATACTTTATAGTAAATGAATATGAAACAGCAAAAAAACCAAGATCTAACACTTCAGGATGAACTCCAAAAATGGATAACAGAATATAAGTATTTGAAGAACAACTACGATGCTTCCAAGATATTGTTTGATCAGTTGAAGATTCAATATGAAGATTTGCAAAGGAATTATAATGAAACACTATCAATAAATGCCACTTTGATAAGAGCAAACCAAAATTACGAAGAAAAATGGCAGAACATTAACAAACAACATGTCTTTTATAAACAATTCTATCTGTAGTATAAGGATTGTGTGGATATTTTCAATAAAACTTTGAGCAATAAAAAGCTATAGGAATCCGTATCTGAGAGGAAAGATCTGTTAGAATTTTCAATATAGGTTTCAAAGATAAGACCCGCAATGTTTGTACGAAGATCTAGTGTCAATGTGGTTGGGATAACATCAGTAGATTCAACTCCAAATTCCATCAATTACAAGGATAAAATAATCTAGATGACTAAGGATGTTTTCTAGATATTTAAGAAAAAGCATAGCGAAAATGAAAGTAGTGATGAAGATATTTCACAGGTGAATCAAATGAAGAGAGAATTCACTGTATCCAACAATTTTTAATCTTCATAAAAACAAGCAAAAATATGAAATCTATCCACACATATTTTGCATTTTAATATAAATCATTTTTTGCTTTTTTTTTCTTTTTTTTTTGAAGGAGCTGTCACAGGTTCTTCTGGCTATTAGGGATTTAGTTTTCTGGTTTCAACTGCCTCATCCTGTTCATCATCGACTTCTTCCTCCACTTCCACTTCAACCATCTTCTTAACCTTCTTCTTCTTCTTCTTCTTTTTCTCTGGCTCTTCATAAATAATCTGTTTGCGCATAGCTTCTATTATGATTCCCAATATCACTGTCTTATATCCAACACTTTGAAATATTTAGGAAGTATCAATACTGCTATAATGCTTCACTAAGTTCCTGCATTTCCAATTTAAAACATTGTCTAACATTCAATGAGAGATCTGCTACACCTATAAATAGAAAAGCCATAAGCAGTTTTTGGTTGTCAATCACAATACATAATCCTAATGCAACTGCGAATAATGCCTAAATAGCATGCTTAAGTAATAGATTTATTTAGTATACATTGGGAGTGAATTCAAGCAGATGCTAAAATGGATAATATGGCAATTTAGCTTCGATAAACAAGTACCATCCTGTGACTAAAAAATATATGGTAGCAGGAATTAACAAATATTTCATAAATTAATATTTCTTATCAAAAAACGAATTCTCTATCACTCCCGTATCCTCTCCCTTTTCTTAGGATAATTAATAAATATCGATATATTGTGATAATGAGTAATTTATCAATAATACTTTTATATTATCACACTAAAAGCTAAATTTACATTTGGGTTTCTTTCTTGTTTGTTTCACGTAGATAATTGATGGTATAGATTTAATCGATCCTAATCAAAATGCAAATAAAACAATTGATTAAGGATTCAATGAATAGGATTATCAAGGGTGCCAATTTGGTTCTATAATTTTAATTTATTGGCATTTTAAAAATATAGAATAGTATAAAAAGATTATATACAAATTACAAGCCAAAATAGATTACTTCCACTAAATGCAATTTATTCATAAAATTTTTAATGTAATACCTACCTTTATTAATAATTATGAGAGTCATCACAAACAACATCACGATATTGGAGGGCATTAACCATAACAACACAGTGCAATAATCACATTGTGACCTAGTCATTCTTTGTTTGTAGATCAATTGATTATCCAAATCATAGCATCTCTCTATAGCATTGAATGACAATTAACAAGTTTGTAATTTGTTCTCAGCTATATTCAGGAAGTATAGTGTGATGTTCAACATGATCAAAACAGATATGAGTAAAATTTCCACTCTTAGGATATTCTTAATTTATTTAGGAATCGAATTCATTAATTAATAAATGAAAATGTTATTAAATGAAGAGTAAAAATACAAACAGAGAGATGAATATAATTTATGCAATATTAACGATAATTAATATTTTAAGAACAAAGAATTCTGAAGTATCCATTTGAATTCCTTTTTAAAGACATCCCCATAATGGAATTGCTATTGACTATTCTAATGATGGGTAGTTTTGATTTATAAACTCTAATGCCAGATTGATTCACCCAAAATCATGGATGATCGTTTAAATAGCATTCATCATCCTATTTCTGATTAAATGTTATAAAAGGAAACTTCCTATTTATCTATTGATATATAATAATATTCTAAATATTACTCTCTCTTGCAACTAAGTCTTTTTGGATTAATGTTTAAATAATATGCTTAAATACAAATACCCTAGACAAACAGATAAGTACTTAGTGGGACTTAAAGAGATGCAATTAAAGAATAGAGATTCAGTTCTTGTATATTATCCAACTTATAGATATCTAAATCAGAAATATAAATTCTTGTTGGAATAGTGACAATATTAAATAGGTTCGCAATAACAATAGTTTTAAATGATAAAGAGATTGGTTGATATAAGAATGGATGAACCCATTTTGAGAATGAGTTAGGAGAACAAATTTTAAGAAAGTCAAAATGATTAGACATACGAATTATGGAGTCAATAAATTTCATTCACTATAGGATTATATATAGTGATAGTAGAATGCTGATTTTAATAAGATTAATCAGATCAGGTCATTCTTTTGGAGCAGCAACTGTTCATGAAACAGCATAAATTGATTAGAGAATAGCTGTGCAGGTATCATATTGTTGAATCCATTGTTCTTGCCATTCCCAGAAGACACCTGAAATATCTTAGTTAAGTAGGAATAGTGATTCCTTTATATTACGAAAAGTGAAAGTAAATCCCAAAGATACATTATTGCTTTTAATGGACCATAACAGAACTTAAGGATTGCGTTTAAAGCGTCATAACTTCTTTGTACAATTCGGTTAGCGTATAAAATATCCTATCAATTGAAGATGTTTCCAAAATTGAACAATCTTAATAAAATTTTAAAACCACTATTGTCCATTAATGTATTGTAAACATATCTTGACTCTAGGCCATCTTAGAAAACTTTAACTTGATTTGAGAAGTTTGGTAAGGAATCTGTCAGACTACCAACATTTTGGATTGAATGTAAATGAATGTATATATGATTATTTATGGAATCACAAATAGACGGCTGCTGTGACATGTGCTGGTTGATTTGTGTGAGGTAATGGTTCAAAGACTTTCACTTAAATTCTCTTGTGATCTTCTGTTTCAACAATGAATTAATAGTTGGTTCCAGCAACAACTTAATGGCGTACCTCAATGATTTTGAAGGTTTAATGGTGAGATCCCAAATGTTGATTGATACCATGATGAACGACTGCCAAGACTTAGTGGTGACTTTAGTCCACTTCTACTACTGCCCAACCTCCCATCATCTTTGTTTAATTTTATTTTATTATTGAAAAATCCTAATGATCATTCGAAATTTAAACACCTCGACTATTTTATGGAATAATTCCTCTAATACTAAATTTTCCATTCATCCCACTTTAGAGTCACTACAGTGTGATAAGCAACTCTTAATGAAGGTACATTTCAATAATTATTAGTTTTTGGATTTTGGATTTACAGAACACTACAGGATTAATTAAAGTCTTATTAAAATATAATTAATTATAGCAGATAGGAAGTAAGGAATTTCTAAGATTTAAATTGAATCAAGAATGTTAATCAATATTTAACACACATTCACTGATATAATATATAATAGACAGTTAGCTTTTTGAATCAATACAAAATAGAATGTTCAAATTCATGAGTTTACAAAAAACTTCATAGACACCCAATTCAGATACACTATGAAGAATGTAACAACTGATAACAATGGTATGGCAAAGCCTACCACTGAATCTTGAACCAGAGATATAGCCATCACGAGCATGAGTAGGATGACAGCTATAATGAGGATCCATCCAATCACCTCATTTATTTTAGTATTTGAGAAGTTGACTGAGTTGAACCTTTATTCATAAATGTTTATGGGGCCATGAGGAAACTCTTTTTTTTGTAGTGAATAAGTATTTTTGGCTTTCTCCTACTGTAAGATCAGCTGGTATTGATTTAGGTTGATATGCACATTGAGGGTAGCCATGATTGGTATTCAATAAATTTATTTATTAATTTTAAAACTGCTTTGAATTCCAATCAAATGGCTTATGAATTATATAAATACATAATTAAAATTCCTCAATATTATTAAATGATCAATTATCTAAGATGGTCTATCTAGTAAATCTCACTCCATGATTTAATTGATGTTTATATCTTATTGATTTAAGAGAATGTTTAAAATAAATTCAATCTTATTCAACATTTTATAAATTTAAGAATTCACTATGAAAATAAAATATCATTATTTTCCTGAATATCTTTTGCTCGTATTCATTTATATCTTCAAACTTAGATGCCAACTTATATTGATTATACTGTATGATATTATTGAGTTCCCTACTAATCGAAATACGCTTGTTTTGACTCAAAGCCATGATGTTTAGGAAATGCTGAAATTCATTCACATTTAACCCCTCATCCTGTTCAGTACAATAACAATAATGATGTCTTATGAATTGCTTGCTGAACTTTTGTGGAAACACCTTTATTTGCATAAACACCAAAATAATCTTGTCCAAATTGAGTCTTTGATCATGGAAGTTGTAATTTTATATTGATTGGCCATACATTAGAAACAGTTTTTGGATCAGCGGAAAAAATAGATTATTGAATACTTAATAAGATTTAATTGTGAGTAAACGAATTTCATTTTAATCAAGCACTTGATTATAAATTTCCAGTAGGTATTCTTCCACCAATCTACACTTATAAAATAAGAGAATTACCTATGTAGTTTTTCATCTTTGCTGGGCAACAAAGAAATGCAATTTGCAACATCAATTAGAGAATCTCTGAAAAAATTAAAATTCATTCCTCTATCTTTATCCAAATTCTAAACCCTTACATTGTTCTCATAAACAGTGATCAATTCCTTGTCTTCAATGTCCAAATGAGATAGATGAAAACATTCAAGATATCCTGTCAAATTTATGTACTTGTACAGTTCATTTAAATCATCAGACTCTTTATTGGAAAATTTGAAGAAGATCTTCCTCAAATACAATTCAATTTTCATTGAAAATTAACCATCGATTTCAATCATTTAACTAAATACTTAATTGTTTTCTCGATCAACCTTTGAGTATAATTCTAGAAACCTAAGTACTTCATCTGCTTTTTGAGATTTTTGATCATGTCCTGATTTAAATAAATTTTAGATAACAACTATTTTATTTCTATTAATTTTTTCTGTTACTTATTGAATTCTTTTCCTGTTTTTTGCACTTTTAGATCCCTTATTTCTATCTTGTCCATACTTGTGATCGATAAGTGTTTTTTGATCAGAGTCTATTAATCTATCTTTTAATCTCATATGTTCTAATTGAAATTTTTTCATGTAATATTCCTAAGCTTAGACGCTCTTTTAATTCATTTCATTTCTTTATTGGAATTTAGCCCTCTCCCTTCTGGTTTTAAAATTGTTGGGATCCAATAAACTTAGATTTTGATTAAGCTTTTCACTACAGTCTTTGTGGAAGGAATGTAGAAGCAAGGCTTATTCCATAATTTATCCGAATTTAGAAGTGTCATGCAAGTGACAATTAATAGCCAATTCTTGGTTCAATTCTTTATCAGCGAGTTCCTTTTATGGTAGTATGGCAGCAATTCGATCAGAAAAGATGCTAGCTGTTCTAATTCCAGATTCTCTATCTAGTTGTTATTAATCGTAATCTATTTAACCCATTTTGTTGAGACATGATTATAGTCTCTATTATTTGGTATTGGGAAAAGAAGTGCAATCAATAGATTTGCTCAGAGGTTCCCTTTTCCTTTTCTCAATAATGTCACTAATGGAATTTATTACATTATCCACATTATTAAAATCCTTCAGTGCCTTCTTTTTGAATTGGTTGATTTCTTGGAATCGTCTCTTAACATCTTTCATGCCCTTATGATATTCTTTATCACATGCAAATCCAATAGTCTAAAATTAATATAGTAAATTATTCATTATTTATAATAATCACTTTTTATGATCAATGAAATTGACAGTTTCTAAATCTGATGTTAACATATTGTGAAATTTATCGAATTCAGCTTAGATGTATCCAACCTGTTAACTTGCATGCTAAATTTGGTTTTTTTCATCTTGTTTAACTTATGCATGATAATTAGAGGCAATGGAACATATCTCTCTGATTTCTTTGAGGTATTACGATTGATTATTGGATTTTGTGTGCAGAATCTTAGAAACAGGAGAAGGAGAACGATTTTGAGAATTCGTTGAATAAGTACTTTTGTCTTTCTTCTTTTGAGGGGCCATTGGAATAGACATCATCCTTTATAGTCTCATTTTAATGGGACTGTCAGTGGGGATGCCTATCCTTTAATAATATTTTTTGAATCGAGCATATGTGGGATCTACTGAAGGATTGAGATTGGATTGAGTATTCAATTTCAGAGGTGAGACTGAAGTGTTATTGCTGGTAGCAGTAGTAATTTCACGTAATCGATATTCAATTGACTATCTCCTTGTAATGAATTACATCTTACGTGGTTCCTTATTATGGAATAGACTCTAACCATAGTCGTTATTTTTTTAAACACTTTAGCGAGATTTCTCTATGAGTGATTTATAATTATTGGTCATGATTGTCCATTTTTCTTCATTAATTTCATCCATTTTTATATGCGGATCTATTGTCACCTTTTGAAAGTTCTTAAAGTACAGCACATTTTTCTTCTCTGGTTGATTGTTATATTCGACATCATGCAAAGGTACCTGAATTTCATCGGCACTCTTTCTTCTCACCAGGTATTTAATCACAGTGGGACTCTGATCAGCCTTCACATCATTCATTTTCTTCCGGATCAGCATCAGTTTTTTAAACTAAAATTAACAAGATTCCTTTACATATTCTTAGTTAGTTTTAGTATTTTGCTCCATTAATTAATTAAATGGATTAAAACACATTTGGATTAATTAAACAAATATATAATGCGGATTAAATTATTCGCATCAGCGCTTTGAATGAACTCAAAACAATCTTTAGGGATATTACAAAAATCAAATAAGGATTTGAATAATTGCTTTTACCATGGGAAGATTAAAATCTGAGATTACAATACTTTATATTTTTGAAAAGTAACATTACAGAGAATTATGAATGCTCCCCCAATTATATTCAAAAGGAGATTTAGATTATCATCTAGGATTTCATGAATAATGTTGACTCATATTTACTTCCATTTTATTGCGATTTACTAAACTTTATAATCGAAAAGACATTGCCATCAATAAGCATTATCTAATTCATCATATCTCAAAATACATATAGTAGTATTCACATTAAAATAATTACAGAAATGATGAACAATCGTTTCATCAAAGTTAAAATCCTAGCTGCAGATTTCCTAACTATCACTAGAACTATGATTTTGTATTACGATTTGAAAGATATTCAAAAACTGAATCTTCTGGCTGATCTCTATGTTTCTTTAATTTAACCAATTAATAAATTTGATGAGAACACCAAGAGTATAATCAATCATCAATTTTGTGAAATCTTGACATATCATTGTCTTGAATATGAATTATTGAGAAAGTTCGCTAAAGTAGTTTACAAATCAAACAAGTACGGCTTACCTCCAATAGAGATTCAAACAATGTTATTCGATATATTGATGTCTACTTATATGTAGAATGAAAATCAGAGAATCACTGATAAATATTTAGCTTACCAAATAATGAAGGTCTTCAAGCAATTGTTGTCTGATAGGTTAATCGAAGAATGGAAATAAGAATCTATCATTTTTTATGCGATGGTCAATTTAATTATGCTAGATTATAGATAATATGAAAATCAATTCAATAGAATTGGAGATGATGATTCAGAAGATTATCTATTGATAAAAGTAAGATAATACGGTGCTGACTTTATTCATCATGTAGCTGGATATTTCTCAGAGGACACAATGTTGAAATAACTCTTTCGTTTGAAAGATTTAATCAACGATGACCAATAACATGAAGAATTCAATTGCATTAAACTAGAGGCCCATTATTTTGTAATATGCGAGAATATTTCTTCCATCCCCATGCATATGTTTGATGAAAAGTTCCTAGCGGAGATAATTTAAATACTGAAAATCAAAGAAAGCATGTACATCCCTTTGAAGATGCAAATACTTAATTTGTTGAGAAAGTTGTTGGAGAAAAAAGCCATAAGGAAATAAGATTTTAATATTGTGATCTCCACTCTACAAGATTAATTTAATGCAAATTTAATTACGACCCCTGTCTACATCTGCAAAATTGTTAACAATCTTATTTATCTGCACTCTTTGTATCCATCCAAAAAATTAATTACACATCAAACATTTGCTGATCTCAAGACATTATATCAACTCTAAACTAAACTTATACACAAAGAAAATATTTTAAAGACTCTTTGTGAAATACTCAGATTAGAATAAGGAGATTATTCTGTTTTATTATTAATTGAGACTGAATGGAATCTAGCAAAGTAAGAGTAACATTTATATAAATATCAAGAAAGTATTCATTATTTTTATATTAGAAATGATATTGAATGTATTTGAATTCATTATTGAAGATTGGCCTATTAATCTTCTAAATACAATATTTAATGGCCTTCTTAAAATGGTAAAAGATTGCATAAATAGGAATCACCATTTGAACCAAAGTTTGTCTGTTCTCTCTCTACTTTTGAAAAAGTATTTACCAACTTATCCAATCAAATACGACCAGATCTTAGCAGACTTTATATAAATCTAAAAAGACTTTGAAATTATTCTATTAGATGAGCCAGATTAATTTAATCAGATACTTGAATTGTATTATTTAATGTTGCTGCACGATATTGCAGATTACAATTTGACATTTTAATTTCTCATCTAGAAGACTAAATATTTATAGAAGGGCCTTTAATTATCTTTACTTTGTCTGCTTTGTACTAACCTCAAGTAAGGATAACTGCAAAATTGTATTATTGAATTTTATGCTAATATCCTCTAGTCAGCGTAATAATTTTAAGAATAATAGAATATATGATGAAGGTAGAGCTTATAGCGAATTAATTTGTGGATTAGCGATTCTTGATCTAAATCAATACGATATTAAGGATCTACTAATGCAAATCTAGGAAAAAGTACCTAACAGTAAGAATATTCATTTTAATTTTAGAAATGATTTTCACTATGATAAGCAATGCTACAAAATGTATCCAATATAATATGCCCTACTATTTGAATTATTTGATAAGCTTCTTTAAGACTATATTGACTAAATAGCATCTTCTATTTGATATGGAATATATTTCAATAGAATCCAATAATACATAAAATTTGAAGCAATATATCTCCAAAATGAAATCCTATCTAATTCCAAATGCTTTTTCATTGGAATCATAAATTTTAAGAATTTTTGATACTAAATACTCTACTAAACTTGATTTATGCTAAGAAATTGTTCGAAAATGTAATTCTTATTCCTAATTATTTTAGTGAGAATCGACGTTACCAAATTGCAGATTTAAACTGAGGAACAAATGGCAATGGAGAATATTCATATTAGTTGATTTATTAAATATATTATATATAAGTTAAATATCAATTTAGGAATGAATTCATTTAAATAGTTTCTGTTATTTCCAATTTTAACTTTCTATGAAAAACACTCACACATTACCTTATCATATGATAATCCAAAATTCTTTGTTGCTCTTAATTTATATAATATATCACATCTCTAAAGAAAAAACTCGTTATTATTATCTTACTCTGTGTTGTAATCATATTTAAATTTCATTTCAATTTTTGGGTCATTCTATTAACCAAGTCTATTGGAATAGTAAAAACAAATTGTAAATAAATTTATTCAGTAAAGACACTCCAACGTTTTTATAAAATGGTAAAATATTACCTTAACAATTTTTGAATACTTTTATTTTTTTGTCTTTCTTTTTCAAGAATTCCTAGCTGAAATTTTGATGCAATTATTATATCTTTCTCATCTGATAAGTAGTTTTCCATAATTCCATTATTAAGAAGTGGTTAAAACAATTATACTTTCGCTTTGGCTTGATTACATTATTAAACTTCCAATTACTAACTATGTTTTATTTAAACTAGTTACTCTCACATTAATTAGCCTAAAATCTTCCTTCTTTCTATTTCAACAGATTCTCTTCCTTTATTTTCTTAACTTTTGCATAAATTATTTCCTGCAAATTCATGAGTTATGCATCAATATTTAATTCAAAAGCATAGTTCTCATTCTCAAACACTCATTATTACTCTGCTTTTGAGTTATCATGAAGATGTACCAAAGAAGTATTGTTCTGATCGAGAATACTCAAAAAAGATATCTGAAGGGACAATTAAAAATAAATGATTCATGTTAATTATTATATTTATATTTGTTCTTTCAATATTTAGAATACAACTCTTTTCTTTTTTCTCTATGCAAATTTAAATTCCTTTATGACCAAAATAGACTTCCCGTAGTTATTAAATCCAAAACAAGTATTTAATATACAATTGCAAAAGTCCAAAAGGGAGCAGTCCCCATATTCGTTGAGTGTGAGTATGCTATCATCGTTGAAATGATATTTACGAGAGTAGGTACTACCCACCATTGTGATAAAGTTTCAATACAAGAATATGAACACAAACCCAAAAGGATGGGGAGAGAGTAATATGTGTAATTGATTGGTACTTTTGATCTTAATTTATTTTTCGCTTTGAAATCGTCGAATTTCATCATGTTCAAACCAATTAAGGAGCCACATAATAAGCCATATTTTAAATTTAACCAATCTATGCACAACCTAACATTGTAAAAATAGGAAATGTCTTCGAATCTAATACTGAGAGCATTGTAGAAATAGTAAAATGTGGGTACTGTCATGACCCCAAATAAAATTGAAACAATTCTTGGAGTATTACTTTCAATGTTGGAAGTTTATTATAATAGTTTTTCTTACATCAATCTAGCCTTTTGTTTTTCAGCATTAATTTGTATTTCATTTTTACTAAACCTTTTAGGAGCCTCGTATATTTATTATCTATATTTGTAAATACTCCTGAAAACAAGCATATAAATAAAATTATTATTAATATAAATAATATTTGATAATCACCAAAAAACTATTAGAACAACGAGTATCCAAATGTGTAAAATGGAACCAAATACATAAATATCGCAAGCTCTGTCATTTAATGAAGCACTCTCGATAGTTAGACACTTATTCATCGGTTTATACCAAACGCATTATTTATCACTCACACATTATTACTCATCCTCAGTACTACATGCAAGTTGTAATTTAAATTCTTGACAAGAATTATTTAACCAATGGCAACCAAAAATGCTATATTGATTACATCTGCATTATTCAGTTAATTAGGAACAACTCAAACACTAATTATCTTGATCTTTATTTTGAGTGAAAAAACATTTTTCTGAATTCCTCCTAGTATTGAAACAATTTTCCTAATTTTTTAATATTAAGTAAATACTTTAGTTGGGATGAGATTACAGGTTTATGCAACACATTAATTGTCTATCCAAATGCAATTTATTTCTGGAATTAATGATTGCAAACAACTTGATTTTTCAATAATATCAGAGCATTGTTTAATTGATGAACATTATTGATCTTAGTAGATGCATTTCACCCCATTAGTTTATCTGCAACTTGATTGTGAATTGTGAGTACAATTCTTAACTATGCATGAATCTTCCCAATGGCATTCTATTCCATATGGTTTGACTAATGAGCATGATTGTTAATTGTCAATTTCTGAGCAAGATTTGACTGATTTGCATCCTTAAATACTAGTAGCGCAGAGTTCACCTTTATAAGCTAATCCATCACAAGGGATTTAAGAATTTTAGCAGGATTTCAATTAACACGTATTTTCATACCAAATGCATTCATGACTTTTAATTATAAATAAATCAATATTACATTCCATTAATTATATCCTTGCATTCTGCCATAGTCACAGCTTCTGAGCAGGTTAATGGAAATGCATTTATTATAGTGACTAAGATAAACAAAATCAAGATGTTTTTCATGTGTTTTTAATTAAATGAATTGGAAGAGTAGAATGATATAAATTTAAATAATACATACATATAGAAAATAAGTAACCATATGAATACATTTTCAAAAATATTAAGAATATTTTTGTCTTAGACTCTTGTCGAGTGATTATTAACATAATATTTTCACTTTTTAGTTAGGAGTATTGGCCAATAGAAGTTCAATAATCTCAAAATGTCTCCATCGAAATGCAGCTACCAATGGATAATCATCAATTTAATTTATCTATTATACTACCAATTATAAATTACTTATACTGAAATATTTTAATCAGCACCATATTAAATTAGGATATTACAAACATCCTCAAATCCATTCTTTGCTGCTATGTATAATAGAGTGAATCCTTAAGAATTCTTTTTGTTCACTAATCTCAAGGGACTTTTTGGTTCATAAAGGTATCTTCCAATTGCATAAATCTATTAAATACCTTTTAGGATCATTCATAAGAATTTTTTCAATTAGATCAATTGAGGTGCCCTTCTCCACATAATAAAAGAGTTCTCTTTCTCGCTTTATAGCTTTCATAGCATCACTTAGATCATCATGTGCTCTCTTTTTGGCCATTTGTTCCTCATTATTAAGTAAACCTATTTGAGTACACGATCGGAATTTGGTTAGATTCTGATTGAAGGTCACTTCGTCCTTTTATTTAAGTTAACGATATACGGGTGATTAAATAGATTTGATAATAGGCATTTAGAATAATCGAATTGAATGGCAAACATTTCTTATCTTCCTCCAGTAGGTTTTGCTATCACTTTCATAAAATGGCACACTATGTGGAAAACATATTATTACTCAGTCACTTATTTTGGACAAGGCTATTCAAAGACTACTTTTTATTACATTTTTGGGAAATTTATATAATATTTAGTATAGAATGCAACTATCACATAAAAATAATAAAGGATTATTATAACACTATTTCTTACCAAATGGAAAAAATAGAGGCAGCAATTATAAGTAACCAACCTAACCAATCTGAAATCAATAGGAATGACCTAAATGCCTCCTATTATTAAGATTTTCCATTTCGATTTGAGTAAATTACAAGATCCATAGAAATCATTCGTAAGCCTTCTTTACATTTCCTATAAATTCATCTTAGAACAACGTGTTTCAACCTGATGGATAATTGCATATAAACTGGGCTAGGATATCCAAAATTAGAATATTTTATGCATTCCTCAATATCTTGATAGTTAATGCACTCCAGATGTATATTTTTTATTTGGGCTACAGTGGAATGTGTACTGATTAATCCTTATTAAATGGTAAAAGATTTTGCATGTAATCTATAAAATAAATCAAGTTATTGGCTGGACTTCTATGGCTAACGCTAAGCATCATTGATACTTTGGGTTGGAATTGATTTGTAAGGGCAGCCTCTTTTACAGAGCAGGATCGGTGTTCTTTGAAAGCTTAGGATTTTGTAGAGTTTCATTCTAACTCCTATTTGTATTTGCTGATCACATAAATTTGTATTTAACACTATTGAAATTATAGAGAAATGGTGATATTTTAGTGAATGACTTTATTATTATTATAACAATTTTTTGTAGTTAACATCTTCTTTTTAATACAAATTTTAAATACAATGCTCATATTATAATTTTTAAGGCTTTCTTTTTTATTGATGGAACAAATTATAGCTGTGCTTAATATCTAATACAAAGGCTACTCAATTTATTGATCTTTAAGGAATTTATTATCAGGAGTTAAGGTAATAGGTAACTAGCTAAAGATTCTTTTTATAAATAACATTTATAATATAATTTATAAATATTGAGAAATTAAAATTGAGTCTAAAAGTATTTATTTTAATAATAGCTGTCCTTAAATCAATAGAGATTAATTATGAAACAGTTTATTGACTTAAACTGAATAAGGGTGGCAGCATATTAATTATATGATGATTTGGAACAGTTGAGATCATTGGCTATATAATTTTAAGTATTCTAAAGATTGATGTACTTCATGAAATTGGTTAGAATCATTTCTTTAGATTTAATAGATAAATCCGTTTCTTTAATGTTAGAAATAAAATTAACAACAAAGGCAGTAAGAATGCTATTGCATAATGAATCCGAAAATAAATACTATATATAGATTTGAAAGAGGATGAATCCTCTTTGTATTAAAAATTGATGATAAAAACATTAAATTCAAGTTGATTTACTATAATAGTTCGAGATTCTTAGAGAAGTTCATAAAGGAACATAGAGATAATCCTGAGGATGAGGATCCCAAACAATTTATTGAAAGATTTATAAAAGCAAGATTAGAATTTATTTTGCTTTGGATTTCATCTTTATAAATGATTTTAGGATCTCCATGACAAATATAATATGGGAATCTAGTGGAATATTTGTATTATGAAATATGTGATGCAGTTATAATGATTTATAAACCATACGTGATGTTTTAGTTTAGTTATAATTATTATCGACAATTTAATGTATAAAGAAATATAATGAGAATCAATATCTTAAAAATTATTTTAAATTCCTTTTGCATTAAATGGCATATCACAAGAAATCTTTTACTTGGTCTCCCACAGTTTCCCAAGTGTTAACTAAGACTTGTCTCATCAATCTTAAACCTACTGTCACAGCCAATTAGGGTCCTGTGCGTTTGAAAATTGATACAGAAAGAGAATTATAATTCTCAAATGATTTAAGTTGGAATTGGCATAAAAGTTGGAATATACCAAATTTATCAATTAAATTACAACTTGAAGACGAAGATACACCATAGTGGATGGATTGTTAGGTAGTTATCAATTTTTAAATTAGGCTTAATTGATGGCTGTAAAACTAAATCAAGATGGAGTCTATGAGGAAGTAGGTTTGGAAGGAGTCACAACTCAAGAGCTAGTAGATGGCAAAGCATTTTTTTCTGTATTTTCATTAATCGATTTTTATTTAGGGTGTTAAATTTAACAGTACAACTTACAATCATTAAGGACATAAGTTTCACTTGATCATTTTGTTGAAAAGTGCAAATAACATTATAACTGCACTAGAGTCTCCTCCTATTTTCGTAGATAGCAGAAAAAGTGCAAGGGATGAACACAGACAAACATAATTTATTTAGCCATTCGAACCAAAATATTTGGAAAGAAATTTTTGTAAGAAGGAGAAGCACTTCAACGATGTGATTGAAGCTCCTATTGAAAATAATGAGAATGGACTCCATAACTATCTGACTGCTCCGAACATACGCAATAAGGTATAAGATTTAATGTCATCATGTATAGATTAAACATCCATTATTTTTGGCCTTGAAATTCTCAAAATGTATGACCATCTATCATTTGAGAACTATGATAACAGACAATCATCTTATAGAATTTCAAAGGCAGTTAAAATAAAAATAAGGGTAATGTGAATACATAATTGCTTTTTAGTCAAATAACAATAGAATTCGTAAGAAGGTAGAATTATATATTATATAATAGATTGAAGAAACTTTAACATAGTTATTCATCCAAAGTAGCGTTAAGGTTATGGAGAGGAAATATGTTGATGAAACGCTCTATTAAAAATTAGATTATGATATCAAATCATATTATGAGGCATATAACAAATTGGTAGAAATGATGAACTCAACAAATTCTGAAAGCACAATGGAAATTCAGATAGAAGAATAGAACCAATAATAGATCAGTTCATAGTAGGGTTAATTCAATCGATAGCAATCAAATGGAGGGAGAAAGTCAGCCTTCAGAAAATTCAACAAAGACTTTGATAAATTGCCAACAAAAAACTTTTGTGAATTCCAGAATGAAGATAGTATTTAGAAGAAGGTGAAAGAGGAGGAGGTGATTGACTATGGGAACAAGATGTTACCTGTTAATGTATGTATTTAGATTAACTTAATAGATTTAAAATTTGTTTTTTCAAGAATAGTTGATAAAGTATTACTTATTCTAATAGCAATATATGATTAATTTGTTATCTTAATAGATCTGAATGTATTAAAATATATAATAAATAAATAATTATTAAAAAAACCTCATGATTTGAGATCTTTCACTGTTAATATAATTTGATACGAGTTATGACATTATAAATTAAATAAATAAATGGATCATCAATTTCCAAGAAAACAATTGGTGATATCAAATTCAACCAAAGATAAAGTGGAGGCATGCAAAAGATATATAGAGAGAAAATATACAGATCTATTGAAAGCGGAGATGGAGAGAAGAGAGGATTGGGCCAAATTATGGGAGAAAATGAAAGATATGCAATTGAAAGGTAAAAATACATATGATTTAGTTTAGCTTAGGATTAAGAGTACTATAAATAGTTGGTTTTGAAGAAGGAAGCAGAACTGATGAGAAAGAAGTAAATAATAATTTGAATTTCTAATCATTAGAAGAATGAAGTTTTGCACTGATGATTTTGAGCCAATAGCAATAATAGGAAGAGGAGCATTTGGTGAAGTGAGAGTTTGCAGGATAAAATAGACTAAAGAGATAGTTGCAGTCAAAAAAATGAAGAAGTGTGAGATGTTGGCCAAAAATCAATTAGCACACATTAGAGCAGAGAGAGACATCCTGAGTCAAGAGAATCCTTGGGTGGTAGAATTAAAATGCAGTTTTCAAGTATTGAATACAATAATATTAAGGATGACAAATATCTCTACTTAGTGATGGAGTACATGGCAGGTGGAGATCTAATGACATTGCTGATGAAAAAAGATATATTAACTGAAGATGAAGCCAAGTTCTACATTGCAGAACTAGTTTTGGCAGTTGATTCAATCCATAAAATGAATTATATTCATAGAGATCTCAAACCAGATAATATTTTGATTGATCGAAAAGGACATCTCAAGTTATCTGATTTTGGTTTATGCAAGTATAATCAATCATTTAATCTAAGGTATTCAGAAATCAAACCGAAAGTTGAGTTGGGCAGAAAAGTTCCCAATTAAAATCCAGCCCCAACTCCAATACTTAGCAAAATGTAAAAAAGAAGACAATTAGCTTTATCCACAGTTGGTACTCCTGATTATATTGCTCCGGAAGTCTTTACATAATAAGGATATACTGAAACAGTGGATTGGTGGAGTGTGGGAGTAATGTTGTATGAAATGGTTGTTGGATATCCTCCATTCTTTTCGGATGATCCTTAAACCACCTGCTAAAATATCTTACACTGGCAATCAACATTCCAAATCCCACAAGATATCAGTCTATCACCTTAATGCATTGATTTGATTCGCAGATTGGTGGCTGACCATACTGAAAGATTGGGCATTAATGGAGTAAGTGAAATAAAAATTCATCCTTTTTTTTAAGGAGTTGATTGGAGGAAAATAAGAGAGAAGATTACCCCTTATTAACCTCAAGTGAATCATGAAATAGATACTTAAAACTTTGAGAAATTCGAAGAGGAGGAACCTTGGAATTGGAATTCTAGTAGGAGAGTCAAGAAAGATCACTTCTAAGGATATTCTTTTAATCGATAAGCTCAAAGAGAACAAAGTCCAGTGAGAGTAGCTCTGGAGAATATTGACAAAGTTGAATTTCCTAAACGATAATAACCGACATAGTAACCACAAAGTTAGATTCAGTAACCTGGTAGTCCATCTCACAGAAAAGTTATAGCTAAACCAATTGCTTATGCTTACAACAAATCTGCCAGGTCTAATTCTCCTGTTAATAAGAATCAATAATAAAACTCTATGAAAACTATTCCATAACAACAAACCTTACTGAATATATTATCTTAATATAAAAGAAATTCTAATAATAATAATAACAGCTCTAATAACAATTCCGCACTCAATTATTCAAGCTCAAGATTACCAAATCTTAAAAGTGTTCGAGAACAAAGTCCCAGATCCCCAAGAAACACATAAAAGTATTACTATTAATGATCTTTCATTTAATTTTGTTTTTACAATCTTAGTTTTATTATCCAAATATATCAAAAATATAAATCATTCTTTACATTTGTCTTCCTGAGTAATATTCTTACTCAAGGTTGTAAAAAAGCAAAGAAGATATTCAATAAAAATGAAAAATCCACTATATTATATCTTCAATTTAGGTATCTTCACACTACTTTAATAATGTAAAGGTTAGGATATTATAATATGATTATGTGTAAGATCGAATTTGTCTGATGTTCTTCTTATTGTATGACTTCAGAAATGATGAAAATTTGTAAAATTCCTGAAACAAATTTTGGTTGGTTTAATTTTCCAATAATTTATTTTGATAAAATATGGCAGGAGGATTAGAAAGAGTGTATGGAACCGAAGAAGACAAGGTTATCAATAAATCCATATGACATAGGTTAATTGCTCGTTCTATATCAAAATTGGTGCTTGCAGATATGAAAATAAATGCTAAAGAATCCACAGTATACCTCCCATCTCTTAAACCATATTATTTAAAGTAACAATCCATCCATGAAATTTGTAGCATATGTACCAAAATTCTCCAATAGAAGTCGCCATCGCCTCTGGAAATGCAGTGTCTTAGGCAGGCATTGAGGAAGCATTGGAAAAATTTGAAAACTTTTATGAGGATGTATTTTTAAAGGTATGTTTAAATGTTTTATCAATGTATGACAGTTGGCTGAATTTGGAGAGATTGAGGATCTGATAGTCTGTGAAAACATTGGTGATCATTTAGTTGGCAATGTATATGTGAAATATACATCGGAATATTATGCTGAGGGCTGTTTTAATGCTTTGCAAAATTTGTCATACGAAAATAGACCATTGCAGATGGAATACTCACCTGTATTGGATTTCAGCAGTGCTAAATGCAAACAATACATTGATGGCACATGTCAAAGGTATAAAATTAAACATTTATTTAGAGGTGGAGCCTGCAATTACTTACATCTAAAGAAGATTTCTACAAAATTCAAGAAAAGTTTATTCAATCAAATGTATGAAGAGCATCCAGATTACAAAGAAAAAAAAGAAAAAGAAATTAATGAGTATTATTCATTTAGATTACTATTTATTAGAAAAAGTCCAAAGAAACATAAGAAGAAGGAAAAGAAATCTAAGAAGAAGAAGAGTAGCAGCAGTAGGGAATCCAGCAGAAGAAACTCTATTGAGAGATAAAAAATGATTAATGACTGGAATGAAACAGGAATTCAAAATGTAATGCATAATTATTAAGCATTATTAAATAGGTTTCTTAAGCATAAAAAATGATGTATGGAAATAATATGCCTGCTCCGGTTTACACACCTAAAGTTTCCATGCGAACAAGTCCAGAGTTATTACAACTATAATTACAATTGGCTGCATTAAAAGAGTAATTGACTGCAATTAAAATGAGTTGAAATGTTTACATTATATTCTATAATAATATATGATTATTTTTGAATACCTAAGAATAGCTTCGATGTTTTAATAATTTTTACCCTTACTTTTAGCCATAATTTAGATTATATCTTAGTTTTACTTTTCCAATAATCTTTATAATACTTACCCCAACCCAAAATCATTTTGTAATTCCAGGAATATACAAACATTAATATTGATGATTCTTTGAATTTAATAATATAATAAGATTTATTCTTAATATTGTAGTTTATACTATTTACAAGTATAATTGAATATTCAAATTTAAGTAACATCCTCCTAGTCTTTCAATCCACTTTAAAATTTCTCTTTGAATGAATGATTGCTCAAAGTTAAAGTTCTGGTCAGTTGAGTACAGAATTAAGTTGAGAACGTCATAGTAGTAACTTTCTCACACAACTAAGTCTATTTGTATTCGTAGTATTCTTAAAACAATTCTTAACCAATATATTCATAAAATAATTTGCAGTTTTACAATTCGTAATCTTAATAATATCATAGAGATACCTTCAATTTCTTTAGAGTGACATGATTGCAATTGGAACACTCCATCAGAATGCATAAATTTCGCCAAACTATCATATTTTTGATCTAAATATTCGAATAATCTGGTTTTGCTTAATTGTACATATAATTCTAGGATGGATAAGAGATGTAAATACAATTATCTTCATGTTTAGTATTGCCCAGATTATCGATATGTGTCCTAATGTATTGATTTAAGCATAAATGTGCTTAAAAAGGATTTTGGCGGTCAAACATATCCTCATATTTGATAAATTCCTGTAAATTGTTAAGGAATTTGTCCTTCAAAACTCTGATGGTAGCTAATAGAGGATCAATTGAGTGGATTACTATGATAGATGAATCAAAAGTAATAAGAATATTATGTTACTGGTTAGACAATAATTCCCAATAAGACTTGCGGTGGGATTCTTGATTAATTTAGATTGAAATATTGGGACATCATTTTGATTGAGATTGACTAGGTATTGGTTCTCTTAGATTAGAATTGAGGAGTATTCTTCTGAATGGTCTAAATAGTATTGGTCTGCCATCAAGTATTGCAAAGGAGATTCTTACATATTAATTAAATTAAATGCAAAAGTAAATAGGAAAATACATAACATCAACCTCAGGGTATTTAGGAAGTGGATCTTTGGGGAGAGTACAATCTTTGAATCTATTATAGGTTGACAAGGCGAAGGACTCTGAGAAAAATATTGATGTGGTTCTTAAGGCAATTCCTAAGAGTATTTTAAAGGATGATGAGGCTATTCAGTTGGCGCTGTTGGATGAAATAAAATTATTCCAGAAAATAAAGAATCCAAAAATAGTGGAATTGTTAGATGTGTTTCAACATGAAGGAACATATTATATGGTGATGGAATACAGTCAGCTCAACTTATAACAGTTAAATATGTAGATATCATATTAGGTATTTAAAGAAGGACAAGGAGAAGATGTGCATGAGTGAGTAAGAAGCTATCAAGATGTTAAATGATTTGCTAGAAGGGTTCACTGAGTTAAATAAACATGGAGTGATGCATAGAGGATTAAAATTATCAAACATTATGGTAAATGAAGGAGTCTTCAAATTAGCAGGTAATTCAATTCATAGAATGTAAATAGATTGCGGGTTATCTAAATGTTTGGAATCGTTTCGAAAAGAACAGCAATAACTATCTCAATATCAATATTTATCACCATAAATTTTATCAGGTCAAAAATATACCAACAAATGTGACATTTGGTCATTGGGTATCATATTGTATTAAGTACTCTTTGGATACACTCCTTGGTTTGGTGCAAAATTGGATGAATATCAACATCAATTGTGGCATACCTTACTCTAATTCTCAGAAGATAAAAAACAAATCAGTAATGAAATGAAATCGTTCATTGAGGGTTGTTTGGCTATAGAAGAAGGTTATAAACATTATCATTATTTTAGAGGAAAGATTTGATTGGGATGCAGTGTATAAGCACAAATTGGTTTGTGAGCATTTTAAGAATTACAGATCCCAAATCAAGTAGGATCAAATTAAATTTCTAATGAACGAAGTCAGGTAGAAAATTATTAAGTAGAATATCGATGTCATTAAGCTCTTTAATGAACTTGATGTCAATTCAGATCATACTTTAGAATATAAAGAATTAGTTGTACTACTCAGAAAAATAGACAAAACTTTATCAAATACGGATTGCAAAATCATATTCAAGCAATTGGATTTAGATGGTGATAAGAATATTTCATTTGATGAATTTGCAAAGTGGCTGACTGATAATAACACAAAGATGACTCTATTAACTAGGAAATTTCATCGTCAATCAACTATGAAAAATACTGCATCGCCTGGAGTCTAACCTTAGAGCACTCCTTAAGGTATGAATGCTAATTAAAATGTTCACAGTTAATTAAACATCCATACTCCATAGGGTTACGATAGTAAAATTAACAACCCTATGGTTTCAGAGATGGATTTGGATGCTAACCCTTTTGAAGATATTTGCAAACAGCGATCTCCGGAACAAACCATATTAATGATAAAGGATGGACTAAATTAATACAGAATCAATTTGTTTGATTTGTTTTGTAGATTTGATTAGAACAGAGATGGATTCATTAGTTTCTAAGAGTTCTTTATGATGGCCAAGTAGATTAACTAGCAATTTACAAATGAAGAATTAAGAATAGCATTCAAAGTTTTTGATTTGAATGATGATAATTTCATTAAATTTGATGAATTTAAAGAGATTCTTGCAATTACAGTTCAAAGAGTATATTTTATAGTTTATTAAAGCCAATTAAACCAAATATGAGTTTCCCATAATTTCCTATGTAGAATTCAAGTTATGCTCCTTTTTTTGGTACTCAATATCCACAATAACCATAACAACCATAGTAGCCATAACAACCATAGTAGCCATAATAATTTCAACCTTTCTAAAGCAATAACTATTAAAATGCATAATATAATTAACCACAATAAGGTGGATAATAATAATTTCAATATTAACAATAATAATATAACAATAACATCCAATAATAAAACAATGATTTAAACATAGCATACTAACTAATGAATTATTGATTAATATATACTTATTTTGATAACGGCATTATTGATAATTATTTTACATCTTACTAATTATATAATTGAAGGTCTATTATATGAAAGTATGTAGATATTTGTGTAACAATAAATATTTTTGTATACTTATGGCTTACTTTATTATTCATTTTTTTTATGTAATATTTAAATAAAGAATGATCTCAACTTATTTGATTTATATTGCAAAAATAATATGCTTTTCTTTTTAGAGCATTTTATAGAACAAATGAATTATAATTGAATACCAGAATAAATTTAAAGCTTTCTGATTAGTTATAATTATACAATTCAATACAAAACATTACTTCAAAATATATATTGAGAGAATGAAATAGAAGACTTGGATTACAATATTTGAATATACAAGTTTGATCTGTAGACACGAAGAATTTAGCCTCTCTATTAATTTGTTTCATAAATTGATTCTAATTATCAATTCAATCTTTTTTCAAAGCACATCTACGATCTAGTAAAATCTCAGTGGCAGCTTTATCTAAAAGTATGCTTTGAAGATGATGCTTTTATGAGTGTTATAAGAGTCAATCTCATATTTGACGTGTCATTAGGCTATAAACAGAAATTAAATGTAATCGCTGATATCATTCATATTTATTAATTATGTAATTATCACACATCATTTGGTTGTTTTTCGGAGTCCTATTGGCTTACAACTTGAAGTTGTACATGGACTCCAAAGTTCAATACGATATCAAGATAGATGGAAATTCAATTTCAATAAATTTGTAAGGGAAGTCGATTGGGAATAGTGGATTGGAAGTGGCTTGCAAATAATTCCAAGATTTTGTCAATGTGACTAAATTGGAAGCCAATTTCAATTTGAATGGACTCACAAATGTTCAGACTCTTTTGTTAACTATAAGTCGATTCAAGAGATTATAAGAATGTACATTTCTATATTCATTATCATTTTAGTGAATTTGCAAATAGGAAATAATCCAATTGGTAATTCAACAGCTTCGAATCTTTAGGCTCTTTTGATTCAATTGTAAAATTTGGAGTCCCTCTCATTAGGATTAGATACCCTATTCACACACCAAGGAAGGTCACAAATAATCAAGAGTATTTCAGAAATGAAGAAAATTCACACACTCCAAATCTCACTCATCAATACAGATTTAGGTGGTAATTAAATCGACATGTTGCTGCCAATTGCTGAAATGAGATAATTAAAATCCTTAGAATTGATACTGATGGGCAGCAATCTAACAGCGCCATCCACTAAATCCTTATAGACATTATTGTACAAGCTGCCAAAATTAGAACATCTAGTTCTAAATCTCTATGGTAATAGAATCTTGGTTGACGGGGTTGATGATCTAAGTGCTGGTCTGTACCATTAAAAACAGGTTAAGAGTTTAGAATTAGAATTGTACTTCAATAATATAACTTCAAATGGAACAGAAACCTTGATGAGTGTGACTGGATAGATGACTAATCTTACAAAATTACATCTTGGTTTAGAGTTCAATTACGTTGAGGAAGAGGGAGCTAAACATATTGCCAAGGCTTTGGGAAATCTTTAGCACCTCAATGACTTATCAATTAATTTGGCATCTAAGAACTTTGGATACTTGGGATATGAGGCTGTGTTATAAGCAATTGAAAAATTGCCCATTTTGGACTCATTGCAATTAATCATTGGAATTAATAAATGTGGTACCAGAGGTGCTGACTTATTAAAAAAGGTGTTGTTTAAGCAGAATAAATTGAAAACTTTGGTTTTGGATTATACTGAAAATTACATTGGAGATGCAGGTGCTTCATTTATTGGAGAGGGTTTGACCTACCAGAAGGCTCTTGAATATTTAAAAGTGACTCTAAATTTTAATTCTATTTCTGATAGAGGAGCTATCGATGTGGCCAAATCAATTCATTCTCTTAAACATCAACCAAAATACATAGATTTGAGATTAAGTTAGAACAAGATCTCTGACATAGGATCTAAGGAAGTTCTTCGCTACTTATCTAATGTAACAAAAGCTGTAGATTTCTTGGAATTAGAATTGTTAGGTACAGCTTTAACCAATGCAACAAGGGATGATCTTGTTGAGACTTACAAAAATTTGAAAAACTTTAATTTTATTGTAGATACAGCACCTCCAAGTTATTGGGATGAATAATGAGTATTTATAGGCTAATTATAATAAGTTTTATTAAAGTTATAGAGTATATTTATCGACTCTCTCTCAATGAGATTATATCTACAGTTTTCATGTGTATAATTTATAAATGATAAGCAGTTTTGCATTAAGGCTACTATTGACTTCGAAGTCTTTATGTAAAGTTGGTCGATAAAATGTAAATATTTATATTATTTAATGAATTAAGTTATGAATTTGGGTTGTGTTTCCAACAAGTTGATGGACACATATGCAGTTTAGGTTTTTTGTATGAATACTTGGGATCATTGTTGTTTAATATACCACAAAAAAAAAATGATTATTAAATACCATTACTTGGAACAGAAGATTGTCAGATAAATTTTATGGTGTAAGAAAAAATCATATAGAATATTTGATATTTCGATGTCAAAAAAGCAACGGTTATACTTTTTATTGTGCTAAGATTGGTTTATATACTTTTTGAATTTCGATTTTTAGATTGTTAACAAAGTTCAAATGGAATGCAAATAATTTACAAATCTACTATTCCTAGATCATTTAAGTACCTTTGTGATGGTTTAGTTCAATTCTGTTAGTGCATTCGAAATTCAAATGAAGGATAAATTCAACATAGTTAAGTATTAAGAACTCAGCGGATCTCTGGATTGGAATCGACAATGCAAATTGATAGATTACTTTTACATTCTCTACAATTCCCAGAACATTACAATCTACGATCTAAGGACTCTCAAACATTTAGGATCAGTTCAATTGGGTTTGACAATCTCAGACGTCTACTTCATAAACGATCTCTTGTATTTGGGGGATGTCTATGGAACTCTATGGTGTTATGATCTCAACGGCACTCTTCAATATTTCCATGAACATGCTCATGATGGCTAGATAGTGAACATGGTAGTTTACAAAGAAGAACTTTTCACAGTAGCAAACGATCTCTTCATAAAAGTATGGAAATTGAACAATCTCATCTTTTGTCAATCCTATCCCATCTATCAACAGCAGATCCAGTATTTCAAGTTCATCAATTACTCCAAATACTTCCTGCAATCTGCTGATCAATTATTTCTATGCGATTTACACCACATATTGCAAGCCTATTATTTGCATAATTCATCCGTCTCTGCAATGTCCGAATAATGCATAGCCTTTAAGAATCATGTCTATTACTCTAATCAAAGTCATAAAGTCATATTCGCCCCTAATTCAGTTTACCAAGTACTCTAGATCATTGACAGTCCGAATCAACCAAACACTTACTACTTACATTTATAGAACCAAACCTTAGCCAAATGGGTCAACAATTAATAGGTTGATGTCCTCAATTTTGATAAAATCAGAACTATAAATGGAGACAAGATCAATCAAGACATCACATTCATCCAAATCATTGCTCTCTCTCCTCCTCTATATGATGTTGAGTTAACAATAGATTCAAAGGATCAGAACAAAATAGCTAAGATGCTTGAAAATGCAGATCAATCACTGTACTTTGTTATGGGTTGTTCCAAAGGAGCTGTTATTTGCATCCCTTTGCAACTCTATACAATAATATACACACGAGTTAATTATAACAAAAATGCTATTTCAAGCATAATTCACTTTAATGATCAATTGATTATCAAAAGCATTGATAATGTGATCAACTTTGTTTAAATATCATCCAATAAAGCCTCCTTGATTAAATCAATTAAAATCCTAAAATTAGGGCCTATACATTTGACTTAATCCAAATAGTTGGCTGTTGCACAATCAAATGATTTATATCTATTCAATTCAAACTTGGTGGCATATGAAACTAATGCAGGACATGAAACTGAAATACTACAAATCACCAGCAACAAAAACTTTGTAGTCAGCAATTCGTAATAATAAATCAAAATATGGACCAACAATGGATTTTGCCTATTCACAATCAATTTTCATGTCTAAATAGATTACATCTTTTATATGAAGGATGATCTCATTATTAGCTTAAATGGTGGTCTATGTCAATTATTAATCCCGGAGCATGAAGAAGTTGAGTTAGATACAAATGAATATAATAAAATACAGATGATCGATTTGGCAGTATCGAAAAAGAAATCCTCTTTGAAAGAAGAATCCCAATAACTCTAATAATAATCAATTCATTAATAGAAATTTGAATTCAAGAAAACTCTAGAACTCCCAAAGATTAAACTCAAAATTTAGAATTAAGATAACTTCGAGGCTCCTCAAACTCCAATAAAAAATAAAAAACATTACAATTCTATCCAGACCACAACGAATAAAAGTACTAACATAAGCATTTCGAACTCTCAGGCGGCACCTATTAGTTAAAGCTTTGATTATAGCATTTAACATGCAATCGATAGTAGTTGTGTATTGCCAGCCATACCTAAGCAAAAAGAAGACACATCGTTATTGAATCAATATCTAAATAGAAGAGTCAAAAAGGGATAGCCTAGAAATAGAAGAGAGTGGACCTTGGACAAAAAGATTTTAGGAAACATCTTGTCACTAATTTGAACATATACAACTTAAATATTTTTACTATTTATAAATTTTTTGTTATATTCATTCCATCAATGATTATAAACTCTATGGATTACACTTATCTGATTAGAATCAATATCCTTTACGACCAAAATGATAAGCTAAATAAGATTCTCTCTGATAATTCAAAAGACTTTTTTATCTATGTTCCCAAAATTTTTTAAGATGTGAAATGCTAAATTTGGAAAAATTCTCAAAACTAAAACATTAAGTTTGACATTACATTTCAATTATTTGATAAAACTGATTAGATACAATAGTTAGATTAAATATACGTTGTTTACTCCAAACTCAAATTTATTCTTATTAAAGAAAATAAAGATTTTGCAAATTTAGAAGAAATGACGGAATGTAATTTCGAAACCAGCATTTTTCAGGCTATAGACCAATCCATTGTATAATGCATTTAATAGGAGCATAATACGTTAATTAAAGGTTAATTGCATGAAACCATAAGAAATCTGTATGCAAATTAGCAATTAAAAGAAAGAAATTGTAAAATATATTGATATAAAATAAATATATATTTATATATATAAATTACAATGACATTTCAATTCGATTTGATGTATAAAACCATGTATGTGGGAGTCGGCTTAGCTTTTATCGTTTTCTTCCCTTTACCAAGAATAATAAGAAAGCCTTTAGTAAGAGGATTGGAGAAAATATTCAACAACTCAATCTTTTCCAAGGTTTTATATTCAATTTTAAGTTGGACACTATTTTTATTTGTGAGTGCTGTCAGTGAGAATCTTGACTTGGGCAAGGAGCTTGTTGGATAGAAGGCTTAAAGAGATTCATATGCTTCAGGCACCTCTCAATATGAGTTGGAAAAGACCGTGAATTAAACAAGAATGAAGATGTTTTATTCTTAAAGAAATATTTATTTGACTCTATTCAATCTTATCATTTTCGGAGCTATATTTACTTATTTGAAGAGTTTGGTGAAGTATGATGAACAATTGGATAAGGAGGACAAACTTAAGAAATAAATAAATGTTCCAAAAGGAGCTGTAGGAAATGTAAAATAATGATCAGGGAATTGAATATTAATCAATTATAAACAATCATTATCTTTAATACCATCCGATTTCACATTTTCCTGGTTTATAGCATTAATTGTGTTCATATTCTAATTATCGTTTGGCTTCTAGAGCTTTTTGAGAAGTTTATTTTTATTTTTCTTAATCCCTCTTTTTCTGGTTTTTCTTAGCTTACTTATCTGCATTTCTCTCTTTTCTCTCACTTTCCTTTTCAAGCATTTAGGCAAATTCTTCCATGTCTTTTCTGTAATTGTCCTTCAAATCCCACCAAATCGGAGTCTTGTAATCCTCTTCAGTCAATCTCAACCACAAGACTAATGAATATTAAGATGGAATTACCTGGCTCTACCTTTGTGAGATTCACATACATGGTTCCTACAGATTCCACCTTCTCATAACTAGTAGTTGGGTCGATGGGCTTATACAATTTAATGGCATATCTGTATTTGAATGGGATGTGGGAAACGATTCCAAATGCTTCAATCAAAAGAGATTCATTCTTTATTTCGACTACTTCCAACTTTGCATTCAAACAAGCAGGGGCGTCTTATCGGTGAGAAAACTTGATGTTGATGAAGGTAGCGTTTTTAGATTGAGCCCATTAAACAACTGGTTAGACTACTTAGACTTGATTGCTTTTTGCCATTGCCAATTTGAATAAGGTTTACATTTCTCTCTGGTTGCGATACTTATCATTCTTCAAGAATGCACTAAATAAATTGAAGAACAATACACAATTCTATCAGTAATGTCGATGTGATTCAACAGGAAATAATTCTCATAAAGACTCAAAGCAACCTTATAGTATCCTCTTGAAATGATAAACTCCAAACATTCGTATTCGATTTGGTGATTCTTCACTATATGATCCTCAAAGTAGATCTAAATTTTAACTAACGAATTCTAAAATGCATAATACCTTCAGGATCTCCAATGGTGAATTGTTCTAAATAGCATTTCTTAAGTAAGTCCTGAGAAGCCATTGAAACACTAATCAAGAATGCAAGGAAAAGCATATTAAATTACGTGTATTTTAATAATTAAGAAATTTCTATATTAAATGAAGTAGCTGAATCGTACTTAAAATGAATAAAATCTTGTACATTCGGCAATTACCTAAATCAGAAAATAATATCAAAATGAACAAACTGAAGAAGTCCCCAAAGAGATAATGGAGAATAAATACTTCACAGAATATGAATAACTCAATGAACTTGAATTACTGACAAATAAACACATCAAATATTGTACAAAGAAACTATTAAATATTGGCTACTCTATTTTCTATTTAGATGTTGGCTAACCCTGGTGCATATATTGGCCACTCAATGCTTTAAGTATCTTATAGGACGATGTATCGAAATATGAAAATCAAATTATTCAATATTTGGAAAAGTGCAAAATTGGAGGCTTCACAGGAGGACCTAATTAATTTGAGCATTTAGCACCTACATACTCATCTTTACTCTGTAAAAACTAAATCAATTTTAGCATTATTCATTCTCTCAACTCCAGCAGCTTTGGGATTAATTGATAGGTAGGCATTGGAAAAGTTCTTTTGGTCTGTTCAAGATCCAACTGAAAAAGGATCCTATCTTATGCATGTTAATGGAGAAGCAGATATAAGGGCTGTTTACATCGTTGTGATAATGGTGGTCATTCTTAAATTAGAGTATCTAAATGCTTTTAATTCTAGTCCCAAGTTGCTAGATGGCTGTGCTGAATATATTGCTTCATGTCAAACATATGAAGGAGGAATTGGAGGAGTTCGATATTCGGAAGCTCATGGAGGATATACTTTTTGTGGATATGCTGCTTTGGTTTGTATGAAAAAAGCAGATTACATTGATCAAGAGAAACTAATGAATTGGCTTGTAAATAGATAAATGGAAAATGAAGGAGGCTTTAATGGTCGAACAAATAAAGTTGTTGATGCCTGTTATTCTTTTTGGTAAGGAGCTATTTTTAAATTGTTAATTTAATCTGGCTATGTCGATGAGTAGCTAATGAATGTGTTTGAATTAAAGAATTACATACATATGTGTCAGAATGCATCAGGAGGAATATTCGATAAACCAAGCAAATCTCCAGATGCTTATCATACTTGCTATGGATTAAGTGGATATTCTTTGGCTGATAGTAACTTTCAAAATCCAATTTACAATATCCCAAACAAATGTATAGAATTTGTGTAAAATTTCTTCTAATGATCATATAAATTTAAATTCACATTTTTGTATCATTGATTATTAACATCAACTTTTTTGTTATACCATGAATTTTTTTAAATAAATAACTTTAAAAATATGGTTAATTACCAATTTATTACTATTCATCAATATCAATCTTTGATATTTAACAGTTTAATTTTAATCAAAAAAATTCATAGATTTTAACAGTAAATATGTTTATACCCATCCATAAACAATAATTTATATTATTTTAATAAATAATTTAAATAAATCCTAAATATATGTTGAACACCCTTCAATAAGAATTAGATTAGTTGAACAAGAAATAAAAACAAACACAAACTCGCATAAATAAATTGTTTTTTTCAGTTGAAGATGTTTATATAAGACAACATAGCATCAATCACCCTATTTTACCAAATCCGAATTTAATCTTCAAAGTAAGACCAGAAATAATTAATTTAATTTTCGACTTTTTGGATTACTCTTAGTTCTTGTAATTTAGACTTGTTAATTAGAATACAAATAATTTAATATTATACCTCCTATCGTTGAAATTAAATAAAAAATAGTAATTATTACAAATCAATTAACTTGAATAGAAAGATATAATTTCAAATCATCCAGATTTGAAATAAGTATTAGATTCATTATGCATTGAATTAAATAAATCTTTAGAGTTTATAAAGAAAATCACAAAATACGATTTTTGTGAATTGGCCACCTGTAAATATCCACCAGTCATTATTGAAACAGTTTTTAAATATTTATCGGTATTATTTACTGAGAATTATGTTGAACAATCACATGTTTGGCCTTACAGCATTATTAGATTTGTACATGATTGTAATTTTCTTAATTAATTGCTAAACATCGATATACTATTAGTGCCCGATGATAAATTGAAGCATCTTCAAGAAATTGTTACTTTGGAAGAAAGAAAGATTTTTTCATTTTCATCATTCTCTGGGCGTATTTTTAAATTTATTCACACAATTGTGATTTTAAGATAGTAACCATAGTACAAATTGATTTACTAAATTTCCTAAATGAGATTAGATGAAACTAAATTAAAAAAGTCTATTGAAAAACTATAAAAAATTATAACATGAATTTAATCTAATTTCTTTATATTCACTAAGATTATCTTTATTAATAAAGATCTACGATTTTTTAATTTATTTAGTTGATAAAAAATACTAATTTTGTGACCGATTATTTTATGAATTTAATAGATATTCTTTCGTTTTTCCTTCAACTTAACCAAAAGTATTTATGACTCATATGATAATAAATCAGAAATTTAGAAAAACCAATAAGAATGATATATATTTTGAATCAATTAAATTATTCTACAATTTTATTTATAGTGTATCTCAGTATATATTTGTAATATCCACATAATATTAATCAATCAAGCTATGAAAATACCAATTTTTAATAACCTTCACAATCAATATCCCTTATTCCATCAACCATAAATGATGATACAAAGCACCAATAAATCGCCTTGGCTACTTAGTAATACTACTACTATTTAATCTTTTAACCTTAGTATTACTTACATGTTTTTGATCCTCTATAGATTCAAATAGTTGATTTCTGAGAATAAAAATTTTGTAGATTATATTTTTAATTTGAAAACTGCTAGACAGCATTAATTTTACATATTATAGATATTGTTCTTAATTTTGTTCAAAAGTCACAAATTCATATGAGTTTCTTAAATAATTAAAAATATTATGTGAATTTTATATAACTTTTTAATTTATATTATTTTTTATGGATAAAAAGACTAAATATAAGTTATTAGGACTGACAGCTCTTGTAGGATTGACAAGTTATTTCTATATATAAAAAGAAAGGAACAAGCCAATAAATTAAAAGATGGCCTAAAATTTTAAAGGATTGCAAAAGAAAATTGATTCTTACTTCTCAGGGAAATCTGCAGAAGAAGTATTCTATATGATTATTTGAGATGATATAATTAGTTAGGGATAATGATGAATTTGTGGAAATGCTTTAAAAGGAGGCAGGGAAATACATCGATTTATAAAAAATAGATGAGGAAATATCGAAAATTGATTTTATTAGATAATTATCAACCATAAATTAATAAATAAATTAATTATTAGAAATAAGATTAGTTGTTTAATACATCTCAAAGTAAGGAATAAATTAATAATAGAAATTCATTACAATTAGTTTAAGAATAAATCATTGAAAAACTAGCATCATAGAGAGTGACTATAATGCAATCTAATACTTAATTTGGAGAGGCTACAATTAATTTTGTAAATTATGTTTAATGTTCTTTCTTATAATTAATCTCTGAGTTAGAAAAAGTATTGTAGGATTTATAAAGCCCTCAAAGAATAGTTGCTGTAAACTTTTACTTCATGTGCATTTTGGATTACTTTAATAACATATTGACTAAATATCCAAATTTCAGAAATTTGATAGCAATCGTACTCTTAGAAAAAATAGGATAAAATTAATTTGGCTTTGATTTTTAACATGATTGCAGGGATTTATATTACGCAAATACAGTATAGACATGCTAGAAACTCAACGCTTGTGATTGTTGTATATTTGATTTGCTATGCAGATACATATCTATATTTTAATCCCCTGTATAACAGAAGTTTTTTGAATTCATGAAATGTAATCAATTGTTTTAGACTCATGAGCATTTGATGCAAATGGGATAAATATTATTCAAGAATACATTCTATTTAGGAGGATAGTTGGGCGAAGATTCTCTTCATTTCCTTGACACTTTTTCTCCTTTATTTGGTCTCCTAATAGAAGCAACATCTAATAAAAGTATATAAGAAGGGTTATTGAAATGTGAGGAATTTGGAATTGTTATTTAATATCTTGAAAAAGTGATAAACAATCATGAAAATCAATTTTTGAATAGATTGTTAGCAAGCTTGATTGATGTTTATTCAATCATATATCCTCTTTTTTATAATGAAAGTGCATTAAAATAAATTGCGAATGATGAAGAAAAAATGAAATAAATTTTGAGTACATTTTTCGGGGCTTTATTGAACTTAGAGAGTAGAGAAATGTTTGATTCAAATAAATGTATTACAAATATATGAAATTAGAAAATGAAATTAGTATTTTGGATTGGTTTGCTTTGAATATGGGAACAATATTCACTTAGTAATTACTTGGAAATATCTCAGTTGAATTCATTCAATAATTACTTAAACAGAAAGAGATTGAAAAGGGAATCTTATTTACCTATATGTATTGTCTAAGAGTCTCCCAAAATAAACGAATTAAGGATAGATAATAAAAAAAGAGAAATGTTGACATCAATTCTTTCATCACCAAATTAATCAGTTTGATTGTAATTTCATAATTAAAGGATGATTTTAGTAACAAGAATATGGATTTAATTACAAATAATCTAGGTTTTGTAGATGCAGATGAAAGATCTAATATATTCTTAAATATCCTAAGAATTCAATTTGAAATCCCATCCATGAATGTGAATTATCTTAAATATGTCTCTGCGAAGTGTCAACAACTATCTTAGGAAACATATCATTCTTTTAGTGGATTCTATACCAATGTTTTAAACCCAACGACCCTTTCATTTGATCAATATATGATTTCGATGCAATTAGGGGTTATCTACGGAAAAGTTGACTCCTTTTTGGCTTAAATTGGATAGGGTTTCTTGAGAGATCTCCAATAATTCGAATAATATAAAGACTTTTTACAGAGAGATGTAAGTATATCATATATCATTGTTAGCTGATTCTTATAGTGGATTTAATGGAAAATCCATACTATTTTGCTAATGTACTCATCCATAATAATAACTGCCCTCAAGATATTTATAAATAATTACTAGTAAAAGTTGCAATTTCTATTTGGCAATTGAATCCTAAACTAACATTTTCACAATTACAGCAACAAATGTCTTTGTTTATAAAGGTTGAAGTGTTGCCCCAATACATATAAGATTTATTTATTTTAAATAAGGACTATACGATTAAATTAAAAGAGCAATAATAGGAAGTATGGCCATTCCAGTGTTTATAAAGGGATTGTTCCTCAGTTCAAATTTATCTGAATTTAGTTAAAGATGAAGTCTTATTTAATGAAGTATAAGATTTTCTTAATTTATCAGTTGTTGTAAGACTTAGAGAGTTTTGAATTCCTGACCAGAATTCAAGAAATCATGTTCAAAAGCCCAAATTTTATTCAAATAATTTATCAATTGCTCTTGTGTGTGCATAGATTGGAGTTAAAGATTTGGATTGGGAAGATATTATTTTATGCCAAGAAATTTAGTAATACTAATAAAGAATGCGATACTCTATTGAAATCTAAAGAGTGTCAGTCCTTTATTTTGGAAATGCCTAGTAATTTTAGAACTTATATGCTATTTGATAAGAATGCTATTTAATGAGAGTTAATTATAGATTGTTGAAAATTATAAAGAAAAGAATTTTTATTTTAATTGATTTTATGATATGTATTAATTTTAATATGAACGAATTCCCTGATTAAATAGATATTTCAAAATTGAGAATCGATTTAGGCGAGCAATGGAACGAAACCGAGCTGGAGGTCTTTCTTAAAAGTAGATATCCATTCATTAATATAATAAAGTCTTTAGGCAACAGCAATTAGCGGGAGTTGGAAGGATGTAGGAAATATTAAAGCAACTTGGATATCAGAGAACAATCACGAATTTGTTGTCAATTTATAAAAAAGTAAAGAAATCTATGAGGAGTAGAATAAAAACTTCCTGGAATCCAATCAAAATTGTACAGCTCACGATTTGTATTTGATTTTATAAGATCATTATGAATAAAGCGAGATAATCAATTACGACAGAGCTTTGATTAAAAAAATCAAGAAAAATTAGAATTGTAATATATTAAATCTAAAACAAGGTCGTAAGTCGATTCCTCAAAAATTTGAAGTCATTAAAAATGAAATCGATTTGACTTATTATTTTACAGAAACTCAATGCAATACCAATAGATGCATGAACAGAGGCTAAGAAATTAGTTAGAACGTATGTATTTCAGAGATTTCTAGTTCTGCAAGTGGATTCAACATGAATATTTCTATTCTCATTTAGATTATACTTATTTTAGCCTAAATGAATTTCAGCAGATGCTGAACAAGGCTAATGTGCAATTGGGTAAGAAATCCATATCAGAATGGAGATAGATAAAAATGGTATCAAATTTATATAAACAAATAGGCAATAGGATAACCAAGAAGATTCTCATTTTATTTTTTATAATAGGAGATGAGCAAATTGGCCAAGTACCGATCAGTGATACGGAATTACTTGTTTGATCAAAACTACCCAGTTCACAGGGATATAAAAAATTTAGATTTAATTCGAGACATAGTAAGACTTGCCCCCTTCAGCAATGGACAAGTTGTATACGCCATTCATCCAGAGTGTAAACATGTGCATCCAGGATAAATAGTGTCCACTAACCTACCTAGCATTACGATTAAATTCATGTAATCTGAATTGGGAGTCCACAAGATTTTTGATTAGAATATCCAGCTGTAAATATCCTAAATTATATGAACAAAAGGGAGGAGAAGTTTCTAAACAAATAGTTGAGTGATGAGCGATTTGATATGTAATAGTAAATGAGTTTGAATCTCTCTAATGAAAATAAGAATACTTTGATTTCAAGTATCGTATAAGAATTTGATTACTTTGCTGCCTCCTTTATGATCAGGATTCTCTAAAGGTAATAAACATTATAATCTATAAGGAAATATGCTCTGGTGGGTTATTTGAAGTAACTAAATTAAAGATTGGAATAGGATCCAGCCCTTAAAAATGATCCAGACTTTAAAGCTCAATATGGATGGACATTCTAGCAAATAAGAAATTTTGATTCAGCCTCTAAACATGTTATGACTAAATTCAGAATGAGAGGTTTGAATGGCTACTGTATTTATATTTTAATGATCACTATGCTAGCTCTTAAATAGGTGAACAACAATCTTGATAAGGTGTTGAGCATGCCATTAGCCTATATGGAGAGAGAACTAGATCAAAATAATACTCGAGTTGAAGAGGAGAAGAAAAATTAGGAGATCAAATAAATTATACATAAATAATAGGATGTATGAAAATATTGTGTTACTTTTTAGGAAAAGATTAATTCACAATTGAATCAATTACTGAATTCAAAGTTTTAATTCCTAGAGAATGATCAATGTACATGATTCATAATAATTAGCATATAAATCATTGATTTCCTCATTGTTTGGTTTGCTATTCACATTAAATAATAATTCGGATTTGAATATGAACACGAACATCTATTGGTAGACTCTAAAATAAAACATAAAAGATTCACATCCTGAATAATTTTAAGAAATTCAAGATTCCATACTAAAAATAGTTGGTAATTAAAGTAAATGAATATAAATTTTTATAATTGAATTTCAGATTTCAAAGTGAGTAATTTAATTTTTAATGCAAATTGGTTTCAATTTTAAATGGCTTAAGTATGGCCTTACATCAGGTTTAGTTTTCCTCTAAGTGAGTGGACTCTTAGCTAAAACTTTATTGGTTATTTATGATTCTTAATCTTTATGACTTTAATGAACAGTAATTAAATTAAGTTAGAATTATCTATTCCTCTTAGTCTGCTATATTGTCTGGTTTTAGAGATAGTATTTTAATTTGGTCTGGGCACCCTATTTAGGTTTAATGGGACTCAGTCTGGTCGGAGTCAAGTTGTAAACTTGGGAGAGTTGAGTTTCTCCATAAGTATTCATTCTCGAATGATGTCTCTAAAATAATACAGATGGCCTACGAGATGTGTTACTTCAAGGGTATATAATAGAAAATTACATTAATTTCACCGATTAACAAATAGAGGTAGTCTTAATGTAGATATTGTTTTATCGAATTGACGCATTGTTATTGAGCTACTTAAATTGAAAATTGCTTAGTTGGCCGCATTCGTTGCAATAGCAACTCTTTCTTCTTAACTAAGTAAATTTTGTTTATACGAATTCATCTTCATTTTGATTGCGATTTTTATTTTTCAGACTGCTTCTCTTGTATTTATGAAGAGAATAGATAATTGAGTTAGATCCAGTAAGAATAGTACGAGTTACAGAATTCCGAGAATTAGATTGAGTTGTATTTGATATTAGCATAATAATGTTTAATTTTAATTATTACTTTAATGTCAAAAACTACAACATACTGAATTCAAATTTAGAGTAATGATTATACTAACTATTTTATCAAAAAAAGAATTAAATAGTTATCAGAATTGAACTACTGTTTACAAGGTTTTGTGTTATTTTGTTCTGTGAAATAATTATAATTATGAACTTTGTTTTGGTTATTAATCTAATTTTAAGGGTTTTAATAATTAGCAATCAAGTTTTCTATAATTCAAATATGAATATAATTATGGCAAACTTTTTTGCTATTTCAAGTGCTTTGGGGAGCAACCAGGAGTGAGTTGATTCAGTTAATAAACTTTTATCTATTACTGCTATTGTTTATGGAAATAAGAATGTAATTTTGTCATTGATCCTTAGATCACCCTCATTGTGAAAGGAGTCTTATTAGCTTCTGTAAGTTGATTCAACCTACTTTCATCGTATGTGTTTATTTTCTTGAGTTACTATCTGTTCCTCTAAACTGACTTAGGCTAAGCAGATGATCTGTCAATATAAACAAAAAATACACTTGTTGATTTGAAGTCCTTCTTGTGAATATGGATCTCCTATAAGGTTTGGGTCCTTTAATATTCATGCATTTATATTCAAAAGTTCCCAATTATCCACATTCATTGCAGCAACAACTTTTTCTCCTCAAAGTCTATTTGTTCGTTTTTGGCTGCAGAATACAACTGTGAAATTGACTCCTTGACTTTTTCCTTTTTTAAATAGGGAATTGAGTTTTCATAAGATTTTAGTGTCTGAATGTAGTAGATTGAGCAGTTAGATTGTGTTCAAACTACTTTAGTATTTCAAGTGGTAATTTATTCATGTTATTAAAAATATTGTACAATATCTTTGTAATTGAAAGATTAAATAACAACCCGTTATTAATATTAGATTAATATAAAATTATAAATATCAAACGATTATTTTAATCAGAATTAATTGATTCACTAACATTTTATAAAACAAAATCAATAAGCCTCTCATTTACATATAATCCTTTAAAAGGAATAATTAATATAAAATTTTGTTAAATTATTGTCAAAATAGTCTAATTATAATTTGATATTGAACTAAATAATTGGAAATTTTAGTTATAATGTTCTTGAAATTATAATAATAGCAATTTGATTTTAATTTAAACAGGTTTAACTAAGTAAACAGTACATTTTTAGATGTTTCAACGAATTGATTTAGAAAACTCAATAGCTTCAATTTTATCTATTAATATATCTTCGAATACATATAGTAATTATCTTTTTTAATTAATTTAGAGATCAACCGCAAATTATAATCCATTATATGTACTTCATAAATTAACCACTTATGATAGTTGAATTAAGACTATTAATTATTCCTTTTAGGTTGTTATTACATTTATTGTATTTTTAATTAAGAAAAGAGAAAGTGAATTAGCATTAAGAAAATTTATTCCATTAACAGTTTAAACTTCAATTTTCTGCCAAGAATATTAGGAAAATGAATTTATTTGATTTTGTATTGAGATTTAGATTTAGATCATCCATTGAACATTTTTATATTATTTATAATTATTTATTAAATATACGTTTTTGTTGTATGAATTAAGAGGTTTTGAAGCAGATCAGATAGCATTTCCCAATGATTGACAATATTGTTTTTCGAAATATTCTGTCTCAATAGAAAGACTAAAACCTATTGATTACATTAGTTTATATATTGAAGAGAGTCAGGGAGATTGTGGGCCATATGGAAGACGTCACCAAGTTTGCTTTGTCATTATGGGAGAAGGAGGAGATTTAGATTTCAAAAGAATGTACTGATAAATTGTTTATGATTATAGTGCATGATGAGATAATATTGAATTTGGTTGAATCAAAATTTTATTACTAAGCACTTCTGGCAAATAAGAATAGTCAATTTTTGAGTAAGATTGGAGTTAAACATTAGATAAAAACAAGATTTACGCTGAAGTTTCAGAATTGTCAGAGCAGAGTAAGAGAGTGAATGACATATTGATCCAAAACTTTAGCGTATAGAGACCCTATCAATTATTCGTTGAAGAGCAGCAAGAATTGTAATCAAAGAAAACTGCTTAGACTCCAAAAATACCATAAGTCTAAAAGGGATAGAAATTATGTTCTCTAACCTTGAATGTTTAGGATCGAGATCAGGTAGATAAATTGTATAGAAATAACAAACAATATTTGCAATAGTTGGGGATTAAGATGGAATATCCAAAAAACACAACAGCAACATAAACAGAACAAGTTGATGGATTGATACCTCTGAGTAGCAAAAAGAATAAGAATCAGCAGAAGGATCAAAGCAAAGAGATGAAGTTCTATGAATATTAACTAGAAATGGGACAATGTACTCAATATTTGCCCACCTATGATACAGTAGAACAATTGACGTAAGATATAAAATTATTTGTTGCTGAAATCGATTAATACAATAAGAAGAATAGGAACGCATTCTAAAAGCTTATTGATGAAATATCCGGGGTTGTAAGTGCCACTTATGCAGGTGCCCAAATAGATGTGTATGGTTCCTATGCAACAGAGTTATGTTTGCCACACTCAGACATAGATCTGGTCATTAAGATATCTAACTAACATGAAAAGTTTGTGACTGATATTTTGTAAAGAATCGAAGTCGAATTAAAGAAATGCAAATTTATAGAAGAAACTAAATGTGTCACATAATCAACAACTCCTGTACTTAGAGCAAAATGCAATAAATAGTATATGAATAAGAGACTCGATATTTCAATTTAAGAGACCAAGCATAATGGTTTGCAATGTGTTTAGTTGATTCGTAAGTATATCAAAAATTATGAACCCCTCAAACCGTTGACTCTAATTATGAAACAGTTTCTCCATAAGAGTGATCTCTCAGATACTTACAGTGGTGGATTAAGTTCATATGGATTGATATTGATGATTGTATCGTTTCTACAGAGCTACCAAAACCAGGATAAGAATTGGCCAACCATAGGTACATTACTAATTGAATTCTTGAATGTATATGGATGTGAATTGGATTATGCAGGGAAAACAATCTGTCCAGATCAACCTGAGGTGTTTGAATAGGAAACTACGATAATTTTTGATCCTCACAATTTCGCTTATTGTCAATAACAAAGTTTGGTCATTATTGATCCACTCAATCCCTAAAATAATGTTGGGCGTCCATCTTATAATGTTGCGAAGCTCAAAGTAAATCATCTTTCTCTCCATTTAGCTTGCGTTCACAGTAGCATTTTCTAAATTGCTAACCTTTGACTCTTCTAACCAACAATACCCACTCAAGTTTTTTTTCAATTCGGCTCAAAATATACAGTGTTCCCTTCATTCTGTGCTTGTCAATCAATACAAAGCTTATGCGGATCAGATCATGTTTGGAACATCTACACGCTATTGAGTATATAAAATAAAAATCTAGTTAAGGTTTCATCAAACATATTCGACAATTCTACTATATATCCAATTATTATGCAATTTATTATTTTATATGAATTGGGATTTTATAAATAGAAAGCTAAAGGAATTCTTTGAACAACGTCGATAACAATCTATAGATAAGATATTTACACTCAATACTGTCACTGATTAGAACGTCCCCAAGAAATAATTCCTTGAATTGGAAACTTAAGTTACGGAAGATCCAAAAATGACCTAAATGCAACAGACTATTCCACCCACATTATCAACACCTAAGAAAACAAAGCCCAATCCGAAATCCTTCAGCTAAATCTCACATCTATTCTCTCCTCATGGACCTGCCAGATCTACTGCTTCCATGTAAATGAGGTAAATTGTAGCAAGCACTCTAAAGAACGAATGTAACAGTTACAACAGTGTTCGAACTAAGGATATCAAAAAAGTATAAGACTTAGTTGGTTAAAGTAGTAAAACTTCCAATAAGCCTAATTTCAGAAAGCTAAGAAAATAATAAACTGTCGTTTCTCAAAAAATACTAAGAGAATTTGACAATTAATTTGATCAAGAACCAAACTTCAATATTAAATAATCAGATTCACTTAAATGCTTTATTACTTAAACAAAAAACATCAATACCTTAGCCATGCGAGCCCAATTAAAGATGAAATCCTACGGGAATATCAGATAACTCAATCAACCAAGTCCCACCATTGACAATTTCACAAAAATGAACTTTGGAAAGAGCACTGATCCAAGAGTAGGCTTGGATCGCTTTCTTAGCAATAAGTGGTTATAATTTGTGATTGAATAGAAATCTATGAGGAAGGATGATTAATTTAACGAATATCTCAAATCATATACTGAATCCCCCCAAAAAGTATTGAACATTCAGAAACTCAAGTAAAAACAGGAAGTTAGGTAGCAATTTAATAAAGAATTGCCACTTTAACATTTCAAACCTCATAGACATACACCATTATCAGCAAAAAATAAATAGGTTAAGAGAGAAACCTAAGGCTTAGTAAAATCATATTCCTAAACTGTTTTCGATATCGAGAAAAGAAAGGATGATGAGGAATTGATTGAATTCTATCCTATTTATTATGACAAAAAAGTAAAAAGGAGAAGAATCATTAGGAAATTAAAAGTATTGGCTAAAATTGCAGTCATCAAATAGATGTTTGTTCATTAAGTATAATTAATTATTTATACTATTTTAGTTGTTAGAATAATAATAATAACTAGTCCCATACTAATCCCCAGGCTCAGTGGCTTTTCTAAGATTTGTTAAGTACAACAATATTCATGCTGCTAAATAAATGCTGGATTAAGAGAAAAAACTGATTGGTTCATTTGATGAATTAGGCCAATATGCTATACATCTTGCTGCCATGATCTAATCAACCGAAATGCTTAAGTTACTACTGTGCTATGGGGCAGATGTAAACTCTAATGATTTCTTTCTTCAAAAACCCTTATATTTTGCTCTAATAACCAATAACTTGGAAATTGCTAAAATACTTCTTGCATGCAGAGCCACTCCTTGGGATCAAAATTTAAGAGATTACTTTGGATGCTGCAGAAGTCAGGAGGCAAAAGATTTAATTAAATTAGCATAATATTTGAAAATATATAATCGCGACCCAGAGTGCTTACTAAATATCGACAATATTAAATAACAATTGAGCTTATATTGATTAATAATATATGATGTGTATTGGGCTTAAACATATGGATTATATAAATATTTAAAGGAGAAAATAAAATATAATTTATTTTGATATTTTATGTTTAGTTCACCAATTAAATTAAAAAATGATTTTTCAAATCAAATATGTCTTTATTAATTTAAATATCATTAATAATAATATTATCAATTTACTAAGATAGATCTAGATGTTAATCTTATTTTTTTATCCCAACTTCCACTTATTATCAATTATCTACTAGAAAGATATTCAATACTACTAATTTAATTAGTATGTCTTTTAAAAATAAAAACTTATCTACCCTTATCAATATCCCAACATCTGATTGTCTAATCAGCTCCACCAGACCATAGTTGATTATTTTCACTATCAAAAGTCAGACAAGTAACATAATCTTAGTGGCCAACAAATATATATAATTTCTAAGCTCTATCCAGATTCCACAAAATGATTTTTTAATCCTATCCTCCAGATGAGATCAATGAAATATACTCTCCATTGACAACTTCCTTTAAGTACTTCACACATAGAACATTTCCTGTATGTCCTTCTAATTTATCTCTACAGTATCCATTTATCATATTAAACACACTTAGGATACCCTCTCCTCCACTCACAATTAATCCTTTAGATTATACATAACATATAGCGAAGACTTTTTGATGATCTTAAATGTTTAATTTCATTTTAGGTCTTTTGAGAGACCAAATTTTGATTGTGTGATCCAAACTACCTGAAGCCAATTAGTCCGAGTCTTATAAATGTATCAGAGCTTAGACTGGTTTTTCATGTCCAACAAGTACATATTCACATATCTTTCTTTAATAATTCCACATGCGAACAGTTTAATCAGAACTTGCACTACAAAAATTTGTATCGTTTATTTTTATTAATGCCAACACATCCCCTTTGTGGTCATTCAATTTAGTTTAAGTTAACGCATTATCAATATAAAAGATTCTTATAGTTCCTCCTGCACTCCCTGATAAAATTGAAGTATTAGAAAAAGCACAAATACATAAAATAATATCAGTGTGCCCAGTAAGTACTGTATTGATAGATTTTTGTTAAAGAAATCTTGATCCGCTCAATTCAACCATGCTATCATTATAGAATGCCTACTAATCGCTTGTTCTATCAGATTATTATTTTTAAGGAAATAACTGAGATGCATTTTTCTTAAGATCTATTTTTGGAATTAAAGGGGATATGATCCGATTTTACTTAGGATTTAGCTTTGGTGTTTATGCTTGGAGTGTTTCACCAGTAAAAAGTAAATTGGTCAATTAAAAACTTTTAGAAATGTTATTATTTAATATTGAATGAAAGTTTTCAGTTTTCATGATTAGTTAATTGTTTGATATTTGCTGAACAAACATTTACACTTATTGGTTCAGCTTTGGCAGAATAATATCAAACATTTTCTCTTGTTATTGGATCAACTACGTGAATTAAAACTCATTTATTGGTCTACCTGTCTATGGGGTGAAAATATTGGAATGTTCAGAGATGGTGTTGAATAAAGCAGTAATATCATTTTCAAACTATTTATAATAAACAGTGGTATAATCTATTGCTGATGAACAGAAATTATTGATTTCAAGATCAAGTTTAGCCTTAAGTAAATCTGAAAGCTTAATGATCTGTTTTTTTAGTGAATCTTTGTTCAATGTAATTTGGAGTTACGCAGAACTTAATTGAGAGCTAAGGAGAATTAGATTTTATTAAATGGATTTGGGTATTTAGTTAATTTAAGAATCAAGGTCATTTAGAGATTGAATCATTTAGAAATGTTGAGGATCATGTTTTTACATACATTGATTGCATAGAAATTTCTTATTGCATCCTTTTACCCAACAAAGAAGTGTGTAGGGGGTATTGTGCTCAAAACAATTCATAAATAATAATTGTTTTACAGTTATATAAAATCAAACATTATTTATGTTTATAGAATGCATGATTAAGTCAGTGTAATTCTTAACTAATACCCTATAGTTTTACAATTAATTTTAGATAAAATGAATATCTCAATCCAAAAGACTTAGATTGCTATACTATTTTTGTTAAATTTAATACTTAATAGATAATTTATAGTAAAGATGAATTTAGGAGAAATGAGGAATTATCAATTTTCTATCTTTCATTTTAACACAATTATTTATTCTATTACATTTCTTAATATTAATAATTAAGTTTTTTCTCAAAGTGATATTTATTATTTAACATTTAGATAATACATTCATTTATATTTTGAAATGATATCAAACTTTGAACTAGTTTCAAGCATTTTAGATCTGAGATTCACCATTTATTCATTTGAATTATCTACTTCTTTTTGTTTATTTTATATCATTTGAATCTCCAAATTGCATCTCATGCATATTCTTTTCTTGTCTTCACTTTTATAATATATTCATTTTTATACATTTAAATGCAGTTTTAATGATATTGATGTCCACATATGAAATGAAAAGATGGATTAACCAAGGCATTATCACATGCTGTACACTTTCCGAATGAAAATATCTATGCTTGAGTCTTTAATTATTAAAATTCTGTTCTAGTCTCACTTGTTTATTGCATGTTTTCTTTTATCACATTCAAATTATCTTTAATTTCTGTATAATCTCTTTGTAATTATTACTTTAAGAAATCTCTCATTTGACCAAACTTCACATTACTGTTTTCCTTCATAATGTCTAAGATCAAAAACGAAGAAATAGACTCCAATTTACTCAATTCCTTCAGTATATTTGGAATATAATGAGTAGCCTTGTTTTCTGGTTTAGCAAAATACTTCAATGCTAAAACCCATAAGTTTTACTCTTATTCGCCATACTCAGTACATAAGTTTAATATTTCTTCATTATCCTTCTTTGTAATATAAAAATTCAAGAGTTCCTCTCTCATTTAGAGTTTCTTCAATAAACATATGATTCCTTCTGTAAAATTGTAAATTTTGAATTGCACCAACAAGTGATTTTTATCATATTTTGATTCATTCTTATCGTCCAACAGTAAACTCATAATTCTTTTTTCACTTTCCTTTACTTCTTCCTTTCTTTCGAATCTCTCCAAATGATAACTAAAATATCTATGAAATATGGCCATTTCATTAGGTAGATTCTTGCATTCTTCTATAAGAAATCTTAAATATCGTTCTAAATAACTATTATATCCTCCAAATATGTGTAAAAATTCATCAGGCTTGCAAAATGTAATTGAATAAATATTTGCTAATTGATCATTATTCAAATTGAAGTACTTCCAAACTTTCTATTGTTCTTAAGTTAACCTGTCTAATGAATCAATACCCTTTCTTGATTCAAATTGCTTTTTTAGGTTCTATACAATATTGATTAACAAGATTAAATTCTAGATTACTTCTAAAGTAAATTAAGGTTCACTCCTCATTAACTCAAGACCAAATTCCTTCAAATAAGTAGCCTAGACTATATGAAAATCTGTGAATTACTTTCTCTTCTAATATTATTGTGTCTCTAATATATTCTAGTGCAGCTCCGCATTCAGCTTTGTCAAATATATATATTTGGAGACAGGCCTGGTAGATGTTTTTCTTCGATGCCATTTTTAATGCAATATCAAGATAATTGGATGATCGACATTCTCTTATTGCTGTTTCAATATCAAATAGTTCACTTTCGAACCCATACTTCTCTATTTTCTCTATAAAATTGTCGAATTGCCTTAATTTAATGTAGCAATTTAGTAATAAGGCTGTGTGATGTTTTTCCACCTTAGTTTATTAGTGCAGTTTTTCTAAGTACTAAACTAATTGTTCAATATTTGATATATCAAGAAAATGCGTGGCTATAGCTTAAGTGGGTTCTAAACTATCAATTTTTTACATTATTAATGAGAATATAAGAGAGAACTTATAATTCTATATTTTAATTTTGCAATTATTGGAGAATAAGTGATATATTGTTAACAGATATAGTTTCAACATTGATGAAGGTTCTGATTTAGTCTGGATTCAACAAAGGATTTGTGGAAGAATATTGGCGAGTGAAAATTTATGGAAATTGAATTGGTCTAATTTATTTTTGTTTTTTTTAATAATTAATTTAAATGGAAGAATAACAGCAAATTGAAAATACTATAATAGAAGAAAGGTATAAGAAGGCTGATGGAGAGACTGCATATCGTAGATACCAGAAAGGAAAGGTGTTAGGCAAGGGTGGCTTTGCTAAATGCTATGAAGTAACTTCTATAGAAAGCAAGAAAGTATTGGCTGCCAAGATTATTGCCAAAAGCACTTTAAAGAAGGGGAGAACAAAGGCAAAGGTATAATAGTGGAATAATGGTAGTTAATTACTGAGATTAAGCTTCATAAATCGCTTCACCATTAGAATATTGTGTAATTTGAAGATGTATTCGAGGACAATGATAATGTATACATTCTTTTAGAACTGTGTTAAAATCAAGTGATTCAATTTATTGTAATTATTTTAGACTCTGAATGAGTTGTTAAAAAGAAGGAGGAGAATCACTCAAATAGAAGTGCAATGCTACTTGAAATAATTGATAGGGGCATTGAAATATATTCATTCTCATAGAGTGCTTCATCGAGATCTGAAGTTAGGGAATCTATTTATCAATGATAAGATGGAATTGAAACTGGGAGATTTTGGTTTGGCTACCAAATTAGATTATGACGGATAGAGAAGACATACTATATGCGGGACACCAAATTACATAGCACCTGAGATATTGGATGAAAGATTGGGACATTCATACCAAGCAGACATCTGGTCAGTTGGTGTTATTATCTATACACTGTTAATAGGGAAACCCCCTTTTGAGACATCAGATGTTAAGACTACCTATAATAAAATATCTCAATGTCAATTCAATTTTCCAGATCATATTTAGATATCTGAAAATGCTAGGAATTTAATCTCCAGAATACTCATTCTGGATCCCTCAAAAAGACTAACTTTGGATGAAATTCTTGCTCATCCATTTATGACTTCAAATCCAATTCCTAAAACTACTCATATTTCGCAACTGCTTAGTCCACCAACTGCAGCATGGTTGTCTTAATACTCATAGGCTTCTATGCTCAACTCTAAGCAATTACAGCCTGAGTTAGTTTCAGTCAAATCCACCTCCTAAATTCCCAAGATGAATAACCTATTTTCGACTCAATTAAAAATGTCTCAAGCTGAACGCATTAAGAGTAATTGCTTATTTAAATGATAGCCTTGACTGAAGGGATTAACTACTTGAGTGAAAAACAATAGACCAAGACACAGTAAGAACAAATTTTGGAGAACAATGAGTAACAGGAGTTAGTAAGTGTTCTATTATAACTTAGAGTAAAGAGAATGATGTAGTATATGTTATCAAGTGTTGTGATTATCAAAGTAAATATGGTATTGGCTATGTACTATCCAATCATCATTCTGGTGTTCTATTTAATGATTCCACCAAAATTATCTAATGCAATAGGTTAGAATTCAATTATTTCGATTCGTGTAATCAGAAGTCAAGTCATGAATTTGAAAATTATCCACAAGAATTAAACAAAAAAGTCACTTTGCTCTAAAAATTTACTCAATATTTAGGTGTTGATGAGAATAATACGGTTTCCAATTCACAAATCTCAACTATTTTCGTTGATAAATTCCTTAAAACAAGAAATGCTCTTCTTCTGAAACTTTCTAATGGGGTGATCCAGGCTGATTTTATCGATAAAACTGTCATTGTCATATCACCTAATGAAAACATTCTTTTCGTCAATGAGAAAGGTGACAAATTTAGTTATAATTTGGAATAAATTAAGGACAAGGACAAAATTCAAAGAAGGTATTTTAGTAGTTTGATTTTAGGTACAATTATGTATAGCAATTAAGAGGTGATTGTTAATGATGAATGTTTACTTTATTAATAATTAATTTATAAATATTCTGGAAGCTTAAATGGACAATTCAAAGAAGGAGCATTCGTATACTTATTGGGTTAAAAATGATCCCAATCATCCTAAAATTGATTGTCAACCTAAAAAGGTAGAAGATCCCTCTTAAGTTTAATAACCTTAAACAATCGGATCACAATGGAATGTCTCAGGAACTTGGGAAGAGAAGAAAGTCCCCATGAGTGAGATCAAAAAATCATTAGAGAACATTATTGGAGTATTATAGCTATTTAAGGTTTTTAGATGAAAATTGGGTAAACCAAGATTTCAGCCGTAGAGTCAGTTGAAGGAGAAGCTCATTTATACTTGAGTCGAGGAAAAAAGAGAATGGGTTATCATCTCAAAATCACATATGCTCTAGAAGACGATGGATAAATCAAATATACAGACTTTACAGACGATGGAGATAGAGATGTAATAAAACAATATAATAATCAAGTATGTACTAGAAGATGTCAATGATGAAACAGTCAAACATCAAATTGAAGAATTGCATGATCAAACAAAGCAGTTTGTAGAAGTGTTTAAAAATTGATATTGGTCTATATATTTTTAAAGTTATTTTACCTGTTTAATAGTAATCAATTACAAAAATAATTTAATAAGTTTAATAACAAATACCACCTATACATCATTAAGATCTAAATATGCTTTCTATATCAATAAATTTAGCAAACTTAACAGGTATCCAATATCCCTTTTCAATTTGTAACTCTCCATTATCACTGACCGTATAATTTACATAATAAATCCAATATTATTTCACCATTTTAATTTATCTCAGCCTCAACATAAATTTTGCCATACATCGATAATTCCATAATGTTATAGAGTTCCTATAATTGTTCTCTAAGTACTTCTTCTATGAGAATCCTATTTACAACACATGTTTTAGGTTAGTAGATATTTCAATCTTTACCTCCCATCCTAAAGTTGTTACCAAATTTTACGACCTCTTAAGTACTTTATAGATTTTCCATGTTCAAGATCCATCTTCACCTTCACATACTATTTATTTTTGCTTACTTACTTTGATTAATATCGAATTAAAGCCTATACAAATTAATATTTTAGTTAATTTAATTATATTAAGGGATTTTACCTATTATCTTTGAATGCTCATAGTTATCTTTAATAAAGAACACTTTATATTCTTGATTTCTATTCCTTGATAAATATATTTTGATTAACAAAAACATTCAAATCAAAAGGAATTAATTCTAAATGCCCTGATAACATTAACTGTAAATCAGAATAATGTAATTCTAAGGCAAATGATATAAATAAGATAGAGATGCAAAGCACGGAAGATTTTCTAATTAATAATTTTTATATAAGTTTATGGTGATTCATGAATATCTTTATTTATAAATAGTAATTGATACCTTAAAAGAATAAGCCCTATTATATGGCTTTCAAAGTACAACATCATATTGTGACTATATTGTGCTTAATGCAAATTGAATTTGATTGATTTAGGATTGAGTCCATTTAGGAATCTTTTTATTTGAGATGGTGATTTTGTGGTGTTGTGTCGATCAAGTAAGTCCAATATGGAGGAGGAGGAAGGATGGATGACCAAAAGGATTTGGAATGAAATGGATATTGAATTTAGTGGGAGGGAAGGAGAGAGTCTAATGGATATTTTGGATATCTAGAATACATAAAATAAAATAATTAAAACACATGTCGCAAGAATAGCCTGTGGATCTTTAAATCCTAAACAAAGTTCGCCATCTGATACCTGAAAGTTTTAAGATAGAGAGATAAAAGAAATGGGAAGTGTTGAAAAGAAAGGGGTATTGCTTTGCCAATAACCGCATATTATAGTTTAGTGTAAAGAATACTGCTGAAGTCATCCAATAGATTTAAATTGGAGCAGACAGCCAAGTACGATGAGTTCTGCGATGCTTTGGATTAAGCCACTTATGGTAACAATATGGACGTGATTAAACAATTCGAGAACTTTAAGGAGAGCATCAAGCCCAAGATCAAAGCCGGCTAGTAATTTGGGACTATAAATGGAGTGGAAAGTTTGGATTTGAACACTTTCGAGACAAAGAAAGGTAGCTTCAAAACTAAGCAAGGGTCAACAGATTTAATTGTTTTTTGGGTAAAAATGTCAACATTATTGATTAGTCATCTGAAAATGAGAAGTCAACAAGAAGTTTGAATGAACTCAATAATTGGTTAAGTTTGAATTAAAATCTGAAATTGCAAATAAACCCCATAGCTGTATCTTTGGATGATGATGCCAATAATTTCAAGAATCATCTTAAGAACAATCAATTGACTCATTTTCAACATTATCGCTATTCTCTGGGTTGGGATTCTTCGAATGCTTTTCAAAGAGCCATGGAATTGAATTACCTTCCAAAGATTGCAGTAGTAGGAAAGGAGAACGAAGTGATTGAAGTGACTCGTAAGGCAAGGGAAGTAGAGAATATCATTAAGACTTATTGGGAAGCAGGATCAGAAAGTGAGGATGATGGAAAATACAGAGAACTTCTTGAGTAATAGACCTTCAGATTCATCAAGAAGGCATTGACTCAATAAATTGCAGATCTTTTGTCTTAAAATAAAAGTTTTGCTAAAAGTGACTTCATCAGACTATCTTTAACTAAATGCTATAAGATTACTTAAGATGGTTCTAAAGAAATTGTAGAGAGAAGTCATTTAAAAGTATCTTATGAGGTTTCAGTGTAATCTACCTAAGCTATTAAATTGTTCTTAAATAATGTGACAGCTGTATTAGGAAAAGACAATGTTCAGGTGAAGAGATCCATAGTTAAGGATCCAACAGGAATGTTAGACATGATTACAAGTGGATTTTAGGATGTTCTTAAGAAAAATTACAAAGTTATCTAAGAATATACTATAAGATCTGAATATTTCAATTACGTTCATGATAAGGAAGAATTCCAACCTGATGTCAAAGTAGTATCAAAGAAAGCAATTCAGAATCTTACATTTAAGGAATATCAGGCTATCTATGCTTAGGTGTTGCCTATTTTCAAGAAATATCAATAAGAAATAGATGATAGTGATGATGATTCTGATAATGACGAGGAGTAGGAGGAAGACAAGAGATTGATTTTCGATAGAGTCAATGAATTGACAGATTGTTTGAAATCTGGTTTGGAATTGAGTTTGGGATAGCCATTCCAAACAATACAAAATTATCATCCATTTGGTAAAGATCAAGTGGTTGACATTGAACATAAAGATGATTAGGTTTTGGTTGTGATGTATTGGGATGATAATCAGTAATGCAATAGATAGTTTACTTAAATCCTCAAGGTGTTGTTAGTTAACGAGGAGAAATTTAAGAACAAAGTTAGATTGGTTGCTTTGAGTAAACATAAGTAGGAAGCTTATGAACTCTTCTTCTTGAAGAATCAAGGCATCGAAGAGGTGGTTGAATTCTATTTCCCAAGAGAAGATAACCAAGCTGATCAGGTTTAATACAATGTGAAATCATTCCCACATTTCATTGTAGTAGACAAAGTTGGGTCAATCAGAATTCAATCATAGGTTGAAGATATAGAATCTATCATCACATCCTATATTGAAGAATCAATTGACAGTCTAAATTAGAAGGGACCATTGAATGATGACGAATATAGTGAGATCACTCAATTCTTGTATTCAGATGCCAGAAAGAAATTGTCACAACTCAATAACAAACGATAATTCTCACTTAGTTTCATCTTCAAAGAAATCGATCAAGGAGAGAAAGTAGTTAGATTTGCTCCCATCATTGAGTACACAATTAGAGAAGGCAAATAGAAGTATCTTGATGCATTCCTTGCTTTATTGAATAAGGTTGTTCCCTTATCCAATTTCTAAATCAACCAAACTGTTCAAAGAACATTGAATCTGTTGTTCCCTGGAAAGGCATGCAAACTATGTCAAAATGAACTCAACGATCAAACCCAATAATATTACAGTCCATTCTCTGATGAATTCTATTGCGTCAAATGTGCAGAGGTCTTCGATCCTAAAGCTGCTGGATATAAGAAATTCAGAGTTCAAGACAATTTGGTCTTCTTCAATGCTCCCCTTGTTGACAAGTCAGTTCTAAATGATATTGATGTGTATAGAGTGGGAAACAACCAAAAGGTCAAAAGAGGAGATCAATATACTCAAAATCATGCCTTGGATTGCAATGGATGTGACGGAGATGTTAAAGGCTTCAGATACATCGTTTTGAATTGTTTACCAGGAAAAGTGACTGATTTAGTAAGACTATTGAATTTATGGTTAGGCTTTGGTAGATTTCTGTTAGGATTGCTTCAATGAAATCAGAACTGGAGGACCTAGACTTGAGAAAATCGTGAAGAGAACCAAGATTTATGGCTACAATCCTTCTATGCTGATGTTGAGAGTGCCATTTTATATGGGATATTATGATTATTGAGTGGTATGATTCATTACAAAAAAATTACAATCTTAATCATGAAAACTCTGAATCCTAATCATCATCCTCCTATTCTCGTTTGCCTGTCTTCTTGTCTTGAAATACCTATACTTAATTATTCAGTCATTTACTATGTAGAATCCCAATAGCCATTACAAAATGAAGAACAAGATACAAAACACAAACAAAGTTATCTTTCTAGGATCAGAGTATATCCAAATCCATAATGGAAAAAAAACAAACTATTAAATAATCTCCTTCTTATCTGATTGTTGTTTGATAGTTATCTTGCTATCCATGTAACTTAAGGCTGAACTCACTAATATCAAAATCACAAATACTATAACTGGATAGGTCTTGTCAATATAAATATTTGGTTACAATATTCTTGTGATTGTTTTCCGTCTCATATTGCTATGAAAAGGTCTCCTCGAAGAATCCCTTAAAATTGCCTAAAGTGCCTTGACATTTCTTATTATTAACATTATTTTACAGTTTCAGTATCGTCACAAGGTATAAAGTCCACAATCACCAGAACAACACACCAAATCAAGAACTGGACTATACCTGTGTAGGCAATATATTTGGCATGCTGAAACACATATCTAAAATTTATTTAGAATTCTCTTTTACTAACACATAAACTCTTCCTTCAATTTGATTGCGTAAATGTTGGTCCCTATCTGAAGCAGAGTAGCTATCAACCCTATGTAACACTCGTGATTCCCCTCAGTATCCAAAGCAAGGGAGAAAATACCTGTCAATAGAACAACACCCGCATATATTATTTTTATCTTATCATGCTTATTCGTGTAGATGGTGTAGAATACAAACACAATCCCTTAACACTACTTTAATCATTTTAACTTACTATTATGAACAATCCAAAGTTCATATAGAATAATTCAATACATATCAGAAATATGTCCGCTGCTTGTATTGATGCATTTATCGCGTATAGCTTGAATGGTATATATGTTTATTTGTGCTCACTAAGCTCTTTTTCGAGTAACTACTCCCTCTCTTCTTCGTCGATTGACCCCTCATTTATCAAAAACACAAGTGATAAAATCTTCCCAAAAAACAATAACCACACCCATTCAAACAGATAGAACATCCCATTGTACTCGTACAAGCCTATCATTAATAAGCTCATGGCCAAAAAGCTCTTAATAAATAAATTTCAATACATGACACCATATAAGAGTAAAAAAAACATTTCTTTTTTTATTATTTATAATCCCATAAATATATTAATAAAATATTCAAAAATTAAACTCAAGAAAACAAAAATAATAATTATGGAATGAGATATTAATCTGTAGCCTCTATAATCCATATGTTTTTCTCTACCATCACCACTTTTATGTACTCATTATTCCCATACGCAGCCCCTATTTAGTACCAATCCATTACCATAATAGTCATTCACCACTGCAAATCGAAGTTTCTTTAACGTTTCCAACCCAACCTACAATCTAAAAGGCTGGCTTTTATGAAACTGAGCATCCTTCACCTTAAGCTGCATAATCTCTGGCCTCAAATCAAAAAAATCTATAAAATTAAACTGGTTTGTTGGTAACAACACATTGAAGAACATATTCTCAATCTGTATCTTACAAATTATTGGATCTTTGCATTCATCAACCATTATTAAGTACTGCAATTCTCTTTCCAGAACCTTTCTATTGTCCTATTTTATCCAAAATTTCGTTGCTGATTGTAATAAATTCATAATTACATCTATCCCCTTGAAACTTGATGTTAATGGGCCAATTCTGCTCTGTCTTATTGAAAATAAACAATGATATTTTTAGATAATTTTTACCATTTAAGACTTGATACTAAAACCCAAATGTACAATACACTCTAATTAATTCGTTCTCAAATAAATTGCCCTACCCCGATAAGCAAGTATTCTTCCAAATATCAATCATTTGTAGTGAATATCCAGATCTACTTAATTTTTGGTACAGGTCAAGTGATTGAGAATTCAATTAATAGCCTGAAGAATCATTTTGTTTTTGTTAGTATTTTTACTGCTCAGAATTTCTAATCTCTTTGAATTACACTTAACTTGACCCCTTATTCGTCTAATCTTATTCCTAATCAGTTCCATTTCCAAAAGTTAATTTCATTCCGTTTGGTTTCTAATTGAACTAATCCTAATACTATTCTATATTATTTGAACTCCCTTCCAATTTTGTAGGTGATTAGTAATAATCTTAAGAAAAATAATTTTAATGTTATTTTGGAATATTTTGCTCAAATTGCTAATAATCAGTTTCTAATTAATGAGGGTTATTTTGTTTTATTGGTTTAAATGAGTTTTGTTAGGGTTGTTCCTAAAAGTATTAATAATCCTATTTTTATTATTATTAATTCAATTGAAATTGTTAGTCATATTGCTATTATTGAAATTAATTTTACTGATTGAAGGTATCATATTCATTATATTAATTATGTTATGGCTATGAAGTGCCTTTCAATTTATCAACTTATTTAGAATTATCTTACATAATTTATTATTCATGTTATCTTTATAAATCCGACTAGGCTTGATAATTAATTTGAGATACAACTTGTTATTTGACCTGAATTTAAGTGTGATCGTTCAATCTGGCAACATCTTGAGTGTCATCTTGACCAATTTATCTGGTAGAGGAAAGAGGTTATATCTTTGATTTTTGATAGGCATCAGAAGGAGTGTAATTTTTTTTTGTAATTTTGCTAGCCTCTGTTAAAACTGCATGTTGAAATTCCAAGAATCCATTCTTAGTTTTGTTTCTTTCAAAATGATTAAACTTCAAATTAAAAATCTTTATGAAGTTGCACAATATTTCAATCTAGTCTCTTTGTTATTGAGTCAATTAGTCGGATAATTCATATTCCAATTATTGTAATTTGGCATCACTCTCTTTAAAAGTATCACAATAGAACTGCAACACTAAAATCATATTTTTATGTACTGTCTTTTGCACCATCTGGATTACAATTTTAATCGTAAAGCATATCCCAAATAGTTTCAATTTAATCAGTCATTTCGAGTTACAATTCCTCCAATTATTTGATGCCACTTTGCCTACTCGGTTCTATCTACTATACTTGATTCCTTTTAACAGGTTAGCTCTCTTCAGCAGCCTCTTCAATTTCATTAACATTCGCTGTTAATTCTAGGTTATGTTTAGGAAAGATAATTCCTTATTGAATCAATCTGTCATACAGTATTTTAAACTTAGTAGGTTTGTTGCTTGAAGTGGCAGGATATTTTTCAGCCAAGCATTTGATTAGTTCCAATATCAAATTGAAGTATTTAATAGCAATTTATGGAACTAACAAGTTAATAGCAATGTCAATTACTATCATTTTCAAATCTATAAATGCCTTTGTATTCATCATCAGAACCAGGTTGAAACATGACTACCTCCTATAAATAATTCAAAAGGGAGTTATTGTTAGCTAATTTATTTGTCACAGAACCAATTGGATTTGTATAAACTGCATCTCTAATTATCTACGATTTTATATGCACTAAACCATACCATTAACAGAAGATATTTCTTCAATAGGCTTTCATTGCTTCGAAATGTTTCATCAGCAAATTAAATGAGAGTATTAGCAAGATCACTTTAAAATTTTAGAATATCTTTACTTCTCTTTTCTCAATTTATCCAATACTTTATTCAGATTAAACTAAAATTCCTAGAGACTTGAGATACAAATTTTGATTTATTCCATTGAAACTTATTATATATATAATATTATTCTGTTATGAAAATATTTATCAATTATGTCTGTTAAATAGATTATCCTTGATGAGTTCTGTCATCTTCAAAAATAACAATACAATATCCCAATATATAGTTACACTACCACTCACATCATCTGCTGTATTGATATCATAAGAATCTTCAGAACTATAAAATAAACGCCATATAATTACTTCAAATTAGAATATGTATCATAAAGCAACATAAATGCAAACAAAAATGAGGACAAAGAGATGACCATGATCCAAAATAGTGAAATTTGGCTAAAGATTGTAAACATCTCAAATACAATCAATATCCCCGCAGATACAAAAAGGACTGCTCCGGAATAGGTAATCTTTCTCCTTACAGTCGATGAATACAAAAACAAAAAGAATATTAAACCTATCATTATGATATATTCATACTTGCAAAATTCACGAAAATTAATAATCCAACTTATGAGTTACCAAATGCCACTAGACAACCACACACTGAAGCCAAAGATAGAGTAAATAATAAGAACACTAACCAATTTGTTGGGGTAGTCTTGATGTGATTCCTGTAAATAAAGGCTAGTATTGATATTCCTATGCAAATCCCTAAGCTTAACCAAAATATCCATTTGGTATTTTCTAAGAAGTGATCTAGATCTGGCAAAGCATGCACTATCCACACATAAATGCCTAGTCTATTGTCTACAAATACAAACAATAACTAATTGCAGGAATAACTTAGAAAATAGGTTTCTGGCATAGATTATTCTGCCATTAAATGAATTGTCAAAGCCATTCGATACTTCTGTGGCCTATCCTTATTTACTCCGATTAGTAAGACGAGGATCTCCTGACCTAATGGAACTTTCAAATAACATAATAATTTTAACAATAAATTATTATCAGACTCTTTCATAAAATAAAATATAAGCTTGATTGCTGAGAGCCTATTTAAGAGAGACCTCTTTGAAGTTGCTATCACTAAAATAGAACCAATGATCCTGATTGTTTTCTTTGTGCTTCACATAAGATATATAATGTCCGCCTGTCATTGTACCTTGATGAACGACCACCCCGTACAATTGATATGGATACTTCTAAGCCTTTATTTCTTCAACAGTTTGACTTGGTTCTCCCTTTAAAATAGTATAGTCCTCCAGATAGATGGTTTCTGGAATATCAACTTACTCCGAGACCTTCTCAAATCTACCCGCTGATTTCTATTGGAATCTCTTCAAAATGATTGTGGCCACTTAAGGTAAATCGTATAAGAAGAACTTTCTTAAGGCTCTCCCTGACTTCTTCCCTTGCTTTGCACACTACTCACACTTAAAGAAATTGTTCTTTTAGTTCAATTCCTCATATTCAGTAAAAGCATCCAGACAATCAACAACGCTTAGATTATATTATTTTTATTGATCGACTTTTGGTGGGTTATTGTTTTTTTGAACCAAAATTGAGTTATGCAAATAGGGAACAATGACATCCTTTAATTCTTCACTGGTGATCTCTTAGTATTCCTCTTGAAACCTCTAATTAATTAGACCCTTAGGTTTTCTAATTTGAACAGTATAGTCAAGACAGAAATCAAATGTCCTACTGATGAATCCACAATCCAAGCATTCCACTAATAATAATGAGTTGAGTTCTTACAATAATTGCACAAATAACTTCCGAATATATTCTCAACAATTGTCCTCTTGGGCTTACCATTTGTTTTGGTTTTATTGATTCTCCCTATATGAGTGTTTTCCTCTCCTGTTGACAAAGCATCCAATAAACACCTAAGCAATTCAGATGCATCCTATTAAGCCATAGATCTGAATCTCCCCTAACTTTGGATAATTATAATAATTTTACACTGCCTATATCGATTTGAATAAATCCACAGGGTCCACTAATCCCTTACTCTTCCTGCTATTTAACAAGAAATTCTAATATATCTAATTAATAGATAATTTTGAACTCTTGGGTCTCACTTATTGTTTAATTTATTTATTGTTCTCAACTGTAGTCCAATCATCATCCTCGTCATTGTCTACATTTTAACTATAAGAAGAGAAGTTAAACTTCTTATGGTCCAAATAGAATGAATTCAAACTCTCTGTTGCATTTAAACATTACATAACAGAGTTGAAAAAGCAAGTGTTCCCCAAATTCCTCAATCCAAACACTTACTTGGGTGTGTAGTTTAATGGTTAGGTGGCTTACTGTTTAATTTCTTGACTCAGAGTTTAGGGTTATGATTATTATTATTAGACTTGCTAGAATTATTAAATTGTTTGAGTTGGTTTGTTTTACTTAATTTTTTTGAACAGGAGATTTTTCATGTTATCAATAAATTTAGAGATTTTCTCTTTCTACCCCTTGTTGTCAGTTTCCTCCTATATTGTTTCTAAATCATTATCACAAACATAACACCAAATAGCGAATGAATTGATGGATATAGAAAGTGGATGATTAGTTTATTGATTGTGTTTAAATGAACATTGGTTATCACTATTCCTGCTGCATCCAAAAAATCCGCATTCTATGCACAACCATTTTTCGATATCGCTCTCACATTATTACCTCTTAGCATTATCACAATATGTAAAATTAGTCTTGATTAAATTCCCAATTTATTCAAGCCTGTACTTTGAAAAATGGGAACATGAACCTGATTTTTACATGAATTAAATAATTAATTAAAGAATTTGAGCCTCTATAATATAATTAAATACAATTATCAATCAATATATAATTGGTTATTTAAAATCATAATGGAAGCCAATCTTTCTTGGCATTTCTTAACAACGTTTGAACTCCATTCATTAATCAGATTATCTAGTATAAAACTATAGTTATATATTCGCTTTCTTTCGTAATCCAATCATAATCATTGTATTAAAATATATTGAATTGTGAATATGAAGTTCATAATAATATTTGTTTATAGAAATAATTAATTTAATATATTAAAATATTAAAAATGAGTTCAATGGAACCTTATCGTGAAGAATTTCTAGAAGAATTGGATAAAATCAGACAGCAATACAGTTTTGGACAATCTCAATAGATGTCTTAGAGTCAATAGAAGAAGGTGAACTTGCAATTCAAAGTTACCGATACGAATGATATTTGGAATAATAGTAAATATTCTGATGTATTTTGTGTCTAATGATTTTAGAATAAATGGAGAGGGAACCTAACAACCACATTCTATAATAAGGAGCACAATGCTAGTCATTATGAGGTGAACTCACTTTTGAATCCGGAAGTTACGAGAAAGAATTTCAATATGAGAGCTACTCAGATATCTGAATATTCAAATGCGAAACATAACAATACAGTGTTTGTGAATCCCAAGTTTACAAGTTGCTGATTTTATTATATATATCACATTATGAAATCAAGACTCAACCTTATTGACAATTTCAACCGTATCCCCTGGACTGCACAGGTTGGCACACGGATACAAATCTAGGTTGGTATCCAAGTTCATAGACTAAATAATAGAATGTTAACTCTCTTACAAACTTCAATTCAGTCTTCTTCTTCCACCAAGTAATTTTCTTCTTGGGGATGTCAACCTCAATAACAATAATGTCCCCTACTCCAAAATCGAAGGACTTGTGTGCTGAATTCAAGTCTTTCTGCAAGTGAGACCAAGAGTAGGCATTGTTGGATATCAAGTACGATCTGCATATTAATAATAAAGGTGTACCCATGACCTATATTAGTGTAGTTGAATTTGTAATTAGCACTCGCAATGATGTCTCTGTGACAAACCCCCACTCCAATCCATCCTGCATATTTGATGATCTTGAATCCAAATTTGTAAACCCCATTTTTGGGTACACAGGGTTCACAAATGATGAATCGTTATCCATTGGATTCGGAAGTCTTTTGTTCAGCAATCATGTTTTGGCCACTCAAACCAATATTAGCTCCTTTGAATTTTTATGAGAATTGAAAAGCAAGCGATTGCACCACTTCTGTAGCAGTAACAGGTTGAGCTCTGAAAATGTTGCTCAGAATTCCGACTTTAGTATCGATATCGATTTAAATGTCTTGCAATTAATCATTGAGCTGAGTAATCTGCGACTTACAAGCAACCATAATTGCTGAATTTATACTTTGTCTTGTGGCGATGCCATTTCCAAAGGAATATTACTCTAAAATTTATCTAGTGATGATTATTTGAAACTTACTAGATATTCTTTTTGTATTCTGGCAATTCCGAAGGGATGTTGAGAGAATCAAGCAGGAAATGAATAGGAGTCTTGGAAAGTGAAAAATTCCGTAGTTGATTTTTTAGATCAAGATAATAGGTTTCCACTCTCTTCGACAACTGCTTTGTAATGTTTTGCATTTATTCATTGAATCGATTCACCTATCAATTTATAACTTTGTTTTACTATTCGAACACATTCATTATAGGATTTATCCAAGAAAATGGAAGCATCCATCACGCTCTATTGAGTGGCATCGGAGTTGTTGTTGGCAGCCTCGTCTACTTGCTAGAGCATAAGTTTGATGGGCAAGGTGTTATGAGATTGATGATCAGCATGTTCACAAAGAGCTAGGAGATCACAAGCATTCTTACGGCAAATTAATGGGTTGGCACAAGATTTTTCGGTGCAGACAAGTGATAGAAAATGTCCATTGTGAAGAGGGCAAGCGAAATAATTCATATATTTATATAAAATGAATTAATTGTATAAGCTAACACCTCAAGAGTTGGCAACAAGAAAAGATATCGTTGTGCTCAGCGATAAGGGGTTGCGATTCAGGGAAGAGATTAAATCTTAGGATCAATTTGATTTGGATGATTTTCATTTGCCTCAAAGTAATTCTGCCATTTTACAATCAAGTCAATCAGTAAAAAGATAAACCATATACAAGAAGGTAAGTGCTCTAAGGAGAGAAACCAGTTGAATTGCTTGTCGCTGATTTGAAGAAAGAATTGAACATCAGTAGACCATATATGGAGAAGGCCCTGGAGAAAATGACAGTCAAGATAACCTCAGAAAAACCGTCTGCAGCCATAAACAACAAGTTACAAAAACTATATCAAGAATTAGACAAACATACCCGCTTGTTGGAAGCAAAGAAGGTGAAGTTTCAAAAGAAACCTATCGAATAATAGAAGTAGGATCAAACTTCGATTTTGGAAGAATCAGAATTCCAAGACAAAGTGGCATCTCTTAATGCATTGGAAGCCAGAATTTGGAGAATGCAACAGAACTATTAAAATGAAATCAGAATCAGGGAAGATACCTTGAAAGTAGCTATTACTATCTTACTTCTAGAAAGTTAAGCAAAACCTAAACGTGATGAGAATTTAAAAGGAAACTGAAATCGAATCGGTTCCAGTCCCTGTTTAGGTGGAGTAACTTTAACAATCTCAATATCTGGACAGGAAATAAGTCAGACTGAAGGACTATTAGAAATATAAATTTGAAGTAATCAATAGCAATATTCATAGAAAGGGTGGAATAGACAACCTCCTCCATCCTATACTTCTAAGTAAGTTCTAATCGAAGAGGAAAGAAAGAAACAACTTCAATTAATAAAAGAACAATAGGAGTATGAGTAAGAGTTGTTGAGAAGAAATGGACATTCAAACATCCACAATACAGCCAATCAGGAGACTCATGAATAATGAATTAAATATCTATTTATCAATTAAATCCATAATTACTCAATCTCTATTTCAATTACTATTGTTTTGTGGGACAATTTACATATCTGGATGACGACACAGATCTCTTAAAAGGAGTGTAAGGTGAAAAAGGCCTTTGTGAAATCTAAGATTTGTCTAAGGATTTATCTTAACTTCGTGGTTTTCGATCAGATACGAATGATTTTCTACATTCAATCTCCTGTCTTAATTAAGACTATCTAGGCTATTGAAATTTTCGAATAAAGGTTTTTCTCTTTTTTACTTCTTCTTCACTACTCTCACTTTCTAACAACTCATCCTCATCCTACACTTGATGTTCTTCTTCATCCTTTTGTATTTGTTATAGCAAACTAGTATATGGATTTATTCTCTTCTTCTTACGGTTCTTTATTCTATCCTTCTAATATTCTATATATTTGATTTCTTTTTCAAGTAAAATCTGAACTTACTTTCCCAATTCTTGTCCCAGTTGATGAAAATCAGGAATGCCAAACTCTTTAGTTATTTATTGAGATCCCAAGTAATATAATCCATTTGAACATTCAACTGTAAAACAATTGACTATCTTAAACTCTGAATTCAATATGGCTCTCGCTGTATTTCTCTTATTAGGTTACACTCTCCAAATACCACTCCAATACCTAAAGACCTCTGTTGCCTCAGACATCAATTTAGCCAACACTCGACACTTTAGGTAGTTTAAACTGAAAATTGGATATTCTGGTCCATAAATGAATAGGTTTTTTTTGAGGGAATGTCCATGCATGTCCATATACACAAATGGAGGACTCTTCATGGTCTCTATCAACTTTTTGATTTAATAAATCTAAGGAGTAGTATTCTAATCAGGGTTGGAAAACTGGCGATTCAGATCCATTCCTTGTAGACAAGTTCTAAAATTGCCAGCAATCACTCCATCAGGATTGAGCATTGGGATTGCTATAACTTATGAACTCTTGATATGGATATGGTTATTTACTTCTATAAGAGTTACTGACCATCTGGAGAGATGAGATACTTCAAAAAACCTTCCATCATATGAGAACTATTTGATTCTCCTGGATGAACACGAGCAGTTACTATTATTGTTCTTCTCTTCGCCTCACCAAACTGGAGCATCGGAATGTCTACTCCTGCAGGTGTTCTAGTAAAAATGCTAAATCCCAATGGCTATATAAATTGCATCATCTAAGAATAGGTATAGGGCACTCCATATGCTACATAAATTTTCTACCCTTTCACAAGAGTCAAATCAAAACTCAGTCTTGACGATCGTTGATTCTTCTGATCAAAGACTATGTTATCACCGCCTTACTTCCAGACCCCATTGATTCCTATATAAGGTCTCATGCCTCTTTAATAAAGGCTGCGATGTTTGCTGAAATTGCAAATATTTATCTTTATTGTCTGTGTTCTCTCCGAAACCATGCTGAAATGATACCAACTATGACTGCTACGCGAGTTTGAATCACATCTCATATAGCAATTATACTCGTTTGGACGAACTTAGAATGCGAAATCCAAGTTCCCTGACTCGAAATCAGAATCAAACTATATAAAGTGTTTTTGTGCTTATGGTCTATTGATAAATAGTCTTAGCTAGCGCTATTTTTTTTGAATTGCCTCCATCATGTCTGTTTAATTCTTAGTCGGTTGGTCTTCAATAGATGGTAACACTTACAATTTGTCAAATATTTCTAGCACATCTCCATGGAATCCACGTATCTCGGTCCCACATACACGAGCTAATCTCTTTACACTGACCACAACACGTCGTCATTCATTTCAAATTTCAGTCTTATAGGGTATTGTATGTTGGGCATCCATCTAAAGGTCAAATAGATAATACCCGTTAAGCATGTCCATTTCAAGGGAAAGCTCTTTTAAAATTGGAAGTGATTCAGGTAGCATCGTTATTAATTAATATGCTAATCTCAAAAGCAATCATAAGAAAGTGAAAACTCGCATTAAAACTGGTGACAAAGAATGCATTACATCCACATTATTATATCCTTTTTGGACTCTACCACTATACCATACGATAAATGCGTATTATAATAAAATATGTAAAATTGCCATCACATGATCGAACAATCCTTTTACTACTTAATCGAAATCGACAATGACTACACTTAGAAATGGATTAAATTACTTTAAAACCTCCCTTCAAAATAGAAACATGCTTAACGCCATCAAGGACCAGCTAATTTGCCACTTTCACTGCATCATCTAGAGTTTGATTAGAATCTGTAATTAAACAAGTATGGAAATTCCCATCAGGTTTCTTTGTTATAAATTATTTGGGCAGGAATTCACTTAACTTAGGTTTCTTTACCTTTCTGATATCAAGTAATTATAGCTATAAATTTTTTGTAGGTTGCTTTTTTGATTTCCCAAACAAAGATTTCATTTCAGAAACTTCTATGAATAAACATTAGGAATAATAAGATTAACTTAGATTGGTTAATTCTGTAATGTCTTCAACGCTTAAAACTAAGATATCAATAAGGATATCTACCGCTTTTATCATTGAAGGATGTAGAAGCAATTAGTTACTCATAAGATTCTGGGGTTTGAGAGTACAGTTCATCAGCCCTATCAAATAAACTCTAAACGTCGGACTCGTATTGTATTTGCTTCAACTTTTTGTTCAGATATGTAAATAGCTCTTCAGAATCCTCAATCGATAATATTTCCTCTATTATTATCTACTTTCTATACTTATTTTTAGATCATGAATAGAGCTGCAACCATGAAAAAGATGTAATTGGGATTGTGTCTCTTCATGTACTCGTCAAAAATCAGGAAAACAAGTTGGATCGATGTACCTTTGGCAAACAGTGTCATTATTAATGGTGTAACTACCATCGATAGGTTGAAGTCGTCTAGCTTGAGAATTCGATTATAGAAGTCAGCGCAATGATATTTAAGCAATATTTCACAGAATTGAATGGCAGATAGAACATGAGCGAGTTGCTTTTGTCCTTTGAGAATCTAAGATAGGTGTGAGATTTATACATTCCATTCAAGAACTTTGGGGAAATACTTGTTCATGAAAGAATTAAAATAGGCATAGCATTTTTATATAGGAAAGTCTCTATTTTTCATGACTAAGAATGGTGCCACAACTTCAAGCATTCCTTATTAATAGTTGACACTGTTTTGTTGGCAATAAAATGTGGCTAGTAGCATAAGATATCGTTGGGTGGACTCCTTTTTGAAGTAAGGGTCATCGTTTCTCGTTCTTGTAAGATCCTTAATCAAGGTTTCCTTCTCTGGGATTTCAAGGTCTTATTAATTCCAGTCTCTGAATTTGTAAGCATCAGTGAGGAGGTTTTCATTCATAAAGAACTCTCTCCAGTTGAGAACGGCTTTATTTTATGTAATCATTAATAATTTCAATCATATTATTTAACATTTGGTAAATCCCATGGGCCACGAATAGTACTAGAGGTTTGATAATATATTGATACTTCTTGTATTAATATAACCATATGATTTGCAGAGGGGAAACAAAAGTAATGAAGAAGACACTAGTAAGAAATATTAAAATAAAATTACCATCCAAAAAATAGAAGAGCTAAGAAATATGAAAAAAATAGTAATGACAATCCCAATCCAATGGTGGAAATCAAGTTGATGACTCTGAATACAGAGTTGTATTTTTATTTAATGCTTCTCTGGAGTATGGGTACAAAGATGAACAAGAGGTTGGATGCAAATATCATCAAAAATACTTAGAGTTCATTGTGCAATCTCGAGGCCAACAAACTGGAAAACACCAATGATGCCCATTATGAGACATCCAACTCTGTGAAATCCTTTTCGTAATCATAATCCTTTAAGAATATGTAGATTAGGATTGCCACACTTGTAAGCACATAGATAGTATTATCGGCATAGGTCTGATTGACTGTTTACATCACAGGTGCAAACAGTAACAAAATAGATATATAGATTCCAATGCTCTTAAAATTGCTTAATATTTCCAAGGTCTTCATTTTCTTGACTACAGAAAACATGATCAAACAAGTGATTGCAGTGACTAGCCAAAAGTATAGTTATAACTAATCATTGACCATATCATGTAGCATTAAGAAATAACTTAAAAGATAGAATACAACACAATTGACTGCAAAAATTAAATCTGAGGTCTTGCTGATGAGTTGTTTGTAATCAGGTCCATTGTTAGTGTTGTCTTGTTTTTATACGCTTTAAAGAAATGTTTCATCAATATAATTGTCATCATAAGGTTGTTTTTCATACAATATTTTTTCCCATTTCTTCTGTTCTTATTCTTCCTGGATGTAAGACTTAGGTTAAATAATAGCACATTACAGTCAGCTAATACTTGGGTCGTCTGCATATGAAACATTGAACATCATTTTCTGAGAAGCGATATCCATCCCATGGACAGTATTTGAAATAATCCATAAAAATTAAAATAATACTCATTTTCGTGGTGGTACTCTTTTTACTTATTGATTTGGTTTTGCAGAATTTCATTGTTATGTGGATATGAGTTTACTTTATTATTCACCTTTTGGTTTGTCTACATAATGCAAATAGTAAATTACCAGATTAAGATTCATCATCTTAGATTGTATTGAGATCCAAAGATTAGATAATTATTCAAAAATCAGAATCATCAGAATCATCATCTCCATCTTTTACTTTAAGATTTCAATATATCTAAACCCATTAGAATGAATTTCCAAAACATCTGTTGTCTTACCAGATCAAAAAACAGGTCTCACTTTTACATCCTTAACATTGGTTTTCTTCGAGATTTACTGACCAACTATGTCTCTAATTCACCAAAATTTTGTTTCTCTCTCTCCACTTATTATTCTATCTTCCATTTTTTCCATAATTATTTTACCTGTAATTATATATTCCAAAGACAATCACTCTTCTTTGATCTCTACTCTAATTCAATACTAAAGACAATAAAAAGAAAAGTAATTGATTCTTATAGATGAACCCAACTACTGGCAGATAATTACCACCAACTCTAAATTATTGGTGTATAGGCAAAATCAAATAAGCCATCTTATAAACCAATTTCTTTAATCACTTTTTATTATCATTATTCAATGATTGCTCAAATTCCTTACTAATTCTTAAAGAGTAATGCATGTTCCACAACGTCTATTGAAATCTTCTATCTATTTTACGAACTTCTTGAAGAGATGAGCGGTTAATTGCGATGATTGGTCGATAAAAGTTTACTCATATATATCCTTTGCTGCAATTATATCGCTAATCAAATAGCTTGCATCTACAATTTGAGACCATCCTTTATTGTCGTACCATTCTGTGGCTATATCTCCTGTTTGTGGCTCTGTAGTAGGCATTCAAAATATGAGAATCCTCAAATTCTGAAGAATTTTGTCAAACCGATTATCAGCGACTTTCTTCTTGAAGTGTGCTTAATATCTCCCATTTAATCTTTGTTTAGTTTCTTGCATGATCTACACTGTTGAAGAGTTAAAACAACATATATTATACACTTCTTCTCGTTTGGCAAATAGAATTTGTTTTTTGTTGCTATGAATATTGTCTAAGTCATATCCTATCCAAATTACAAACAAATAAGGTTTTAGTTTTAGGTTTAATTGAATCATCTTCTTTCACTGAAAGGATACAGAGTGCTGGAATGTTCTATCTCCTAATTTATTAAAATATATTACATTGAGATGATTCGTCAATTAATCTAATGTTTTAGGAATACATCTGCTATTATCTTTATATTAAATTAATATATGTTAATTATTTTCTATTGATGTTTTTGATTTGCCTTAACTTAACTTTACATTAATAATAATCAAATTATCTAAAACTTCCTTGATCCAATTTATTGCTATACTATAAAAATGTTAATCGAAACCAAAAATATTTATATATGTAAAACAACCGAGCGAAAATTTAATCTAACATTCTATATAATAAATGTATACCCCCTAAGAAAGTTCATTCCATATAATATTTAATTCTGTTAGTATTCACAATCTGTATCAGTATCAATCAGATCCTGAGGTGTAATTTAATTTATAATAAATCTAAATTTCTTATTATAACAATAATTAATATGAAAATCAAAGTAGTTCACAATAACGAAATCCATCTCTTGAAATTACATAACCCAACTCTCCAAGGAATTAGAGAGCACATCTAAAAAATATATCCAAATATCGATTCCAACTACACACTCGCCTATAATGACTCAGAAAATGATTAAATATCTCTGAGTTGTTAGGAGGATTTATAGGTTCTTGTCGATGAAGGAATACAAACAATCAAAGTTTTTGTGGTAACTGCCTAATAACCAAAACCAGTTACTCAAGATAAGATGGTTCACAAACACCATACTTGCGATGGATGCTAAAAACAACCAATCGTTGGACCAAGATTCAAATGTCTTGATTGTCCTGATTATGACTTGTGTGAAGAGTGCCAAGCCAAAGATCTTCATAACTTTCATAAGTTCTTCAAGATAAGTACAGAGGAAGAATTAGAATAATTCAGAAAAGAACATTGGGGTAAATTTGGACATTGGGGTCAACGACCTCATGGACACGGACCTCATGGACAAGGATTCCATGGTCATGGTCACGGTCACGGTCACGGATTTCATGGACACGAAGCTTTTAAACAATTCCGAGAATTATTCCAAGATCCTGCTTTTAAAGATATCAAGCAAACTGTCTTCTCTCTAGCCAAAGATGTCTTTGGTGCCGTTAAGACAGAGATTGAGAAGCACAAGAACTCCTAGTAATAACAATAATAGGAGAAACCTGAAGAAGAATTATATGAAGATGAAAAATTAGAAACATAATAAGAAACCTAATAGGAAACTCAATAAGAAAAATAATAAGAAAGTACTACCTAATAAACCGATTGTAAAGCACAACAAGACATTGAAGAGAAAATTTAATACTTGATTTCCATTGTGTAGTGTGATGAGAAATAAGCAAGAGAGTTTGTCGAATGCTTTAAGGATTTATCATTGGATAGAATTGTTGATATCATGTTAGAGAAATAATGATTATTATTATTAATATTAAATAAATCAACTATTCAAACACCAGTATGAATCATATTTACAAATATGATGATGAATTTTAACTCAATTATAATTAACATAATTAGTGAATTCATCGAAATAAATCTAATCTATACTAGAAATTCTAAATCACTTTATTTTTACTATAAAACCTTTGTCCAAGAAATGTATCTTAAGATTTACAAATTACATTTCAAAATATCAAGCATTTAGGCAAATGATAATAATACTAATGAGAGGATATTATTATATCTAGTGCATCATAATAAGCCAAAAAAGATATCAAATAAACTTTAGTTATTGATATTTACAAAATTTAATAAATTTATTTTGATATAAAATGAAAATATTGTAAAAATAATTAATTAATCAATCTAATTATTATGACTAAATTCTATTATAATGTTTAGAATAAATAAAATGTCCTAAATGTTATTTTAATGGAACAATAATAAATCCAAAAAACAATAGTTTGAAATTACCAAATCAAATAGGTTATTTTATAAGTTATAACAAAAATTAATTCTATTGATTAGACATATCTGAATGAATTACTAATTATATAATTTATAAAGGTTGTTATAGAATTGATCAAAATAGACAGATCATTTATTAATGGATAATAAATTGAATGAAATAAAGTGATTAATTTTGATTACATAAATGAAAATAAAATAAAAACTCAGAACCCTCATTTTTTAGATAGATAAGTGAATAGAGCTTTGATATTCTAAAGTAATAAGAAGATAAAGAAATTAGCACTAGTGAGTAATAAGATATTATTTTGACAGGTTTTTCGTTTATATGAAAACAGTCTTAAGATATATAAAGCATTAAAGTAACAGCAAAAAAGAGATTTAATGAGAGATCATAGGCCTTAATAATTTAATAATGAAATGACTAAGGTATATAGTTTTAAATGTCTTACTAAGGATAGAACCATTCTCTTTTCAAAATAATAATATAGCAAGTATGAGGTTTAGATTAAATTGTGAATAATATGTTGGAGAGTAAAATTAGCTTTTATCTCTTCCTATAATGACCTGAGTCTATTTGAAATTATAAATTATAATTTGAATACAAAATTTAGAAAAATATCAATAGAGTTTAACTGTAGGTTGTGATGAGTTATATATCCTTGTCACATAAATGAAATTGTAAGTATTGGATTTAATATTATTACAAAAAGGTCATGGTCTTGCTGAAACTAAGATTTGAAAGGAAGTAGAATGAGTAAGAATTAAAGCAAAAGAAATTGCTTAGAAAGTAAATAGTGAATAGATGTAGTAACTAATTGGAAGATGAGTTATTTTTAAATTATTGAAATAATTATATAATGAACGATTCGAAAGGACCTAAAATAATGAGTTCTCACTCATTCAACAGTATTAAGAATGAGGAGCCTAAGAAGGCAGAAGTGATCGATGAACAATCCTTATAGACAACTTAAAAGAGGGGATAGCCAAAAATCAATATTAGTCGTTTGCCTCCAGCATTTGCAAATAAAAAGTATTTACTATGGTGTAATTTAGACCACAGAAGAAATAAATAGAACCACTGGCGTAGAAGAAAGAGTAGAAACAACAAGTACAACAGAATCTGCAGAACATAGAAGCAATACAAGAGTACAAGTAGGTGAGCCAAATGTTAAGTCCCTTGAAGGCATTAATTATAAATCAAACCCTAGCGCGAACACAACTAGCAATCCAAGAATCCATTAGCACCTTTTCGTTAGTTCATGAAAGACCAAAAGAAAATTCATGAGGAATTAGGCCTAAGCATCAGTACACTCGTCCAAGGTTAGATGCGCATAGAAGACATGATAACAACTGGCACATTGCGATGTTAATATAACTTAAATCTTATTAGCCTATGGCGATCAGAGTCCTGTCAAGAAAATGTTACATGCTCCAACAATGAAACTCTATGTTGTAAAAGAAGTAATTCTTCACTTTGACATTTAGGAACCATTGCACAACAAGGAAATTCGTAAAAACTTAAAAGACTGGATCTCCTTTTGGTAGAACAAATTCGCCAATTCAAATTTACATGTCCAAGTATATGCTACCTTTTGGAATACACCCGAAGGTTACGTGTCTATCGTCATGGAATACATGAATGGTGGTTCATTATAAGTGAATATTAATTCTCATTTTTAGAATCTCCTTGAGAGTATGGGTTTCCTCCCAGAGAGAAGTATCAAATAGCTAGTACCACCTATCCTCTAAGGATTACAAAAAATTCATCAACAAGGAGCCCAATGTCATGGTGCTCTTGGCCCATCACAAATACTCTTCCTTAGAGATGGCACTGTTAAATTGGGTCAAGGTTTGTAATACAGAGTTTAAGTCCAAGGAAATTAATTGTTTAATTCCTACATTCTTGGTAAACCGAAAGATGTTCAAAGGTATTTTATTCAACCAATTAGTCTGTATGATCCAACGATTCTAGAAACCCCATCTTTATGGAGCAAGGCCTCAAGTGAAAAGGTTCATTTCCCTGCTCAAGAAGATTTCATTTTGGAGAGAGCCAATGACATTTGGAAACTAGGTTGGCTGGTTTTAAACTGCGCTATTGGAACTCTTGAGTTCCATCCAAAAGCCTAGTAGATCTATGAGGGCTCAAGAATCATCATTGAGGAAATTGCAAAATACACCGATCATCTCAAAGATACATGTTGTCTCCTCCATAGTGAAGCCAAAGTCATTTCATTAGTTGAATAGAATCAAAAGACAGTATCTGAACCTACCAAAATAACTATGCTAGAATTACTCCCATCTGATAAATTTAGTCCTGAATTTATTCAATTTTTATGTTCAACACTTAAAATAGATCCAAGATAAAGGGTATACACTGAATAATTGTTGCAACATCCATGGCTAGTAAGTGGTCGAGATCCTAAAGGTAGGCATCTCATTTTATTCTAATAGGACCCAATGTACAACTAAAGGAACTGCTTAATATATCAAATGCTTGGAATGCATTTCTGCCAGAAGAATTTTAGGGATAAGGAGCTCAAAAATTAGAAAGACTTTGTGATGCTCTATATTTGGTGTTGTAAAATTCAGAAAGACCAACAGTCAATAAGTATCTCATCAATTTTACATTATCTAGGATGTAACTACAGGAAAACAGTCCAATTATAAAAGAACTATCTTATGATATGGGTTTAAATGCCAAAGCCGTAAGTGATCGAATTATGTCAATTTTCCAATCCTTAATCTGATCTGGCATTGCACTATTATCTATATATTTCTAATTATTTAGCCTATTTATAATAATAATATTTAAACAAGGGTTATGATAAAATATCTTTTATGCCAATTTTTTACTACAATTTATGAATGAATTCAATTAAGGTTATTAATTCAAAAATAGTAATTAATTTGTGTATCATAATAATTAGTTATTCATAATTATTTTTAAGACTCTATTTAGTCCCATCCTTTTATATAAAGATGGTAGATAGATTGAGCACTGTACCATAATAAATATTAAGAATATATATACTATTTTAAACTTTATTCATGAAAAATAATAAATCAAGTGAGTGAAATTCTTATCAATATAAGGGTTGGATTAATTAATTTTAATAATTATATTTACTCTTGATTTCTTCCACTCATAGTTATTTTCTTTCTCTTTTTCCTGTAAATTTCTCAATCTCTCTTACAGTCAGAATTTTGATTAAATAATTTCTCATTTATATTAAACATAGTTAATTTTGAGACCTTTCTACTTAAATAAAACTTAATCTTAATTTTAATTTCGATCATTCAAAATTATAATCAGATATTTATTAAAAATTTATAAACATTAAGAAATTAAAAGTCTAAATTTCACATCTAAAGACATTTTATATCTTATTACATTTCTTATATAGATGATTATAAATGTGTCCAATAATAATTAAATCTTGATATCATAAATTTAAATGGCATCTAAGTTGTCAGTTAAGTGTAATATTGATCATAACAACTCATTTCACAATCAGAAAAAACCAATCCAATTTGAAAATCCAATTAGAAGAAAGTCTTGCTATTGTAAATTATGTGGAAATCTAAGCTTATTTCAATAGCAAAATTCAAATTTACCTACATAAAAGGAAATATAATTTAGTAAATAGAAGAGAATCAAAAGAAGGTTAAGTTTTGGGGATGAAATTCAAACTGATTTTCCTAACAAATTGAGTTAAAATGAAAGTGAAAATGGAAGACGAATTAGGTAAAACAATAAGTCAATTTCATTACCCATTAAATGGCAGCAAGGATTCTCAAAAAATAATTGCATCTGTCAAGAAAGTAGTATCAAAACAAAGAGAAAGAGCTGTGAATGTAGTGAATGTGGGAAACTAAATCCTTTTAAAATAAAGAGTCAAGAAATATTGTTTAAAAGACAATAATGATTTCACCTAAGAGTTAAAGATCCTTTTAGGTGAAATAAATCAATGAAATGAGAAGAACTAAAGATGTCAGTACTCTAGTAAGTAATCGTATATCCACAAGAGATTTAGACTAACACCCGAAAAGTAATTACAGCAAGGTTTCCAATATTAATTCATGTCGATAATTAGATTCTTAGAAAATTCTACAAGGGA